GCTGCAGCACAAACATACAAGTGTTCAGACGTGGTGGAGTTTATAAGGGAAATGAAGAGTGCATGTTTGGGGAAGGTGTCCATGTGGTCCACATATGAGGGGCCAAAAACAAGCTGCTTCCTTAGGAGACTCGCTCACAGCCTTAAAAATGTCCCGAAGACTGACGTTACGCCATCAGCGTGCCAGGGTATGAGAGTTATGTAGAAAAGCACTTCGATTTTATGACATCTTTGTGTGTCCTAAAATTCCCGAGAGGGAAATTCCACATTTCTCTAAGACCTTTTTGCAGGACTTCCTAAATTCATGACCAACTGAGGGCTTCGAAAAAGATAAACACAACCCCAAGACCAGCAGTTACTGTCAAAGTTTGTTTGATCAGGTTTTAACATGCAGAGAAAAGACATAAAAAAAACAAAAGAGCTGGCAAATAAAACTGCAGGGAAGGGGGAAACAGCAACTGGTGGACACAGCTTCAAAGGAGCAAGCAACAATCAGCAGAGCAGCAGTGACTGTGGGACGTGAAAACACCTTCCAGCAGAGCTGAAAGAAGTCAACCTAAAGACCTGCAAACAAAGACAACAGACGAACCTAAAGATCCACTGCATCTTTACACCAGCTCTGCTCAGCCTTATACATACACAACTGTTTAACAACAAAACTATTCCCACCTGTTTAACGGTAAAATACCTTTAATCTTTATTTGCTTTACAATTAAATTATTAAATTGTAAACAAAGTCATTATGTGTGATGTAATGTGAAATACCGTTTCTAGTGAAACAGATTCACAATTGTTCACAGTGGTGGTGATAGGAACCAGACGTCTGAAGAGTTTAATGCCTCTAAAAGCTCCATCACAGTATGTTATGGTACAAAATGATTACGAACACATTAGTTTAGGCACAAGACAAATTTTATAATAGATTAATGGCAAAAAAAATGCATATAGGGTGTTCTAAGGCAAAATTAAGGTACTATTTTGCCATTACCAGCATTATAGATTTCACACCAAACCACTCTAAGGTGTAAACAAAGGCAATCATCTTAATTATGCACACATTTTGAAAAATGCAGAAATTCCTACAAAGCCAATGATCACGTACTGTAAAATAAAATCATATTTGCATCGTATGTGTGTTTTTTATTGTTTTTTGCAATGTATCATGGTTTTGCCACCACCCCTTTGCTCTTGGGGAAAACTGTTTCTAGCAATATCCTGCCCAAATCCTGAAAAAGGGCCTCTTTCTGTATTTTATCAGTAAATAAAAATTATCCAATAATCTATTATATGAAGTACACTTCTCCAGCCTCTACAAGATAAACTGCATTTCATGTTGACCCGGCCGTGCAGGACAGCAGAATCATGTGAACCCACTCTCTTATAGCCCAGGGCCTTAATAAACTAAGGCTCGCAAAGAGAAAAGTGCATTTCCTGTCTGTCTCGCGACCCAATGTAGAGCACTTGTGCTCAACTTACCCCACTGGACTTCAGCTTTTCACTGTGTTTTTCACAGAGTGTACTGTACAATCTTGATTTCCTCACACAGTGTATCACCAATCTCGATTATTTTTGCATATTTGCAATTTAATATACAGAAGCTGATTTAAATCAGTTCTGAACCTAAACACGCTGCCTTCCTAGTACATATCCTGTCTAGATTTGATGCTAATGAAGGCTTACAATAGATACGACCGAACTGAAAAACCATCTTCTGCTCCTATCAGCTGGGATATGATAAAAATAAAGATAAAATCTCTAAATTTGGAGATATCGTAAATGTCAATATTTTGCAAAGCTTAACACTTTTGTAAGTCAAGCACATTTAACACAACACTCACACTACAAGGGCCCATGCTACACTTAAAATTATTAAAAGCTCAAATGAAACACCCAGAACCTCCTGAAACTTAAGAAAACATGGCGGCTCTATGTGGACATTATCATTCAGAGAGGTTTGGCGTGAAATGTTTCCATACATAATGTTGAAAATGGTGAAATAATGGGAAAGTTTTCTTTGGGTACTGTTTTGCCTTTGTGCAACCTACATGCACTTGTGCATAAATTTTGCATACTTATCAAACATTCCATCCATCTGGGATGAAAGACATCGAACTTTGTGGGAAGCAAGGTATGGCTTGGCAGGATTTTAGAAGGTCACTACCTTTGGCCACACAGGGCTGCAGCTGTGGTGGAATAGTAGGAACAAAATTCTGCCCAATTCTGCCCAAAAAGCTTACATTAATTTTGATGGTAACCATTGCTTCCATAAAACAGCAATAAAATGCCATTACTGCATGTTTTAGAGGCTCCTCAGCTGAACTATTTTCCTCAGTAATGCTGATGAAATATATTTCAGTGGAAATGTGTATGCAAGTCATTTGCACAACCAAGCAAGTTTATAAGTTATTTTATGTGCTATTTTTTTTTATTATTGCAGCTGTACATTGCTCATTGCTCTCTAGCAGCTCAACACAGTCACAACATTTCACATATAGTGTCCTAGTTAATTTGATGACAGAGTTATGAGTCATGAAAATCCTTTTATTTGAATAGATTAAATAAAAACATCCAAGTCATTCATGGTGTACTTAACCCCTTAATTGGCCAGGCCCACTGGTGGGCCCAAAATTTGATTACTTACGTCTATAACCTAAGAATAGCTCTACCAGTTTGCACTGAAGTCCCTGTAGTTACTGAATAATAAGCCTTAGTAAGTAATAAGCTTGAGATTTTAAGGGATTAACACGAAAAGGCCACTTTCATCCTGACACTACTGTCAAAATGCTATAGTGCTAAATGTACCTTATTTAACTTCATATAACAACAGGTGTATGGCTATATTGCTAAAACCAGAACAGATCTCCTGAATCTGCTCTAATAGTGGGCTAACTTCACTGTACATGTGCCAAAACACTGCTAACAAAAAGTACTGCTGCTGCCAAGTCATACTAACCAGCATTTAAGTGTGATTTCTGTAATTATGTGGTCTGGGTTATTTCCTTTACACCATGCCCCAAAATCTGCCCTGCTTCAGCCTTCAAAACATAAAGCACAATGGGCAAAATGCATGTTGTCTTAAAATGACTCAATTTTTTTGGAACCTCATCTGTGTTGACATTTTTTTCAACAGATGCGTATCAAGGAAGCCCATGCAGCATTTATAGTACAGTGAGTAAACCAAAGAACAGGTCATGCGCCAAGATTAGTAAGGCAACTGAGAAGGTGCATTCTTTGCTGCTGAAGCATGAATCTTTGTGTTTAGGCCATTTTCAAAACAGGTTACTCCATCTGTTCAATGTACAACACAGATCAATCAGCACTGTGTGTTTTCCAACATGTCCGCACATGGAAGCAAGATCCCCAACCAAAACAAGACTTCAGAAGTGCCATAATCTGCTTTACAGGTCTGCTTTGTACAGTAGCTGTCTTGCATCTCATGCATAATATTGCGAATACAAGTGTTTCAGCTTTCTGCTGAAAGGCTACATTTCCGCCTTTGGCTTGGCAGGAAGTGCAGCTATAAAACTCAATGATGTAATTTGCTGCGAGTGAGCTGAACTGTCGCTTATCCACAGAGAAACTTCCTGATGTCTACAAGCCAGTCAGCTTTAGGACACCCTACACTTCCTTTTTGTCAATATTCCCACCTCACCCACCCCCCCAAACTTTCAGATACCCACGTATATCACTTGATCTCTTGTCAAAGCAACAAAAAACACACAATAGACAAGCACATGGTGTTTTTCCTCCCTCAAAGCATCACAGTATAAATGGATAACAGCGAGAACACAGCCCACCACGTGAGAAGCACAAGCTTGACTTCGCCATGGTGGTTATTGGGTTACAGCACTAGATAATGCCATGTGTGGGCAGTCATTGCTAATTCATGCTACTAAGCCAGGCTGGGGCTGAATGCTTCTGGAACATCTTTTATAGGGTCCATATTAGTGCTGCATGAAAGTTCAATAATGGTAAACAATTGAATACTCTAACTTTCAACGCTATTAATTTCAAAAAGAGACTGACAGCGTTGAAAATTAGAGAATTTTAACAATGTAGACACTGTTAAAGTACTGTTTACTCCCCAATCTATACAGTCCATGTACACAAACAAAGCTACAAAAACAGCCTGTTTTGAATTTGCTTTTGTGATGTCACAAAAACCAACTGCCTTTACAGCAGTTTTGCCCAGCCTTTTCAAGCTAAAGTTATAAGGAGCATTTCAGCCTGCACTGTTTTTTAAATGAGGCAATCAGAACAGAGCTAATTTACATATGTCTTAAAGGCACAGTTTGGTTCATTCTGAGAGATAAAGAGAGGCTAGAAAATTTTATCTGGAAAATTCTCACTGTTTTTTGTACATAAAACTACACATATGTCACAAGCAAAAAAATGCACCATATCTGTCTTCAAATAAGCTAACGTTACTTTGACATTGTATTCTGTACTCTGTTAAGCTGTAACAATCCGAGCACTTTTTTGTGTTCAGTCTAATAAACAATCATTGTTTACCGGTTTTAAGTTTAGCCACAGCATCATTTCGGTATCAAGCACTGTGATACTACTACTGTTTGGTATAGTGTAGTGGGTAACACCTCTGTCTTCTATGCTGTAGACTGGGGTTGAATCCCCTTCCTGGGTAGGCACCCTACACTATACCAATGAGAGTCCTTGGGCAAGACTCCTAACACCACCTTAGCTTACCTGTGTAAAGTGAGCCAATTGTAAGTCGCTCTGGATCAGAGCATCTGCCAAATGTAATGTACTACATGTAACAAAGTCAAAATTATGCTACTGTGACAACTCTAGTCTATTTCAAAAAGCTGGGCTAGTACAAATGTGGCTAACAGTCAATTGAGGCCTGATGCAAAGTCAGTTAGGAATGTATACAACTAAAATTTGTTAAACACTGAATGTTCCGTTACAACGAGCACTGAGGTTGAGATCTGTTCTTCACATATCCGACTCACACAGACAACAATATTGAAGTTATGCAGTCACCTTGTTTGTGAGCTAAGGGCATGGGACCTGCTGAGGACAGGTTAGTCCAGTTTGAAGCCTCTCTCAGGTGCACCTCTGCCACACTTTCCACATAACCTAGCAGTGGCATGTCACACCAGTAAGCCTCTACTAGTGCTATTAATAGTGTAGTATCTTGGTTAATTTTTAATTTAGACAGCTTCGCAAGGAAAAGCTAAAAAAGTATGTATTTGATCCATTATACCAGATCATATTGAACATTCAACAAACAGCATTTTCACTTCTTGCTAAAGTCACAAGTTACTGGCTTACTGTGGATCACATAAGCGACGATATGGCTTATGACCAAATTAAGACCTTTTCTGCCTTTTTATCTCCTGAAAGACAATACAAGCACCAAAATAAATATGACCCTTTATTCACTTCAATCACGACACTCTCTAGCCTCATATGTTACTAACTTCATTCCTCTGAAAATTCATTTGTATAGAAAAAGTGATGGGGCTAATTAATGTACATTTTACTTTGCTTTGCAAGGTAAAACCATTATGCTAAAACATGACTGGATCCTGTCTTTTACGCCAACTAATCACAGGGTTCTCAACTCTTTCCAACTATTTGACATAAACTAGGCCTTACTGGTGCAAACAAAGTCATTCAATGTGGTCTAATTTGAAATATCATGTCAAAATTGTTGACAGTGGTGGTGGGAACCAGACGTCCAAGGCTTTTTACGGCTCTAAAAGCTCACATCACAGCATACGATTACATGAAGTGGTTACAAATACTCTGTCTGATGCCGGAGACATTTTGTTTTTTGGCCTAAAATGTAGATTTTTTTGATACATTAATGGGGAAGGCAGTACATACAGAGTATTGTAAAGCAAAAAAATAGACTCCTAAGTTTTTTTTAGGTTTTTGTGTTCGTTTCAGATTTACCACTGTTGTGTCATTTTTAACATTACATCTAAATACACTGGTCATTTTGGATAGTCAATAAAATGGCTATATTTGTGTTGTAGACATCAAGACCCTTGGTTCCCATCACCACCACTGTAGAGAATTCAGCACTTTAAGTTTCTTTACAATGCACCACGTAACACCAAACCCTAATCAATAACTTTGTTTACATCTCAACAATTATATTACGCACGCATTTTGAAAACATGGTGGAAATACTTGAAATACTCAGGTGCCAGAACAACAATCACTGCCAACCTCAAACAAACCCAACCTCACTAAGCATTATTTAGGCCAAGCTCATGTATAATCATTTTAACTATATTGACTATATATAGCTAATGTCCATGTAAACATGGCCGTTTTTGTGTTTAAACTCACTTTGTGCATTCTTACACAGCTTAATGCTTGTTAATGCCGACTGGTGTGGGAGGTTTTTTTTGGCCTTGGAATTCCCCAGAGAGTGAGAGAAAAGCACAATAATCTGGTGCTTTCAATTGTTAGACTGCGGTGTTACGTAGCCAGTTGGACTACCAACAACTGCTATAAAAAGCTCTGGAAAAGAAACGTCTTCTTGATGGGCTACATGCTCAAACATACAGAGAAAAAGGTCTGCTGTGCACACTGGGGAAAACTGGCCCTGCCTTTTGTTCTGTGGAAGCCACGGGACACACCTCCAAGTTTTTATGAGCTTTAAAGGGCCCATATCCTGCATTTTGAGCGGATTTTATTACTTTCCCTCAAGGCTCACATTTGACGTTTGCGAGGGTTTAAGTGCCAAAAACAGTCATAATTCATTTTTACATAACCATTTTCCAACCTCTCCTTCTCCTTGAGGATTACACAGGCTGTTTTTGTTATTGTGCCTTTAAAACTGATATATGTAAATGAGCTATGTGCCTATTGGCTGTCCTGTATTGTGCCTCATTCAAAAAGAAGTGTAAGCGAAACACCCAGTAGAACTTCAACTTGAATGGGCAGGGCTAAACTGCTGTAGGCTGAATAAGCAGACGCGTTGTTTTTTGTGACATCACAAAACAGAACAGAATTCAAAACAATATTAACTGGGGGACTGAACAGTCTGAGACTTGTATTATATAATGTGTTATGCTACATTATCACTCTTATTTTATATAAAGAAGCAGTTTTTAAGATATGTGTTCCTTAAGAGTCATGGCGCCTCCAATGTCTGACGTTTATATATACATATCTACACCCAAAACTTTGTCTGAATCTCAAATGGCTCTCTACACCCTAACTAGTGTACTTTGTAGGTCTTAAAATAATAACTCCTGCACCCAAAACAGTAAATAATAAGTCTAACAAAGCCATCTGGGATTCAGCCACGTGTGCACACTTCCCTGCTAGGATACGTTGTGCGTTTGGGCGAGGAAGGAAAATTTCATGAGTGCACTATATCTATATAGCTAGTGAGTACGGAGCCATTTGGGATACAGCCTTAAACAGGCCACATCTCTTATAGAGAGACTTGATCAAATCAGTCAAGCTAGGTCATTTTCTTTGGAGACGTTAGCATCTAAAAAGGGGAAATGTGGTCGACCAAAGAAAGTAACTGTACCAGGGAAACATCCAAGTTGTTCTCTAGACTAACTAATAAGACCTGTTAACGTGCTAAAAGCCAAAGAAATGGTAAATAAAACTGAGCCCCCCGCCCACACCGCCCTGCTCCTCTTCCCACGCACACGGGCTGTAAACAATCAGCTCTAAAAATATGGAAACATGAACACGGAGGTTAGCATTATGTCTCACCAGCATATTCACACTCCTAACGAAGAGCATACAGGGGTTGTTGAATTCGAGTCAATTTTCTCCACACGCTCGTTTTCCCCCCACAGAAACGCCCCTTAATGGCTTTAAAATGGCAGACGTCCTATTACTAACGTTATTACCTCAGTGTTACCACTCAGCATGGGAAAATACTGCGCGTTCAGTAAAAAAAAAACAACATTCACATGCTGGATTATACGTTGGGTTTGAGGGTAAATACTGCTTTATTATGAGAGCTCATATTTATGACCAGTCTACTTCCTTATAAACCTTATATTATTTGCTCCTATACGTTTTCGAGCATCGTCAGATAATACAAAAGCCCATTCTGAGAATTCAAAGTTGGTTGCCTATTCGAATTTCCCGTTCCACCTTAAATGGTGCAGCAGTTACAGTCTGGCGCCCGAGGCGCCTGTATGTAACTGCTGCACCATTTAAGGTGGAACGGGAAATTCGAAATAAGAAGCAGCTTCGTCATTTTGAGCTGACAAAATTGGGGGGAAAAGTACAGTCTAATACCATACCACCCCCTGCAAGTCCAAAAACACAGATTTACACGTTTACCTCCACGCAAACCCCTGTCGTCCCATCATTATTTGTGCATATATCTACGTATCCACAGTGTGCAAAGTGGAAACACCTCCTAAACAGAAAGCAAGCACTTGGTCCGAGTCGCATGCATGAAGAAAGGGGAGATCAAAACACACACATACCCATCCATTGCACAGAAGAAACAGTGGCGAGGTAAAACGACAGGGTGAGCACAGACAGCGTGGAAATAATAATAATTAAAAAAAACACGCAGAATGTGGGTGCTGTTCAGCACAGCTTCGACTCCCAGCACAGTTTCACTCAGCTCAGCAACAAAGGCGCACACACACTCGCATACACACTTCCTGCTACTGACGTGAGCACAGAAAACACACACACACACACATACACAGGCATGCACAGGCGCCTCTTTACAAAATGGCCTCCCTTTCGTAAACTGACACACCTTTTTTAAGAAGTACAAAACGCATTGTAAGTGCTGAGGTGCTTGTTTCTGGTCGGACCACATGCTCTCCAAACATGGCTGAGAGCAAAACAAGGAGCACAACTGGGCTCTTTGCCATCTCTGATGTTCCTCAGCACCGGGATGAGCACATGGCTGACTTAGGTGGGAACTATAGGGGAGCATTTTGTGCCTGGCAGTGTGTTAAGTGACTTTAAAACGCACAATGCGATGTTAACAACGCTTTGAAGGGCAACCCCACCGAATTTTCACAAAAATTCTACTTGATATAAGGGTTGTGATGTAAACAAATCCATGCGGAGTGGTTTTGTGTGAAATGCTCCGTTTTAGAGAAACTTATAGTCAGAACTGTCCACAGTGGTGGTGATAGGAACCAGACGTTCACCTCTAAAGGCTCCCTCACAGAACGGTATTAAAGATTTTGTATCAAAGATTTTGATACATGCAGGGTGTTGTGAGGCAAAGAATTTTTTTTTCTCAGATTTCCCACCGTTTTACCATCATCAACCTTACATATAAAAGCTCAGAAGACACGTGTAGGCTCAGGTTTTAGTAAATAAAATGGCTACATTTGTGTTGTAAACATGGCGACCCCTGGTTCCTATCACCACCACTGTAAAGAAATCTGAGTCGGTAAGTTTCTCTAAAATAACATCAAACCACGCTGAAAGACTGAGGACTGAATTATTCTGAAATTTTTAAAGATTGGTGGAATTCTCCTTCGTAACAACGTAATATAAAAGCGAGTACAATGGGTTTAACTTCATAAACACTAAATAATAATAATGTAAACAGCAATGTCAGTAATAGCTGATTTTATATTTTTTAGACTCTGCACATATGTACACATTTAAATATTGATCTTTTACACTAAATCTTTAATATATTGTTATTAAAGTGTATTTACTTTTTCCTAGTTAGTTTTCTTAATTTTTTTGTATAGTTGTGAATAGTCTTTGTACTTGTCTGATCTGTTGGTGAAATAAAGTGATTCTGGTTGATAACAATGATTGTCAAGTTCCAGGATCCCGCAGTGGTCCAGATTTCTAACTATGTTCATGCACAGCTGTTTTTAGCAGATATAATAAGGGGTTGATGATATTCTCGCCCTGTCAGAGGATACGACTGAGGAGATGTTATCTTCTCAGGTTCTGGAAACATGTGGAAACTTGTTGCACCAGTTGGACTAGATTTACTGCAGTCTTGTATGCACAAGCAGTTGTGTGTCCATCCTTAGTCATGTGCATATTTCCAGTGCAAAGGTTAGAAAATGCTTTTTGGTGATGCATATTTCTATTGCTACCACAAATATGATCTGAACATGTTAGATTTTAAAGTATCTATCAATATAAAGGTGCTATTTGGTAGCTTCTGAGACAGCTTTCGTAGACTGTGTATCATGTGTATTATATATTTACACCTTCAGAAGCACCAAAAGGCATTTTGTTTGTGTGTCTGCAAAAATGTGTTTTAAATTTTTAATATCCAAGTTATTTTCACGTTACAAGTTATTTGTGTGTGTGTGTGTGTGTATATATATGTGTGTATGTATATGTATATATATATATACACACACACACACACACACACACATATATATATATATATATATATATAATATATATAAGCATATATAGTATGTAATTAAACATAATATTAATTTATTTATTTATTTAAAATTTTATTATTTTATTGTATTCGTCTTCTCTGTCCAGATGGAAAAGACATATAAGAGAACATACCGTAACACGCCCCCCTACACAGCAGAGGGCGCTGAAGATGCATCACCCATAATAATCTTACAGATACTAAGTCATTTTTGTGGCGTTACTAATACTTTAAATAATCTCTGTGGATGGTTCCTATTGGAATTTATAAAGCAATGTAATTTCAAAGTAAATAAATGAATATGGCTTTAGTTCAGCCATGCTACAACTAATTTTAAATCTCACTAAATTTTAAAGTGCCAAAAATGGCGCACAGGAAGTGCGCACGAGTGTGGGTTCTAGCTAGTAAATATCTCGGACTGGGCTAAAGGGCAAATCAGCCCTGCTGATGTTACAAACTGGGCTGTAATTCAGCGCTTTTCTAATCTGTCTTCTCACTGAAACCTGGTGAATTCCTTCACTACGCAATGCTGCAGAATTCGGGGTGAGTGTGTTACTGTAGTTACAGCCGCTCTTCATTTCCTGTTTAGTGAAGTTGATGCTGCAAACTTACCAGCCAGCTTGCTAACATTGAGGCTTTGTGCGTGATTGAAGTCTGTAATATTTAACGTTAGCTGGCTGGTTGCAGTCGCTTTAAATGACTCTGATATTTTGCATACATAGTTGAATGTGAATCTCATCAGGTTTGTGCAAAACTGAAGTGGCACAGTTTGCAGGTCATTATGTATAATGGAGCTGAATGGTGATCTTTGGAAAGAAAGATCCTTTATAAACCAGCAAGAAGCTTTCTACACTAACTTAGTTGTGTGTAATCATAGTAAATGGAATTATCTTCTACATGTGCCAACTAGTACTTTCACTATACCTGATGACTGTATTTGGGGCAAAAGTCTGTGCCAGTGATAATGGCCTCTTCTCCCAAGCTGTGAATAGGTTTAAAGGGCCCATGTTATATATTTTTTTTTGCATTTGTACTTTTTTGTTTTGTTCTGTTTTGTTTTATTTTTATTTGACCAAAAATGGTAAAAGTGACATGTAAATAATTCTACATGACTATTTATATGTCCTAATTCATTTCTACCTGACCATTTCCACTCTTAGAATTAAACAGGCTGTGCCTTTAAGACTGAGCTATGTGCAAGATCTCTGTTCTGATTGGCTGCCCTCTATTGTGCGTTGCTCAAAAAGCAGTCCAGGCGAAACTCTCCTTATAACTTCAGTGCAATTTGGCGGAGCTAAATTGCTGTAGGCTGAATAGACAGGTATATGTAAATAATTATGTAAATAAAATAAAGTCACAAAAGCAGTGAATTCAAATCGGGCTATTTCAGCAGCTGAGTTTCAATACATGGACTACATTGTGAACGGTGCATCTCAAAACTTTGCATACTACATCTTATTCTAGAAAAAGTTTGGTTTTCCATGATGTGGTCCTTAAAGACTGCATGTAAAAAACATTGCTTTGCATGTGTTGCTTGGTGCTTTTAGCAACATGCTGTTGTAGGTCTAACTTGGACAATGACCTGTGCATTGATACAGAAGGCTGTCCGGATACACCCTGTTTATCACGGGTGCGAGTCGAGGCATTGGTAAGGCCATCGCTCTCAAAGCTGCCAAGGACGGTGCCAATGTGGTCATAGCAGCCAAAACTGCCGAAGCCCACCCCAAGCTGCCTGGCACTATCTACACAGCTGCTGAAGAAAGTAGGCCATCAGAACAATGTTGTAAAGCCAAACAGTACAATTACTGGGTTTTGAGATTGTGTCTGGTGTAATAACTGCTTAATAGGATCTGTTTTGACTGTCGGGCAGTTGAAGCAGCAGGCGGGAAGGCTTTGCCGTGTATCGTGGATGTCCGCGATGAGAAGCAGATCAGTGATGCAGTGGAGAATGCAGTGAAAGAAATTTGGAGGTGAGTCACAGACACAACAGATCAAGTCTAGCTAGGATATTGCTACTCTAGCATGAAGCTTGGCCACGCTACTGGCCACCCCAGTTATGAAAATCAATCAGCTATCTTCAACAAAGCATCAATAACACTTCATGGTAAAAATCTGCCATGAGTGTACCAATCAGTTATAAGAGAATTATGCTGCATTTAATAGCGTATCTTGCTGTGATTGGCTAATCTGCTGAGCAGACAGGTGAATGAATGTGCACTGCGTCCTTCAGCTGTGCTGCTCTGTGAGATGAGACTATTTAATGGTGAAATGAGTTAACTATCAAAAATTAGACATAAATAATTGTTTCACACTAACTAATCACCTAATGAGTAACTTCTATTGTCTGTCTATATGAAATGTTTTTTTAATGTTAACACTGTACACTAAAAAAGTGATGCATTTAATTTACATGATTCAAATACATAATTTCCTCGTGAAAGACAGAAACAGGTTACATCAATACAATCTAGTCTTGTGCTTTACTTTTGGTAGTAGTTGTATGGATCTATTTTTTTTCATGTGAAAATGATGGATTGATTTAAATAGGTGTAGAAAAAAAAACAATACGCCACTTTTTATGTCATTTTAAGAGAGTAATTCTATTTTCTTTAGTTTTATTTAGTATTTAGATCAGTCCTAATAAAATCTCCTCTGGATCCTTTGATTTACGTTTGATTTTGATTTAAGTCATTAAGGAGCCAAAACACTGCTAACACTGCAGCATATTAAATTGACATTGCAAAACTGGCAACAGGTTCTTTGAGTGTTCATGGTTCAATATAGAATCATGAACACTCAAAAAAACCCTTTGCAAGAATAAACATTTAAATTAAAGGGTTCTTTGCATCATGAAAGGTTCTTCAGATTCATTTCTGTCACAGAGAAACCCAGCGTAGACCCAGTGTAATGAAAATAGTTGACAATGTTAAAAGCTGATGAATTTCTCAGAGCATCAGCCTCTCACATGTAAAAGTGTAAATGGTAAAATTTGACGCTAAAAAAATTTGACAGGGTTTGCTACACCAGAGTCCCTAGTATGGACATGACGCCGACTGCAGTCTATTAAGACGAAGCTCAAAGTATGGGGTGATTCACTCGTCAGTATTGTTTGACCGACAACAAGTCAGTCATTAGCACATAGACGTAATGGAAGTAATGTAATGTAAGCATGACTAAAAACTTCCCCATAACACCCCAATGTGTGTCGTGCGGAGTATTACATGCAGTAAAAATAAAAATAAAAATAAACATTACCTCTTGCAAAGAAAAACAGTTCCAAATTTTGTCATGCAGACCTATTAGTTGGGAAGAAAGGTTCTATTGTTCTAATGTTAGTCTTCTGCTCATTATAACTACAGGAATTGACATCTTGGTGAACAATGCCAGCGCAATCAGCCTAACTGGGACTCTGGATACTCCCATGAAGAAAGTGGACCTTATGTTGGGCATCAATCTCAGAGGAACATATCTGACGTGAGCAGAAACATAGTTAGACTGTAAATGTCTATGTTGCATATATATATGACTGATCAAGTGCCTCCAGACTTAAAGGGTCCACAATTTTCCGTCCTGTCTTTATCCCACAGATACAATTAAACAGGCTGTTTTTGTTACTGTGCTCATGTATGTAAAAGACCTCTGTTCCTATTGGCTATATTGTATCTCATTCAAAAAGTAGTGTAGGTTGGAACAACACTCCTTATAACTTCAGTGTGAATGGGCGGAGCTAAACTGCTCTGGGCTGAATAGGTGGAAATATGTAAATGTGTTGTTTTCGTGACATCACAGAAACAAAGTTATTTCTGTAGCTTAATTTCCATGTATGGACAGTATGGATGGTGTTTATTTCATACAAGTTTGAAAGTACAAAATTGACAATATGGGCAAAACAGTCTGCTTAATTCCAAGGGTTTAAGAGAGTTTGGATGAATGATCATGTAATAGCCTGTTTTTGGTACCTATGTTATAAGAGGCCTTCAGGGGAAAATACAGAAAATGCAAGAAAAGCATAAGATTATATTTTATAGATAATAATGTTTTGTATTGCTGTATGTTTCTCTAACCTCTGATTTTTGTCAAGCAATTATCTTTCCATCTTCTTGTGAATTAGGTCTAAACTGTGCATCCCACATCTCTTGAAGAGCAAGAACCCTCACATTCTCAACCTCAGTCCCCCGCTGAACCTTAACCCTGTATGGTTTAAAAACCACACAGGTGAGCATCGAGAGGCCTCAGACCATTTCAGGGGGTCTACTGTTATGATATGGGCTTTTCTTTTACATATTCTAACTCTCTATGCAGCATACACCATGGCAAAATATGGCATGTCCATGTGTGTCCTTGGAATGGCTGAAGAATTCAGGGGCTCCATTGCTGTGAATGCCTTGTGGCCTAGAACAGGTAAATTCTATTTGACACCATCACCAGTGTTTACGGCTATATTCAGATGGTAATTGCAATGTAACTACTATGATCATTCATTGTTTGTTTTCTTCTATTTATGTTCAAAGGCATTCAGACGGCTGCAATGGACATGCTGGGTGGATCTGGAATAGCAAAACAGTGCAGGAAAGTTGAAATTATGGCTGACGCTGCTTACGCCATCCTCTGCAAACCTGTCAGCTATACAGGACAGTTCATCATTGATGAGGACATCCTCAAGAAGGAGGGCATTAAAGACTTTGATGTATACGCAGTCGAACCAGGTAAGCTGTTTTTAACTTTTCTTCAGATACCTCAATTTATTTTCGCCAAATTTGTTAAAATCATTTCCCTTTGAAATATGGCAGTGTCTAAAAACATTTAGACAAAGTACATCTTAATTCAAAATATATTCCCTGCGTTACCTATGAACAAATAAGGCTGTAAGTACGATAAGCCTACTGATGTTTATTTCACTCAGGCCACCCACTGCTTCCTGACTTCTTCCTGGATGATGAGCCAGAGAAGCTTGAGAAGATGATGGAGCAATCTGGTGAATGCTGTTAATTAATTGATAGTAAATGCTAATGCTTATTATACAGTGGCCCCAAATGTATTTGAACACTTTTCTGGGCCAATGATGAAACCTCATAATTAATAATCAATAATTATTGGTAATTAAAGTGGCCAGTATTTACCATTTTACATTTTGCACTTTAAAACAAGTTTACACTGTAATCCATGTATGAAGTGCTGTGAGAATAAGAATCTTGACACGACAATCAGACATGCCTGTTATTAGAAACATGCACATTATATAATGGCCACCTTTAGTGACTGTACATGTGTCAATGCATTTTTTATAGATAATTGTTATATGGGACTGGCAATATATATTGTGCATCCCTAGTTAGATGAATTTCCCTTTGCTGTGAATTTTTTTCTCAGGTGCCAGTCCTGCTTTCAAGGGTGGAAAAGTCAGTGCTGAAGCAGCTCTCAGTGGACCCATTGGTGGAACTTTTAACGTGATCAAGGGAATTCTCAGTCCAGAGCTGGTCAAAACCACGCAGGGAGTTTACAAATTCGACCTGTCAGGTGTGTCCTGACCATCGTTGCTGTGTCTAAACTAGCCACATTAGGTCTCTAAGTGTCTTGCTGTACATGTATTGACAAAAGCAGCAAAAAGAGTGTTTGTTTTATGTTTGTTTTCCAGGGAAGCATCGTGGAGTTTGGTACATTGACCTGAAGAATGACGCAGGCAGTGTGGGCAGTGGGGAGCCACCAGTCAAAGCTGATGTCGTGATGAGCTTGGACAGTGACGACTTTATCAAGATGTTCTCAGGTAAGAAAACTTGCTTTACTATATTCGTCCACTGCTCATATAAAATGCAAAATAACTGATGTACACTGACTGTCCAGAAAAAAAATGAATTAGCCACTTAAAGGGCCCATATCATGGAAACGCAAACTTCCTTTTATTTTTATTTTTAAATAAAGATATCTGAAGAAGTATGTAGATGCTGTTAAAGTTTCAAAACTTACCCAGTATATACATACGTAATATACGTAAAATCTGTGCTCCAAAAACAGTCCGTGTTGAATTAATAGTCCCTGTGATATCACAAGAACCAACTCTTGAACATATATCCACCTATTCACCTTACAGCAGTGTAGCTCTGCCCAGTCATATTGAAGTTATTATAAGGAGTGTTTCAGCTTGGAGTGTTTTGGAATGTGGCACAATACAGAGCAGCCAGTCAGAACAGAGGTCATTCATCTTGTCATCTTGTATCGGTCTTAATATAAAGAGAGGCTGGAAAATGGACACGAATTTTGAACATTTTTACAGTATCCGTTTCACTCATGCATTAAAGCATCATGTGAAAGTAAATTCATATATATCAATAAAGCCATCACTGTATTGATGCATGTATCATGTGTCACTGATTTGGAATAACAGGTCCTCTGACACCTTGGCCACACCCTCTCCACAAACTGTAAACCAGACCCATAATGACAGAATGTGCCAGGTGAAGTCATTTTCTGGCTCTGCATTGGCATGTATGACGTGAAAATAGCAAAAAATTTCCAAAAACTACATTGTGTTGTCAGACGAAATTTCAAGCCTTTTAGCGTTGTGAGACGACGCTATAAGCCAGTTTTGCAGCTGTTAGTGCTAACTAGCCTCACAGTGGAGTGGGCGTGGTAGGGGATCAGGGGTCCCCTCTGATATTTTGCTTGTCTGTCTTTTCATCTTATTTAAAACTTCTGACACAGAATGAACTCTATAGATTCCTTTAAGGGTTAATGAATATCAGGGTCACATAATGTAACAAAAGAAGTAATTACAGTTTATTACTTAGTAATAAGCCACTTGAAGCAGTGGAATGAGAGCTAATATTAACTCTGTCTACAGGGAAGTTAAAGCCAACCATGGCGTTCATGTCCGGCAAGTTGAAGATCGAGGGGGACATGACCCTAGCCATCAAAATGGAGAAGATGATGAGCTTGATGAACAAGTCCAAGCTGTAGGATCAACCTTTCTTCTGCCTTAATTAGTGCCCACCTTTTCTCAGGTGTTTAAGAGCAGCTGGTTAATTAATTGTACTGAAAGTCATGTGGGCTGTGGAACTAAATTGACAAGGAGGTTTTTAACCCTTAGTTTTTTGGACCATTTTTAATGTAGTTTATTTCTATTTAAGTCTGTTGTGATGCAGCAGGCTGAATGTACATGCATTTGAATTAGTCCAGTTATGTTGAGCTGTGAGATGCTTCTCACATGTCCATGACTAAACAGCTGTGGAACTGAACCCATTGAACCGAAGACGTTTAATCTCCAGTCATATTTAACCAGCACTATAAAACAAACAAATAACTGCTGGTGTGCATAAAGGGCATGTTTTCAACTGTACTTTCACACAGCGCCAATGGACTTCATCCAGATCTATCAGATAAAGTCGAAGCAGGAAAGGGATTGCCAAAAAACACTAATGCTTGGTGTCTTGATATGTTAAATAGACACACAACAGTTAAACTGCTGAATATTATTTGCTGTTAAATTCTAAGACAGTTCTCTACAGTTCCTGTTTCTGCTCGTTCATGTTGATGTATTTGCTTAATTTTGCCTTAAAATTGTAATAAACAAATCAAATTCAAACTGGACTGTGCTCGTTTCCAAATTACACATTTTGTTGATTTTTTTTTTTTTTTAATGCAAAAAAGTTCACATCCTCTACAGCAGGGGTCTTTTTTATATATAATTTTTTTTTTTAATTGGATATTTAACCCAATTATCTCCCCAATTTAGTCGTCGCCAATTCCACCCGCTAGTTAGGACTCCCCCAATCACACAATACTATCAACGCTAGGAGGGCGAAGGCTAACACAGGCTTCCTCCGAGATCTGTGAAACCAGCCACCACTTCTTTTACAACTGCCGCTCACGCAACGTCATTGGACAGCCGAACACGCTCAGAGGAAAGCGCCAACCGCCAGATCTGTTACATCAGCTAACAGACGCCTGCGCTGACTGGCATCGCGTTGGGTGATGGGGGGAGGGGGGACGGGGGGGCCCATCCTGCCCACCCAGGTAGAGTGAGGCCAATTGTGCTCTCTTGGACTCCCGGCTACGGATGGCTGTAGCATCACCAGGGATCAAACTTGCGATCTCCTGATGATACGGCCAACGCTTAGACGCCACTCGGGAGCCCCCATAGCGGGGTTTTTTAATTAAAATTCAATAAGGTCCAGTTAGAGAACATTTCCTCATCAAAGGTCTGGAACATCATAATGCCTAGCTTGCATTATGATTCAGTGCCATATACTGTTAACTGAAGTAGCCTAGTAGGTATATCAACATCTTATGTAGTCAACGACTGAATGTCAAATTAAATAAAGTACAATTCTGTCATATTTCAACAAGATTTATTGTCAGTTTTCTCTTTTTAGAGCACGCCATGCTCACTTTCTTCTCCGACTGCTGTGTCGCGCCTCATCCCGCCTCTGTGTGTGCGTCACTCACTCAAGTCTCAGTAGTCATCGTAATGCACAGATCTGATTGGCTGAGTAGCGTCACGTGTGATATTTACAATGCATGCGATTGGTCTGTGAGTTTGCCGGGCTGCTAAACCAGTATCGTAATGACAAGAAATGATACACCGATTAAAATAGGAGCACCCCATCGAAATTAAATAATTATCCATAGTTTTTGGTTATAGGTTCAGGTCTGCATAGGACAGCATCTGGATCCGGACTCGGACCGCGGTCCGCCTATTAGTGACCTCTGCTCTACAGAGAACACACCTAAATATGACATTCGTCTGCAGATTTTAGTGCATAATTTCTATTTATTCAATAATTATAATAAAATATAAAATGTACCAAAACTTTTGCATATGCCACATTTTATGTTTTATTTTTTCCGATATATTAAAATCGGCAAAGAAAAAAATAATGGTGCATTAAAGTGTGTAAAAGTATGTTCTCAGAAGAGGATATGTCAAATTGACCGGGATGCCCAGAGTTTTGTGTAGAGCTGTATAATGTCCGCAATTCACATGTATATTTTTGAACGTGTTCAATAGTGACTACTAATAGGTACGATTTTATAGCCTGTATTAAATAAACGTCAATCTCAGGCTAATTCCCAAATGTGAATTTTTCAGTCCTCTTCAAGAGCTAATGAGCTGAATAACATCTGGAAGTGCTGCATTTGCCTACATTGCAGATGTTTTAGGATTTATCACAACAAATGTGAGATACGTTAAAAAACATCAATCAGTTCTCTGAATTCTTTATATCTATCCAAGGACAGTCTGATTCCTATATGAGGTTCTGACATAATTTCAGAAACTTAATAATCTCTGTTTTTTTTCCCAGACTGAGAAAGAGCACATAAACACGCTGTTCTCTGCTTTCTGGAAACTATGAATCTCACTAATCAATGGAAGACTCAAAATATATTTGATAATGTACAACCCCAATTCCAAAAAAGTAGCGATGCTGTGTAAAATGTAAATAAATGTAAATAAAAACAATGCAAATAGACCCATATTTTATCATTTTACCATTTCATGAAAAATATGAACTCATTTAGAACTTGACGGTAGCAACGCATCTCAAAAAAGTTGGGACGGGCAACAACAGACTGGAAAAGTAAGTGGTACTAATAAAATACAGCTCGAGGAGCAATTTGCCACTAACTTACATGACTGGGTATAACAAGAGCATTTTAGAGAGGCAGAAGTTCACAGATCTGCAAAAAACTGCATCTAAAAATTGTGGAGCAATTTCAGAAAAATGTTACTCAACGTAAAATTGCGAAGACTTTCCATATCCCACCACGTACAGCACATAATATCAAAACATTCAGAGAATCTGGAGAAATCCCTGTACGCAAGGGACAACGCCAATGGTCAATATTGGATGCTCGTGATCTTCAGGTCCTCAGGTGGCACTGAATTAAAAACAGGCATGATTCTGTACTGAACATCACTGCATGAACACTTCCAGAAAATCATTGTCTGGGAACACAGTTCGCCATGCAATCCACAAATGCAAGTTAAAGCTGTTGCAAAGAAGCCATATGTCAACACGATCCAGAAACGCCGCCGTCTTCTCTGGGCCAAAGCTCAGTTTAAATGGACTGAGGCAAAATGGAAAACTGTTCAGATAAATTCAAATTTATAATTCTTTTTGGAAACCACAGACGCCGTGTCCTGTGGACTCCAGCTTGTTATCAGTGCACAGTTCAAAAGCCTGCATCTCTGATGGTATGGGGTTGCATTAGTGCCTATGCCATGGAAGGCACTATCAATACTGCATCCATCACAACAGCAGAGCTTCACAGAAGAAGAGTCCAGGTGCTGAACTGGCCTGCCTGCAATCCAGGCCTTTCACCAATAGAAAACATTTGCCCCATCATGAAGCGAAAAATCCTGCAAAGAAGACAAAATCCTACATCAGACAAGAATGGGGCAACATTCCTCTCCCAAACTCCAGCAATTGTCTCCTCACTTCCCAGACACTTAGAAGAGGGGATGCTACACAAGATAGACATGGCCCTGTCCCAACTTTTTTAAGATGTGTTGCTGCCATCAAGTTCTAAATAAGTTAATATTTTTCATGAAATGTCCCACTTTCGACATCTGATATGTGTTCTATGTTTTATTGTAAATAAAATATGGGTCTATGAAATTTGCAAATCATTGCATTCTGTTTTTATTTACATTTTACACAGCGTCCCAACTTTTTTGGAATTGTGGCTGTAGTTGGATAATGGAATATTTACTCTGAAACTCATAGTATCTCGTATTAATTGCTTATTTTCTCAAAATACTGACTTTTGTCGAAATAATTAAGTATCTTGTAATAATGACTTATTAGAGCAAATTATATACTTGCTTGAAATGTAATGTTATTATTCCAAGATACTATTTCAAAATAATTATGAGATATTCAATATTTAAAAAAAGTAGTCATTATCTTATGACATTAAATCAATATGTCAAGAAAATAAGTTGAAAGACCCTAGAACCTGTTCTCTTCCTTTTCACTTGTGTTTATTTTACTTTTCTGTCCTCTGACCATTCTAAGGACAAGTGCAAACACTAGAATGTTCTTGTTTGTGCACTTTGGTCTTTTACATTTTAACTGTTTTGTAAAAGTCAGAACTTTGAAACCTGACAAAAAAACTATAAACTGTCCTTTCAGATCTTTTGAAGAAATCAGGTTTGAACACAACTCATCACAACTCCCAGAGCCCTTCGTTAGATGATACATAGAGGCTGTGGACACCTGGCATCAACATGCATCATTTTCTGTGATCAGATCACGTTTGGATTTCTCTTTGACCGCATGAGAATCCAAATTGTACCAGAGGTGTATATACACTCTTTAAAATGATGGTTCTTTAGGGGTCTTCAGTAAAGAAATTCAGTAAAGAACCATGAACACTCAAAGAACCCTTTGCATGATTAAAGGGCTCTTTGCATCATCAAAAGTTTTTTTTCAGATTGATGGAGAATGTGCTGTACATGGTTCTGTATAGAACCTTTTTGAAAAGGGTACATATATATATATATATATTTATATATATATATATATACACACATATATTTATATATATAGATTCAGATCACAGATAATATGATCTGCACCCTGCAAGAGGCTTTCCCTCCAACTCAGTACCGTAACATGGTACCATAACCACTCTGAAATAAAGGATTACTGTGTAGAAGATGAAAAATGGACGGTGCGCGTTATAATGACCAATCGAAATAATAAAAAAGGTGAGTGTATTTTGGACAGTTTCTATTTGTAGCATAAGAAAATCTCACCATGTTTTTGTAATGCATATAATCAATAAAAATACATCCAGATCATTTGGTTTGCATGAAAGACACATTTAAATAAATGCAGCAAATTTCCAGTGCATTTTGTGGATAAAATATCATATCCATATCAATATATATCTATATCTATATATCTATATCTATCTATATTTATCTATACATATACAGAATATGTGCAATGACATTTCCACAGACCACATTTCATGCTGTATTTTTTTTACCCAATTTGTTAAATGACAATTAATTAATTACAATTAATTGTGTATTAAAATGTGCAGAAGTGTGTACTCTGTAAAAGATGTGTCAACACAACATTTTGCGCGACTGTGCACTTTGCATGCAGATACCGTAACACGTCCCCCTGCACAGCAGAGGGCGCTGAAGATGCTTCATCCATAATAATCTTATAGATAATAAATAATTTTGTGGCGTTACTAAAACTTTAATTAATCTCTGTGGATGGCTCTTATTGCTGGAATTTATAAAGCAATGAATTTTTAAACGTAAATAAATGAATATGGCTTCAGTTCAGCGACGTTACAACTAATTTTCAATCTCACTAATTTTGAAGCGCCAAAAATGGCGCCCAGGAAGTGCGGACGAGTGTGGGTTCTAGCTAGTAAATATCTTGAACTGGGCTAAAGGGCAAATCAGCCCTGCTGATGTTATAAACTGTGCCTTACTGGGCTGTAATTCAGAGCTACTCTAATCTGTCCTCTCACTGAAACCTGGTGAATTCCTTCACTACGCAATGCTGCAGAATTCGGGGTGAGTGTGTTACTGTAGTTACAGCCGCTCTTCATTTCCTGTTTAGTGAAGTTGATGCTGCAAACTTACCAGCCAGCTTGCTAACATTGAGGCTTTGTGCGTGATTGAAGTCTGTAATATTCAACGTTAGCTGGCTGGTTGCAGTCGCTTTAAATGACTCTGATATTTTGCATACATAGTTGAATGTGAATCTCATCAGGTTTGTGCAAAACTGAAGTGGCACAGTTTGCAGGTCATTATGTATAATGGAGCTGAATGGTGATCTTTGGAAAGAAAGACCCTTTATAAACCAGCAAGAAACTTATACATTAACTTACTTGTGTGTGTGTGTGTGTGTATATATATATATATATATATATATATATATATATATATATATATATATACTCTTATTAATCCTAATAAATGGGAAGGAATTATCTTCTACATGTGTGAAGGTAGTAACTTACTTTCGTTATCCCTGATGACCTTTCCCCTATATTTGGGGCATAAGTCTTTGTGACAGTGATACTGGCTTCTTCTCCCGTTAGGTTTAAAGGGCCCATGTCATATATTTTTCTTGCAATTTTTAAGTCCACTTATGGCACTTTTTGTTTTATTTTTGTTTTACCAAAAATTGTAAAAGTGAAATGTAAATAATTCTACATGACTATTTCTTTTTTTTTTATTGCTTTTTAAACGTCGTACAACACAAATTCAAAGGAAAAACATATACAGACCAAATAGATGACTATTTCTATGTCCTAATTCATTTCTACCTGACCATTTCCACTCTATCTCTTAGAATTAAACAGACTGTGCCTTTAAGACTAATCTGTGTACAAGATCCTATTCTGAAACACTCCTAAACTGCTGTAGGCTGAGTAGATATGTAAATAATTTTGTGACCTCACAAAAGCAGTGAATTTAAAGCAGGCTGTTTCTGCAGCTGAGTTTGCATATTTGGACTAGGTTGTGAATGATGCATCTTAAACTTTGCATACTACATTTTATTCTAGAAAAAGTTTGGTTTTCCATGATGTGGTCCTTAAAGACTGCATGTAAAAAACATTGCTTTGCGTGTGTTGCTTGGTGCTTTTAGCAACATGCTGTTGTAGGTCTAACTTGGACAATGACTTGTGCATTGATACAGAAGGCTGTCCGGATACACCCTGTTTATCACGGGTGCGAGTCGAGGCATTGGTAAGGCCATCGCTCTCAAAGCTGCCAAGGACGGTGCCAATGTTGTCATAGCAGCCAAAACCGCCGAAGCCCACCCCAAGCTGCCTGGCACTATCTACACAGCTGCTGAAGAAAGTAGGCCATCAGAACAATGTTGTAAAACTAAACAGTGCAATTACTGGATTTTGAGATTGTGTCTGGTGTAATAACCGCTTAATAGGATCTGTTTTGACTGTCGGGCAGTTGAAGCAGCAGGCGGGAAGGCTTTGCCATGTATCGTGGATGTCCGCGATGAGAAGCAGATCAGTAATGCAGTGGAGAATGCAGTGAAAAAATTTGGAGGTGAGTCACAGATGCAGAACAAATCAAGCTAGGATATTGTTGAATGTCATATACTGGGCGGGGGTGGGCAGGGATGGGCAGTGCCAGTCTAGCATGAAGCATGGCCATCCTTCTGCCCCCCCATGGATGGAAAGTGAGACAATCATCCATCATCAGTCAACTGCCAGCAATAAAGCATCAATAACAAATTAAAGGGTTCTTTGCATCGTGAAGGGGTTCTTCAGATTGATGAAGAATGTTTTTGCAAAGGTTTCTGTATAGCCCCCAAAAGCATTCTGAAGAGCATTTGGTAAATAATAGTGCTCAAGTTTAATAGTAGACTTACCTACATGCTACATCACTTCAGTTCACAGCAGTGTTAGCTGGCTTATAGCATGTTATTCGTTAAACAACCATGTAAATCAGAGGATCCAGTGATAATCGGGGCGAAAATATTGGTAGGACAAAACCTATTGGCTCTGGGGTGTTTGCGTTTACCACAGCATGCAACAGGTGCGATTTTCGAGAATGCTGTTTATTTCTGTCATAAAGAAAACCAGCTTAGACCCAGGTGTAACAAAAATAGTTGACAATGTAAAAAGTTGACGTTTCTCAGAGCATCAGCCTCTCACATATAAAAGTGTAAATGTTAAAAGTTGACACAGACGTTTATTCCACAGTATTCCACTATGGATGCTTCTCAGTGTTTAGCAGCTCCAGTTTAGTAGCTCCACTGGCCAGTGAGAGGTCTCCATATTACTTTACTTTGCTAACATCACTACAAAACGAGTGCCTAAATGTGGCACAGACATGACCGTCTGAAGGAGTGTGGCTAGGCTAACCATGATATCTGAAGTTAGAAAATATATTTCTTTGTTCTAAATTTTACCTCAACAAGCCAACATCCACATCATCCACTACGCCAAAAAAAAAACAGTTTATTGAGTGTAGAAGATGACGACCGATCTAATGTCTGATCTGCCGCTAAACTGACTGGGTTGTGATTGACCCACAGTGGCTAAAAGATTTCCCTTCAGTTTTAGATGATGAGACAGTTTGCTTAGACTAAAAATAAATCTCAGTGGCCCAATTCAGAATGTAGGCAGTACCTAAAGACGCTAAAAATAAACATTACCCCTTGCAAAGTATTGTTTGTAAATGTTCGTCTTCTGCTGAACAACAGGAATTGACATTTTGGTGAACAATGCTGGTGCAATCAGCCTTACAGGGACTCTTGATACTCCCATGAAGAAAGTGGACCTTATGTTAGGCATCAGTCTCAGAGGAACATATCTGACGTGAGTAGAAACACAGTTAGACTGTAAATGTCTGCGTTGTGTATGTATGTTACTGATCAAGCGCGTCCAGACTTAAAGCATCCACACCTTACATTTTTTGCAATTTATCTTTTCCCCCTGAGGTCCACTTACAACATTTGTGTGGTTTTACATACTGAAAACAGTCATCTTTTATTTTTATGTGAGCACGGCATTTTGCATCCTGTCTTTATCCCGTAGACACAATTAAACAGGCTGTTTTTGTTCCTGTGCCCATGTATGTAAATGACCTCTGTTCTGATGGGCTATTCTATATTGTACCTCGTTCAGTAGTGTGAGTCTACACACTCCTTATAACTTCAGTGTGAATGGGCGGAGCTAAACTGCTCTGGGCTGAATAGGTGGAAATATGTAAATGTGTTGTTTTCGTGACATCACAGAAACAGTGACTTTAAAAGAAGTTATTTCTGTAGCTTAATTTGTATGGACTGTCCGGATGGTGTTTGGGTACTGTGAGTAAAATTGACAATATGGGCCAAACAGTCTGTTTAATTCCAAGGGATAAAGAAAGTATGGAGAATGATAATGTGATAGCCTGTTTTCGATACCTAAAACCACACAAATGTTACAAGACATCTTGTGGGGAAAATACAGAAAATGCAAGAAAAGCATAGAATTCTATATTATAGATAATAATGTTTTTTTTATTGCAGTATGTTTCTCATTTTTTCAAACTTCTGATTTTTGTAAACAAGCTCTTCTTTGTCAAGTAATTATCTTATCTCTTCTCGTGAATTAGGTCTAAACTGTGCATCCCACATCTCTTGAAGAGCAAGAACCCTCACATTCTCAACCTCAGTCCCCCGCTGAACCTTAACCCTGTATGGTTTAAAAACCACACAGGTGAGCATCGAGAGGCCTCAGGCCTCATTTCAGGGGGTCTACTGTTATGATATGGGCTTTTCTTTTACATATTCTAACTCTCTATGCAGCATACACCATGGCAAAATATGGCATGTCCATGTGTGTCCTTGGAATGGCTGAAGAATTCAAGGGCTCCATTGCTGTGAATGCCTTGTGGCCTAGAACATGTGAGTTCTGCACACTGCTATATTCTCTACAAATCACAGATGGCAATTTAACTGCTACGAACATTCATTGTTTGTTTGTTTGTTTGTTTTCCTTCCCTTTATGTTTAAAGCTATTCAAACAGCTTTGATGAACATAATGGGTGGATCTGAAATAGGAAAACAGTGCAGAAAAGTTGAAATTGTGGCTGATGCCGCCTACGCCATCCTCGGCAAACCTGTCAGCTATACAGGACAGTTCGTCATTGACGAGGACATCCTCAAGAAGGAGGGTATTAAAGACTTTGATGTATACGCAGTCACACCAGGTAAGTTGTTTTTAACTTTTTGTCCAGATACCTCAATTTATTTGGTTAAATATAAAACACTTCTTAATTCTAACTATAGGATCTGATGTTTATTTCACTCAGGCCTACCACTGCTTCCTGACTTCTTCCTGGATGAGGAGGCAGGGACGCTTGAGAAGATGATAGAGGATTATAGTGAGTGTTGTCTATTAATTGATAGTTAAAGCTAATGCTTATTATACAGTGACCTTAAATGTATTTGGACACTTTAACCATTGTGCACTTATCATTCTTCAGGTCAGCGATTCCTTAACTAGGACCTGTAGGGGGACAGGAAGGTATTAAAAGTTAATAAAATTTAAAAAATGCCAATTACAATTCACAGCTATAGTGCAGCACCTTAACAAGTTTTCTGTATAGTAAAGGGCCATTTCTTTTGTATGTCCTGGTCAGTGATCTCTGCATAGAAAGCTAGCAAAATGTGCAAGGTTCTGCTAAGATACAGTCCTTGTTTGTTATTTTGTTGTTTGTTGTTGTAATATTTGTTTCAGAAAAAAAACAGGAGAAGATTTCCAACCAGACTGCACTAAGAGTGCTGTAAAGCACAGAGGTGGAAACATTGAAGTCTGGCCCTGTTTTTCTTTCAGTGCTGTCAGTGAGCTTGTGTTCATTGATGGGATCATGAAGAGTTCATAGGCATTTTGGATGCAAACACGCAGAAGTTTCAGAAAAGTTTTTACAGAAGTTTTTAGTTTTGTGGTTGGATTTATAGTTGCACTATTAAGGGTTTTCTGGGCCAATGATGAAACCTCATAATTAATAATAAATAGTTATTGGTCATTAAAGTGGCCGATAATTATCATTTTACATTTTGCACTTTAAAACAAGTTTACTCTGTAATCCATATATGAAGTGCTGTGAGAATAAAAATCTTGACATGACAATCAGACATGCCTGTTATTAGAAACATTCACATTATATAATGGCCACTTTTAGTGACTGTACATGTGTTGGTGCATTCAAAAGTAAAAATAGACCAGCGGGATTTCAGTTGTGATTTCAGCTGCAGTTTCCTTATCAGACTTGTTATAATGATGATTATGACATTTTCCAATTTATAGATTAATGTTATATGGGCTGGCAATATATATCGTGCATCTGTATCAACCATTAGTTAGATTAACTTGCTGTAAAATTTTGTTTTCTCAGGTGCCAGTTCTGCTTCCAAGGGTGGAGAAGCCAGTGCTGAAGCAGCTCTCAGTGGACCCACTGGTGAAACGTTTAACGTGATCAAGGGAATTCTCAGTCCAGAGCTGGTCAAAACCACGCAGGGAGTTTACAAATTCAACCTGTCTGGTGCGTCCTGACCATCCTTGCTGTGTCTAAACTAGCCCGACTGTAAGTTTTGACAAAAACAGTAAAATAAATTTTGTTTAATGTTTGTTTTCCAGGGGAGCATCCTGGAGTTTGGTACATTGACCTGAAGAATGACGCAGGCAGTGTGGGCAGTGGGGAGCCACCAGTCAAAGCTGATGTCGTGATGAGCTTGGACAGTAATGACTTTATCAAAATGTTTGCAGGTAAGAGAATCTGCTTTACTATATTCGTCCACTGCCCATATAAAATGCATAATAACTGATATACACTGACTGTCCAGAAAAAAATGGACTAGCCACTTAAAGGCCCCATATTATGGAAACGCAAATTTCCCTTTTTCTTTTTTAAATAAGACGTTTGAGGTAGTATATAGATACTGTTAAAGTTTCAAAACATACCATTCATTACCCAGTATATACAGTCCTGTGAAAAATATTTACCTCTTCCCAATTTCTTCTTTTTTTGCGTAAATTTGTCACTTTTGAATGTTTTAGATAATCAAACTACTTTTAATAGTAGACATAATACAACCCAAGTAAACACACAATGAATATGATTTCATTTATTGAAGCAAAAATACTGTTCAGCCCTACCTGGCCTTATGTGAACAATAATTGCCCCCTTAGCTACTAAATCAAGCAGTTAACCAAGTTCAAGTGACTATTGGGTTCAAATTCACACCCACACCCAGGCATGATTACTGCCAGACCTGTTGAATCTGAACATCACTTAAATAGAACCTGTTTGGCAATGTGAAGCAGACTAGAAGGTCTCAAAAAGCATCAAAGAGTGCATCACCGACTCATCCAGGAGGTCACCAAAGAACCCACACAAACATCCAAAGAACTGCAGGCCTCGCTTGCCTTAGTTGAGGTGAATGTACACTTGTCCACAATAAGAAAGACACTGGGCAAAAATGGCATCAATGGGTGAGTTGCAAGGCATGAAGATACTGCTGACCAAACCAACACAAAGGCTTATCTTGCATTAACCAAAAACTTTTGGGATAATAATCTGTGGACTGACGAGTCAAGGGTGGACTTTTTGGAAGACATGGTCCCGTTACATGTAGTGTAAAGCTAACACCGCATTCCACCATAAGGACATCATACCAACAGTCAAACATGGTGGTGGTAATGTGATGGTCTGGGGCTGCTTTGCTTCTGCAGGATAACTTATCAAAGCCGATGCAAACATTAATTTTGCTCTCTATCAGAAAATCCTGAAGGAGAATGTCCATCCATCAGTTTTGTGACCTAAAGCTCAAGCGCAGTTGGGTTATGCAGCAGGACAATGATCCGAAGCACACAAGCAAGTCCACCTCTGAATGGCTCAAAAGAAACAAAACTAAGATTTTGGAGTAGCCCAATCAAAGTCCTGACTTAAATCCCATTGGGATGCTGTGACAAGACCTTAAACGGGCAGTTCATGCACGAAAACCGCTCAGTGTAGCTGCCATAAAACAATGGTGCAAAGAAGAGTGGGCCAAAATTCCTTCACAGCAATGTAAAAGACTTGACGTGTAATTGCAGTTATTACAGCACAACCAGTTATTCGATTTACAGAGCAATTACTTTTTCATCTGGGTGATACAGGTTTTGAATAAATCTTTATCTTCAATAAATGGAATGATAATTTAAAAGCTGCATTTTATGTGTAATCATGTTGTCTATCTTATATTTAAATTAGTTGGATGACTTAAAACATTTTCATGTGACAAATTAGCAAAAATAGAAGAAATCAGGTGAGGGACAAATTTATAATAAACTGATTTGGAATCACAGGTCCTCTGACACCTTGGCCACACCCACTCTGTGAACTGTAAACCAGACCCATAATGGCAGAATGTGTCATGCCAGGTGAAGTCATTTTCTGGCGCTGCATTGGCATGTATGTATGCCAGTGTTGCAGCTACTAGTACTAAGTCGCCTCAGAGTTTGTGGAGTGGGTGTAGTGGGGGATCAGTGGACCTGTCACTCCAAATCAGTCAACCAATAGATGTTTAAGGTCAACTCCGCCATCTGAGACCCAGCTCCTTAAAAATGTGCCAAAAATCAGAAGCAAAAGAGGTGATTCCAAATCCAAAAAAAAACAGCAAAACCCTCAGATAGAAAAAAAAAGGAAAGCAAAGTCTGGGAAAATGAAAGCGTTGTAAAGTTTCTGCTCAATATTGTAAGAAGGAATTTTGAATTATTTTTCATTACTTGTATTTGGAGCTTTTTTATTTTTTTAAAACTTAATATTTTCCTTGTCTATCTTATTATTTTATTTAAAACTTTTGGCACAGAATGAACTCTATAGATTCCTTTAAAGGGTTAATGAATATCAGGGTCACATAATTTAACAAGAGAAGTGATTACAGTTTAATTACTTACTAATAAGCTACTTGAAGCAGTGGAATGAGAGCTAATATCAACTCTGTCTACAGGGAAGTTAAAGCCAACCATTGCCTTCATGTCGGGCAAGCTGAAGATTGAGGGGGACATGACCCTAGCCATCAAAATGGAGAAGATGATGAACTTGATCAACAAGTCCAAGGTGTAACTAGGATCAACGTGCCTTCTGCCTTAATTAGCGCCCACCTTTTCTCAGGTGTTTGAGCGTGTCATTTTTATTAAGCCATCAACTTAACAGAATGCCGATACAGTTTTCTTCTTTTTCATGTTCATCCCTATAACGAAGACACTTCTGTTCTTTCTTGCAATAACATAATAACACTGGCAGCTGGTAAATTAATTGTACCAAAAGCCATGTGGGCTGTGGAACTGAAGTTTTGTTTTTTTAGACCGTTTTTGATGTAGTTATTTCTGTTCAAGTCTTTTGAATGAGTCTAGTTATGTTGAGCTGTGTGCTGCTTCCCACACGTCCATGACGAAACAGCTGTGGAGCTGAACCCATTGAACCGAAGACATTTAACCTCCAGTCATATTTAACCAGATTTGGTAAATGAAAGCACGACTGCAGTTAAACTGCTGAATATTGTTTGCAGTTAAATTTTAGGACTGTTCTCTCTACGGTTCCTGTTTCTGTTCTTTCTTTTTGCTGTATTTGCTTGATCTTGCACTAAACTGTAATAAAAAAATCAAATTCAAATTGGACTGTATTTATTTCCAAATGTCTAATAATGTCTTAAAGTGCTGCATTTGCCCACATTGCAAATATTTCAGGATTTATCACAAGAAATGTGAGATGCATTTAAAAAACAGCAATAAATTCTCAGAATTCTGTGTGTGTTTGTGCATGTGTGTATATATCACCTTGACCCCTGAAAAAGGGGTCAATAACCCCCTCAATAGCCTCTGTTATCACCTGTATTCTAGTGTCTATTACAGTTTTTGACCCAGACTGAGAAAGAGCATATAAACACACTGTTCTCTGCTTTCTGGAAATCATTGCTCTCACTCATCAATGGAAAACACCAATGATATATTTCATGATGTAGTTGGATAACAGAATAGTTACTCTCTCTACTCTCGTATTAATGACTTATTTTCTCCAAATGCTGACTGTCGAAATACAAAATAACGAATACGAAATGACGTATCTTGTAATAATGACTTATTATAGCAAATTATTTTTTTCTTGAAATATTAATTATTCCAACATAGCATCTCAAAATATAAATAGTAATCATTATCTGAAGATATTATCTATAGAAACAGAAGTCATTATTATGAGGAAGTAAGTTGTAATAATGAGATGCTAGATCAAAAATATGAAACGCTAAGTCATAATTATGAGAAAGTAAGTCATAATTATGAAAAGGTAAGCCATAATTGAGATGGTAAGTCATTATTATGAGGATGTAGGTCATACTTATGGGATGCTAGGTCATTATTATGCAATGCTAATTGATAATTATGAGAAAGTCATAATTAAGAGAAAGTCAGCCATAATTATGAGATGCTACATCTTAATTACGAAATGCTAAGTCATATTTAAGATATTCTAAGCCATAGTTGTGAGAATGTCATGATCATGAGATGCTTAGTCAATATTATAAGAAAGTAAGTCATAATTATAAGATGCTACATCATAATTATGGGCTGCTAAGTCATAATTATTAAAGAGTAAGTCATGATTATAAAATGCCAAGTCATAATTATGGGATAAGTTATAATTATGACACAGTAAGTCATAATTATGAGATGCTAAGTCATAATAATGAAAAAGTAAGTCATAATAATGAGATGCTACGTCAAAAACCTTTCTCATCATTCTGGCTAAATGTCTGTATATGTATTCCGAGAGGCGGAGGAGAGCTTCCACAGCTGTCAGAAACAGAAAGAGAAAAGCAGAGGACAGTTTTCACAGTGACACGTAAGAGGACATGACGTTCAGCAAAGCCTTTCTCTCTAAAAGTCCCGTAAGAAAGAAAGGATAAAAAAGAATCCATTTTATTTTGTTAATAAACCGTCGTCGTGTTTCCAAAAAAAAAAAAAGTATAAATCCAACATTAGCTGGCATCTCGATGGTGTTTAATAGCGAAGAAGCCTTGACAAATCACCATATGTGAGCTCACACTGCTGTGGATTCTCCTGTGTGAAGGTAACGTTAACACTGCTGGCATCTCTTTGTTTTGTTATGTAGGGTTAGGTGAGCTAACCGCTAACGCGGGCTAGCTGTCCAAATAGCGAACGTTATTCAGATGTACACAACCCAAATGTTCATGTAGGTAATCCAGATATGACAGTTTTATTATCTTAGAGGTATTATTAGTTAGCGAGTTGTCATTTGCGTTTATTTAAGATGCCACCTGTGCGGTCAGCTAGACGGCTAACTAGCTAGCTAACTAGCCCGCTAGCTAACGCTAGCCATTTATATCACAAGCTGGCGATAAAGATTCACTTTCGGTTTCTTGTTAATTTGCCGTCACATGTTCTGAGGTGAGATAAGTTAGACATGCCGTTTTGGTAGTTAAGCTACACATCTAAGCAGTAAACTAGGGTCGTCAAGTAACGTTAGATCTGTGATCATTGTTAGCTTTAGCTTAGCAGTCTGAATGGAGTGAGTGAAAATGATTGATGGTTGTTGAAGACAAAGCACGAGTTCATTGGATTAACTTGTAGGTGTTAAGCTGATCCGTATCCTGGCCAGGTCATTTCTGGAATGCTATATCAGTTGATAAACTCACCCAGTCAAAAATAAAGCTATTTACTGAACTTGTGATTGGTTGTAATTACAGTAACTTTGAGGGAAAACAAGATCTAACCTTATTCTGTATCTTCTCAGGGGACGACGCTCAACATGAACGACTGTTTGCACACCTCGGCGGAAAACTTATCTAAACTAGTGAAATGGGCCCACAGCCATGGAACTATCTGCGCACTCATCCCCAACCTGAAGCACTTGCTTACGGAAGGGGCCCATGGCAGCCTCACCGCACTTTGGGGTTGCAATGCTGGTCATGCGTACCACTGGCCCTTAATGAGCTCCTGTAAAACAACCCACAAGGAGCGAATGTTATACCAGAGTAGCCGAGGGATCAGTTCGGACACTCTTCTACAGAGTGCCACGGCCATGCAGAGCAGCTCGGCAGAAAGGTTTCTGGGTAGCGGGGCCAAGAATAAAGGTGACTCCAACCAGACCCAAGACTCCTGTGACTTCTCCAACTGTAGCGAACCGTCTGAAATGGACGACAATGCGGAGGAGTACAACAACCACCTGTTTGACATTGTCTGTGAGTCTTCTGCCACGGATGAAGAGGGAGACTCTGAGCCAAGGGCCACTGACAGGAAAAGGGGCCCCAAAGGGCCAGTGTCCGGAGACTGTGGGGATACTGGAGCGAAGAAGATCAAGCAAGAGAGAGCTGAAGACTATTACACCGTAGCTAACGCCCAAATCCCAGGTGGTTCGGAGGGTCCTCAGCCTTGTAGTGGGGTGTCCCACTCACCCAGACCGAATTCTCAGACTAGACCCTCGTCCATATCATCAGCCCATCACAGGCCCTCCTCTATGGATGGGGATTCAGTGGGAGTATCTTCATCACCACTGGAAAACACTTCGCCATCTGTGGCCAAACCACCGCATGCTCCTGTAAGCGGTTCCCAGAGCAGAACGCACATGAACTCAAACCCAGCAGCCAGTCACAGTGCAGCATCCACGAGCCGACCTGGAAAGAGTGACCTGGTGGAAAGCCTTCCCAACGGCGACTTTGAGATATCATTTGGAGATACATCGGTCACGGGTAACCCCGAGATGGACATTCTAGCAGAACAAGCTCTCGGCGCAGAAGCTAAAGGGGACGGCACAGGTAAAGACTTAATGCACTGCACATATTAATAATAAACAATAACACATTTCATTTTATTTGTTTCATAGCACATCTTCAAAAAAAGCACTTTACAAGGATGATGAAAATGAGGGAAATGATTTTTCATGATGCATATATATATATATATATATAAGACAGCAAAAAATATGTAAAAAGAAAAAACAACAAATTGTAACTAGAGGAAGGTAACAATTCTTTTTATGTGTGATATTACATAAGTATGATTCATTAAGTAAGATCGTCAGTCAGGCTTCAAATCGGTGCACCATGCTTGTGTTTGTTGAAAGAACCCAGAACCCGTTCTCTTCCCTTTCATGTGTTCATTTTACTTGTCTGTTTTCTGAACGTTCTAAGGACAAGTGCAAACATTAGAGTTTTTGTTTGTGCACTGGTCTTAATGTTCCTTCACACATTTCACATTTTGACTGTTTTGTTTAACTGTTTTGTAAAAGTCAGAACTTTAAAATTTGACAAAAAGACTATAAACTGTCAGACAAATTTCAGATCTTCTGGAGAAATCAGGTCTGATCACAACTCATCACAACTCCCAAAGCCCTTATGTTAGATGATGCATAGAGGCTGGTTACACCTGGCATCAACCTGCATAATTTTTCTGATCACATTTGGATTTCTCTTTGACCGCATGAAAGTCCCGGTGTAAACACACCGGACACATTGTGATCAGATTACGATCTCAGACCACATTTGGAGGTGGTCAGAGACAGATCTTGACCACATTCAAGTCAAGCGTAAATGTTATGCTATATCAGTGTGCAGTTACATATGACTAAGCTTCTATCTTGTATCTAAAATGCCAGAGTTTGCAAAGTTTTCTCCTCCAAAAATGCAGACAGGTTGTTGCTTGTTTTAAATGACTTTTTGTGATATTTGACAGCATATAATACATTGGTAGTAACAGGCGAGAAACCTTGTTTACAGTAGGCTACCAGAAGTAAAACAGAAATAATGTATGTGTTGATATGATATTTTTAAGCAGGAAAGTACAGTCAGATCATATTTTATCACTCTGAGGACGCGTCTGGTCAAGTATATCTATATTTAGACAGCAAGCATGTTAATACCAGGTGTAAACAGGCTCATCATGATGTAGACAACATTTCAAAAAGGTTCTACATGAAACTATATAAAACACTCGCCATTAATCTGAGGAACCCTTTCATGATGCAAAAAACCCTTTCATCATGTAAAACGTTCTTTTGAGTGTTCGTGGTTCTATATAGAACCATTTTCTTTATGAAGAACCCTTGAAGAACCGTCTTTTTAAGTGTGTAAGGTGTATCTGTGCGGCATGTGATGTACTGACCTTTGCAACAGCAATTCAACAGCAGTAATCAGCGATGATGAAAATCAAAATGTTCTTTTTATAATGGTTCATAAATAGGGTACATTTATTTCAAAATGGTACAAAATACTTAGGATAAATCCTAATTCTTAAGGATTAGGATAAATTCTTTTTTTTATTTTTGCGGTAGGACAGTGTGTGTGTCTGTTTCTGAGAAAACATAATCTGCATCCTGCAGGAGGCTTTCTTTTTTTTAAATCCAAAAGCAGTTTTTTAATGCTCCGGCTTAAACAATTTTAATGCTGTATTGATTTACTATGTTCAAACTGGGATTTATATAGAAATAATATATCAATATAATATAAATCTTCTATATAATTTTTTATACTACTGGTGATGTAATTTATTTTACTCTCTTGGCTTACTAAGCAAGCTGAGGCTATGCGGATAGCAACATTAAAAACAGGAAAGGCAGTGCACCATAATTCTCATTTTAAACGTGAAGCATAAGTTGTAATCATAAACAAGACTGGAAAATATGACTTTATTTTCCATGATCTGGTAATAGGCCTTTATTTGGATGTTGTAAACAGAACGTCTAGTTAAACACTATTGATTTTATACTCCTCTGAAGATTTGTTGGATCTTTAGCACGGCACATTGACCATGCCAAGCTAAATATGGTAAAGAATAAACTCTCAGGAGTGCTATTTTTTCTATACAGTTTAAGAACATATGGGTTTTAGAAATCGATTGTCTGTAAGGTTTGTTGTAGTAGGTTTGAACATCAGTGCATATGAAAACATGCATGTATTTATTTCTTTACATTCCATTTATATATTTCTATATTTGCTTTAAAGCAGATTTCTTATGTAAAGTTATTGAAACCTTAATTTTTGCCTTAATTTATCCATATTTTTTTCAAGAGAAATCTTCAATAGGACACCTACACTTTGAGTTCTAATTCTTATCGTTTAAACAAAACGAACCCGTCGTTGAAAGAAGTGAAAGGCGTCTTAAAATCTTAAAAGCTCTAAAAACAAATGACTTTCATCTAGCATGGGTAAAAAGCTGAATATCTCGCAGTTATAATTTAAACAAGGCTGGACTCAGTTCCTACTGCACGCTCCCACTCTGAAATAAAGGATTAAACTGTTTTGTGAAGATGCTCTGTGGATATTTGAAATTTCCGTCAAGATGAAAAATGGACGGTGCGCGTTATAACGACCAATCGAAATAATACAAGGTGAGTGTATTTTGGACAGTTTCTATTTGTAGCATAAGAAAATCTCACCATGTTTTTGTAATGCATATAATCAATAAAAATACATCCAGATCATTTGGTTTGCATGAAAGACGTATTTAAATAAATGCAGCAAATTTCCAGTGCATTTTGTGGATAAAATATCATTTGATCACATTTACAGGTTCTCTTGAAAAGAAGATGGAAAAAAGGTTCTGAATGCCTTCCATGGTTAGTTATTTGTGCAAGAATTTTATGTCTTCATTGTATTATGATCATACTGTTAACTTTAATTACTTCATTATTAGCTAACGTGGAACATCGTAATTTTGTATTTCAGGTACATGAATGAGGCAAATGAATTTGGAAGGAAACTTTGCATAATTGCAAATAAAATAATTCCAATTTCTTTGTTGTTTTTTTTCGTTTTTAACTCTCTGTCGGCCGGCCAAGGGTGTAAATGCACCATTTCTCTCCATGATTCATAGCAGTCCTCTACTAATGGACATTGTATGGCAATTGCTTTGGATTCTGTTTGTCAGATATTAAAACAGGACTGAAGAAACTGTCTCCTCTTTCATGTTAACTGCTTGATGCCCACTTTTGTAACCCCTTAAACTGTAGGCGTGTTATTCAGTTATAAATTTTGGAACCAATCATTCAGTAACTACTATAAAGTTATGTAGCTACAAGAGTGAGGAACAGAAGTGTGTCCCCACATACAGGCCCTTAGAGTTTAAGGGTGTTAAAATGTATTTCTAGTATTACAGTTTCATTTCTGTAAATTCTCTCAGCCCTTTATTTGAGCTAAATTAGTGTTAAACTTGCACATCGGATGTGTTACAGGCTGCTTGGCTCCTTCCACTCTGAACTCAGATGAACACTTCTGGCCTTCCACATCAGAGTTTTCCCCAAATGCTGAGAGGCATTCTGAAGATAGAAAAGAGCTTGAGGAATTCATCACAACCATTGGTGAGATCTGCGTCTGTCATTCAGTAGTTTTGCTTTGTCTTTTTACTTAAAGGGCTCGTATCTTAGAAAACCAAAATTTCCTTGCTTTTTAAAATAGGAGTTTGATGTAGTTTGTAAACATTACCAAAGTTTCAAAATAAGTTTCAAAATGCCCATTCATTCCCCAGTTCATACAGTCCATATATTGAGACTTAGTTGGCCTTTTTTGTGATGTCATACAAAAACAACTCCTTAAATACATATATTCGCCTATCCTGCCTATATCACTTTAGACCTGCCTGTCCACAATGAAGGACACTCGATCATAACAGAGAACATTTACACGCTGTCACTGATGGAGCAAAACCTTGTATCTCCAAAATGGTAACTTTACAAGAGATAAGCCGTTCTTAACTTTTAATGGAACTTTTAAAGGAAGTAATTTTGAACCATTTCAATTTGTCCACTCATCATGAAATGTTAGACAAGGTGAAAAATTTAAACAGTGACAAAAATGGAGATATGAAGTTCCGACGGCAACAGTATATCAGTCTTAAAGGCAGAGTACTGAAAACGTCCTGTTTAATTGTAAAGGGTTAAAGAGAGTTTGGGAAATGATCATGAAAAAAGTGAATTGTGTCTGTTTTTGGTACATAAAACCACACAAATGTCACATGCGGATCTCGGTCGATAATGTTAAAAAAAAAGGGAGAAAATGTCAGATATGAGCCTTTTTAAAGCACAATGCTAAATTAACTTTCAGGTAGTAGCAAGAGACTGTTGATTTCAATTTTGACTCAGTTTGACCAATTTTGCCATCGACATGTTGATTTATTTATTTTTTTGTAACCACTTGTGACATTTCTCTTGCAGATCCTATAACATTGCAAAACCTTCAGGCAGTCATCTCCCGGGTCCTCGTAATTCATGAGAGATCTCGTGTCCCGGAGGCCAGTCCGCCCAGGCTCGGGGTACAGGAACTCTTTCCAGGCTGTGGACTCTACCTGCCCACGTCAAAACTGGCCACCATGCACCAGGAGTCCAGGCAGGACAGCATGAGGCTTTTTCACCTACTATTTGAACACTTCTTCAGTGAGGAAGACCTTATTGGGGCTGTGGCTTTTGGGAAGAGGGGCAAAGTGCCTGATGGAAAAAAAATCCTGGACAGAAGAACCGTGGATGGGATCATAGGTATTTTATATATAAATATTTTTAATAATCCATTCTTCACATAGTTTTTTGGTCTGTTTACAGTTTTGAAGTGAAGAAAAAAAAGATGCTTTTAAAGTAAAATGGATTTAATTTCTTTTCATTTTAATTACAGCTTATGTCCTGCATTGCTCCAGTTTGGAAGGATGGACATCTGTGGAGTCAGCCAAGCTGAAGAAAGCCTGCATCAACAAATGCAGGTTGAGAATTGGTCAGAGGAAAAAACTAGCACAAAAGTCATATCTTTTCCACAGTTCGCAGAAGTCGGGGCCTTCGTATATGTGAGACTATTTGGAGATCCCCCAGCCTCTTCAGTCACAACTCTCCATTGTATTAGTGTGATCAGTGTTATTGTTGCTGATATTTTGTAAATGTACAGGGACCAAACAAAGTACTGATTTTGTTTTCTTGGTCACTGGTTAGACCAGGCAGGTCCTTGTTTGCTGCCTTTTAAAGATGCAGTCAGAACGATTTTTAAAACTTTTCAGTAGCAGTGAAAAGTCACAGAAAAAACTGTATCTAAGAATTGACAAGACCAATGTTTGGTATTGACACTCCTGTTGTTTCTAAATCGTCTCTTCAGAACTCCCACTACTAGCTTACCAGCTGACAGTTGCAACTTTCAGTGTAGAATTCATGTAGGAGCTTTTTATGACAAAAACATGCAGTATATGTGGTCAGTTCCCAGCGACTATGCTGTGCCTGATACACATATACCCCCACTGCAACACCCACTAACATGTCATTGTCATGTCAGTATATCTGTTGTGTTGAGAATGATCCAGGATTCAAAGAATATCTGTCTGGTCAGCAGTGGTCCTGTGGTGGTCCCTTTCCATTGATGGACAGGGTAGATAAACTGTGCAGCAACATATTGGCTACAGACCATAATGGAAAACCTATTAAGTGGAACTATATAGTAGGTGTTTCTGAAAAATGGCCAGTGAGAGTAGGCACAATGTTCAAGATAAGGTGCAGTTCAAGTAGTTAAGTGGTTTCAGGTTCACTGAGTCCGCACTGGAGCTGGCCGATGTATAAAATATTTTTGATATATTTGAGAAAGTAAATGAGGCAACATTGTGAACAACACATGATCTTAATGAGCATTGTATTAGGCAGCGACTGCATAAAAGAGACTTTCTTGTCTTAGAAGTTTGAGTATGTTAAGCCTCGCTAGTGCAGTGGCAAGTTTAAGAAAAGTGGTTGGATAGCATTTGCAACTCACGGCCTACATAATGATTTGATCATTTTTTTTAATGACTTCCCTAATGAGGTAGCTGATTTCGTTTGGCAGCTACCAAAAGTGAGGCTGAAAAGCTAAAGGCTGCAAAGTTTTGGCTCAGTTCAGTAGGTTTAGATACATACTCATTATGTTTAATCTTGACGTGACTGCATAAATTATTTGACGTCAAAGCTACATCTGATGAGAGCAGACAACAGAGCGGTAGGTGTTTGTTTTCAGTTCTCACACGTGAAGTCTAGCACTAAGTACTCGCTTTGGTTAATGCTTGTTTTTTTTTCTGTCCAAGTTACGGTGGCCACTTCACTTATAGATGGTTTTTTGAAAGACCCTGATTTTAACCATTTTCAATGATGGATGCGATCAAAAAGTGGAACGTTCTACATTGACTTGCACTGAAAATATAAACATAACTACCTAGTATATTCCCAGACCAGTCAGTGAGCGCAACATGAACGTTATATTTTTGCTAATGATGATTATAGCAATATTTGTCATACTTAAATTTACAGTTAGTTGAATGTCTAAATTGTTATAAATTTTGGTGTTAAGGAAAAAAAGCTCCCTAGCAGTACCACCAGGGCCCACTGGATGAAAACCACTAGTAAAAAACATGCCTTCAGTGTCTGTTTGATTGCCCCATCCAGGCAAGACTCGCTCCTGAAGTTGCATTTGTTTACAGTTGTGAGTCACGGAGACAGGGAGACAGGGAGGGTGAAGGTTTAGTACAGTACTAAAAAAGCCACCAGAGTCCTTTGCAGTACCAATAGTGCGTGAAACTGGTACAAAACAAATTTATATACTATTAATCTTGTTCATTTAGGGTGTTTTTCCACTGCACAATCAAAAACAAGTTCTGGCCCAAATGGAAACCAACAGGAACTTATGGTTGTAGTTTTACTTTGTTTTCCACTTGTTCGAGAGACAACTAGATCTATCTTGCTAGCTAATTAGCCTAACTTACTGGCTGATATGAAGCGATATATTGCACTGTTCTGTGCTCACACACTCGCACAAATGTCCACATTTACACAGAATTGTGTGTAGAGTCAAGCAAAGCCTTATTTTTTTTCTCTTTAGAATGTGACTTGAAGCATCAGCCTTCTTGTTTTCTATAGCTTAACACTATTTTTGCTGACAGGAAATAGTACAGTGTGCTGCTCAATGCTTAACCACTCACATGTCAACAGTCACACAGAATATCAGGTGGTCAAATGTGAGCACTTGTTCTGTGGTGGCTAGCATAAATGCTAATAGCTTTAGCTTTGAAGTAGCTTTAGCAAACAGTACTAACAAAGCAATAATGAGGTAGTAATTGTAAAAATAGCAATCGCCACATCAGCAAACTGTTCTAGTTGACATTCTGGTGCGTGTGTTGGTGAAATAATGGTGCTTGGTTACCTGGAAGAGTAAAGAAGTGCTAGTCATTCATGCAAGTGTTACCATTGACTAAGGAGAAAATCCCTGGGTACCATTAGGTCTTGTTGGTCTGTCAGCAGGTACCAAAAACCATAGAACTGGAGCCTGTGGCGCTGGTCTGATGGCCGGTGGAAAAAGTTCCAGTTTTCTGGTGCCAAAGATTTCAGTACTTTGTGCAGTGGAAAGATCCTCTTGTTTTTGTTGTTGTTGTTTTTTTTAGTACTGTATTTTTAGTACTTATTGCAGTAAACCTTTTGAAATATTTGTTCACATCCAAATTTGAATATCTCATTCCATTAAAGAAAGACTATATAGTCCAAAATATGGTTCTTCTGATTGAAGTAATATTATTAATCTTTGGTGAGAATGCATGAATATTAAGATACACCATCAACACCCAAAGGCTGAAAAATATCATGATATCATTTTTAACCATATCGCCCAGCTGTAATCAGCATCACATTAACTCTTCATCAAACAAAGTGTGTGCAGCAACATACAGAAATGCAGGAGTCCATGCTTGTATCTGTAGACACCCATGTTTTCCATCCTGCTGCACCTGCATGTGGTCTGAGATGGCAAGATGGACCTTGGAATTTTATCCTTTTAATGATTTCCCCTTTTCAAATTTATTTATTGCCGTACTATTTATTTCTGCTTTAGATAAACCTTTTTAGAGCTTTTGAAGGCTTTTTAATGCTTTATATACATGCTTGTGTGAACTCTACTGCAGTGTGCATTGCATTGCCTGCTCAAATCATGAATGGATCTCAGCTGCATCATTTCCACAGTTTTAGCTGTACATACGTGTGTGTGTGTGTGTGTGTGTATATATATATATATATATATATCATTTGCTTTGAGAAATATATGTACAAGCAGCTGTAGACTCTAAAGGACGTTGGTGAGTACATCTGAAGAGACTGAAGACTCAACACTATGGTATACTAATAGTCCAATATCACAAAGTATGTGAAAAATTCCGTAATCATTCACTTTTATCCCATATGAAAATGAGTGAACTTTGTCCGTGCTGCAATCTCTATTTGTTCTCGATGTGTAAATAATTGGTTTTTATATTTGATGCATCATGAGTGGTCTGATTTGTTATTTTCTAACCAAGGATTGTAATAAAAATATTATAGAAAATAAATATCTTTTTTTGTGATCATTTTGAATTAGATCCATGTTTTTGATTCAGTGATGTTGAACAACACCATTAATATTGGCTTGCGTCAGTGATTTTTGGTTTTCTGTCATGTTTTGATGGCAAAAAGCTACGCTGCATGTCCAAATGTATTCAGACAATCCTACTGTGTGGATTCAGCCACTTGAAGGTGCTGGCACTGGCTTTCCATATGCGTTTTTCAGTTTTTGACAATTTGAAAATGCCTGTTGTCCTTTACATCGTGTGTAAGTTTCATTATAAATAGACCATGCGATAATCTGCATAGAAAAGCACTGACCAATAGAAAGGAGCAGCCACACTTGAGCCTAAGGTCACCATACCTAACGCCAAGCATCAGCTAGAGGGATGGATATATATATATATATATATATATATATATATATATATATATATATATATATATATATATATATATATATAGAGATATATATAGAGATATATATATATATATATATATATATATATATATATATATATATATAGATATATATAGATATATATATATATATATATATATATGGAGAGAGAGGGAGGGAGGGATATAAACCCCCCACCCCCCAGCTTTGGACTATGGAGCAGTGGGACTACATTCTCTAGAGTGATAGAGCTCTATCCAATACCTCCAGAACTGATCATCCAGCATCAGTACCTGACCTCATTAATGCTCATGTGGCTGAATGCAATCAAATCCTCACAGCAATGATCCTAGTGTAACCTATTGTAAAAGCTTTTTAGAAGAGTAGAGGCTGTTACTGTGGCAAAGAGGGACAAGCTCATTATAAATACTATAGAACTCAGTAGAAACGCAGAATGTCTACAAACTTTTGAACATGTACTGTAGGTAAGCGAAGTTGCTAGCCGATCAGTGAAGGAGCAGGTGTAGATGATTCCAAATACTGGTCTAGGACCAGATTCCTCTCTTATTTACCAGGACTAACAGGACCAGATCCTAGGTCAGCACTTCTACCCTGAGAAGCTTCATGAATACGGGCCCAGGTCACATTAGGTGACATCAGTGCTTTTATTGCCTGGAGTCTTCTGCCGTGCTCTTTTTTCTAGATACTATTTCACTAGATTTCACATTTCATCTGTTTGGCAGTGTTTGGTGCATTATTTTTGAAGCTTTCAGATTTTGCTTTCTTTAAAAATCACAGTTCTACATTCAGATCTCTATTAATTTGTAAAGTAACATTTTTTTAATCTCTTTCCAAACCAGTGCCTTTTGCTGTGTATGAGATAGAGAAGCTGAAGGCTCTGCTGCAGGCTGAGAGGAGTAAAAGCATGATGCTCGGGGAAACCGTCAGCAGTCTCAAACAGGACAAAGAGCTGCTGCAGCAGGAACTCAGCAAAAAGGCAGAGCTTATCTGTGAATTCCTCCAAGACCAACTCCGACCAGGTATGCACCTAAACTCATAGCTGTGACCAAACAAATCAGTAAACACTTGTGCATGATAATTAAGAAAACAAACATAAAGCAAACATATTCGTCAGTGGGGTGGGGTAATTATACATGGGTTTTAAATTAATTGAGAAAACTAGTGATAGAATGAGTGTGTTTCTGTGCAGACTGTTAGAAACGATACTAGATCTTGTGAGGAGAAGAGTGTTTTACTGCCTATATTTGAGAGATAAAAAAGACTAATTAGGCCCTTAAACTGCTAAGGATCTATATGTGACCCAGACTTTGGTTCCTAACTCTTACAACTATGTTACACATTATTTTCTTATTAGTTACTGAACTATTCAGTAACTAATAATAAGCCGTAAAATAAAAAGCTCTTAAAATCCCAGGCTTATTACATACTAAGGCTTATTATTCAGCAACTACAGGGACTTCAATGCAAACGAGTTGCGCTATTCTTAGGTTCTAGAAGTGTGTAATAAAACTTTGGGCCTGCCATGTAAGGGTTAAACAAAGGAATTAAGTATGTCTTTGAGGTATGGTGACCGTTGCTAGCTGTTTTGTGTCTTTGTCAGAAAAGAGAAGAGGTCATCCTTCCAGTCAGATGGAGGCAGGAAGCTCCCATCAGCTGATTGGTTCGTTCCCTGAGGAGGGCGCTCCCTTTGAGCCACCAGCACTTTTTGACTCCTTTGAAGAGGTGGAGCTGCATCCATTAGACCGACAAAGAACCATCAAGATTTCTTCTAAGAGAAGCAGGGACGGAGAGAACACTCGAGTCAGAAGTATGTGAGAGGTTCTGTAGCCATAGTAATAGCAATTTCATCAATTTACAACTTTGCTGCAACGTTGTCAAAAGGTGGTGCTGTTTACGTTGTCTGGACAAGGTTGTCACAACTCATTATTCAGTAATGTTGCCATATGGTATTATGACTACCTGTTGGCAACTTAGCAAAATTGCATTATGCATATCTTAATGAAACTTAAAGTATCAGTATTTCAGTATTGCCACCCCTAGTAAACTAATGGAAAATAAAGGAAAGCAGGTCATTGGTTGATTAATTACTATAGTTCCTAAAAAAAACACAAAATGTATTTTCTTCTAAGAGAACACTTCATAATTTTGCAGACACTTCCTTACTGTTACTGATTTTCCTTGTGAACTGTTGCCTTATGAAATGAGAGTTTTGCAGAAGCCATGATCTTGAAGGCTCATAATGAGCAGCAGTTGAAGCACTAACTGACCGTATCTCCCTCTCCACAGTGAAAAATGTGGTTGGGGTGATCGCTCGCTACATGACGGCTCTGCAGGAGTTCCGCCGTAGCGTCTCCATGAAAGTGGCCTTCGACCGGGTCGGAGTGGACCGCAACACCATCTCCAGGACAGCGGCCATCGCAGAACTCAGCCTGGCTGCTCCAGAGGTCTTCCACGCTCTGCCCCCTTGGGACGAGAAGGAGGAGACGCTGGCCCACTACGCAAGCAGGTGCAAGCAGGCCATGGACGACAGTATCAAGGCCAAGATCAAAGCCATGAAAGCAAAGGGGGAGCTTTTACCAATCGTCAGTAAATAAAGCCCACCTATGGATTTCTTTGTCTCTACATTATGTGAGGGACATTCTAAAATGTTTAATGTGAAAAAAGGCTGACTGTGACTTACTGTGCTAAAACAGTGACCTAGTTGAACCAGTTTCTCACAGCTTACTGGTCACAAACACTATCTATTGTCAGAAGAAAAAAGCTAATCTAAAAACTAATTTATGTTTATGTTACACGTTTTTCTCTCTATTCAAACCCAGTTATAAGGAAACAGCTTAATGTGGTTTAATGTACTTAAATAATGACCCAGGAATACCACCATTTTCTCACATTTTACTGCTCATAAACATCATCAAACAATTAAATGCGTATCTTATAGTAAACAAATTCTTTAAGAAATTTCAGTCAGGGCTTCATTCTAAACATAGCATTGAGACAGCATAAATGCTGATGGGCAAAATCCTTCTGTTTTGGTCTTAGTGGTATTAGAGCAGCTTTTAAAACAGTTAATCGCAAGATTCTAGTCCACCGTCTAGAAAACTGGGTAGGCCTCTCAGGCACAGTTTTAGAATGGCTTCATTCATCAAAAACATTTGACATTTCTTGTGGAGTCCCACAAGGTTCGGTTTTAGGGCATTTAGGTCCTCTAGGGCTTTTCTCTTTGTTACCTCTAAGCAACGTTGCCAAGAAGCATTACATCGGTTTTCACAGCTATGCCGATGACACGCAATTGTATGTTTCCACTCCTTCTGAAAATCTAGACTCTGATGACAGGTTTAGCAGATAGAAAAAAAATTAAATACTGATCCTTGGTACTAAAATTCAGCGAAAGATCTTTGTGAGAAACGAGGCTCTTTTGTTTAATACACCAAGCCTGAAGTATAAAACGTGGATGTAGTTTTAGATTCTGAGCTCTTTTATCCTTCACATAAACACAGACACTAAAGATGGTTTTTGTCATTGAAGATACTGCTAAATAGAAGTATTGCGAAAGTTGAGCCTTTTCTATTCCAGAGTGATGCAGTGAAACTTGTTGATGCACTTGTTACATGCAGAGTTGATTACTGTGATGCTCTTTTAACTGGGTTTCTGGATTTCAGCCTCATTTTGAAAGAACTGCATTGGCTGCCTAGATCCTTTAAGATGGATTTTAAAGTTATTTTACTAGTTTTTAAAGCTCTAACTGGCCTTAAATCACCTGCGTACCTCACAGAAAGCCTGTCTCTTTATGTTCCAGCTCCTCCAGCCATGAAGCGGCTCTTTCTATCATTATGCTTCGAAGCTTTTATTAGACAGGCAAGCTCAGTGCACACTTTGAAGAAACATCTGAAAACATCTTTTTTTTTAGCTTTTCATTAAAGTTATACACCTCAGCAAATAGTACAGTAATATAGGGTATTACTGCTTCTAGGTCATTGTTTAGTACATTAAGTCAGGTTTTTTTTTCCACATTAGGTGTTTTTGAGTGCCCTATGTGGTGCCCGCTAAGTGACCTATCCTACTTTTTCCATGCCACTTTAACACATTTCTCCTGTTGCCTCTGCCTTAGTGGGTAATTAGCAGTTGAGAAACTGCTGACTGTTGAAAAAACACTACAAGTTGGTTACCTTTGGTGTCTAGCTGGGTTGTTGAGTCTTCACACTAAAGTATAAGACGTTACTGTTTTTATGTGTCTTGTATTAACTTTGACTGCTATGACCAGTATTGACCTCAGTGTCAGACACTCTTCTTTGATTATTAGGAGAATATTGATCAGTTTGTTTGTTTCTGATTAATGCATGCTTGTTTGTCACAAACTACAAAGTCTGTGGTTTTTTTCCATGGCACCCCAGTAACCTTCAAAGTAGTGTCACATTGTATTATCTCAAGGTGATGAGTGTCACTATAACACATCATAGCTGGTGGTTTCACTGGCTGCCAGTAATAAACTGGACTTCAAAAAGCCAAATTTTGTTTATTTCTTGTGGTTTCAGTAAAAATGCACTCATTTTCATGTTGTGGAGATTAGATATTCTTAGAGCAGCACTGCTTAATTCATCAGTTATAAAAAGAGTACAGAAATAAAGGCGCATGCATGTGTATGTGGACCCCAGTGGTCACTCCTAGATCCGAGATCTACCTTCCTGCAGACTTCAGCTCCAACCCTAATAGTTCACACCTGCTCAGTCTAACTACTGCCTTCAGATATTTCCTGGGTTAGCCAAAGGAGGTGTGTTAGATGTGGGTTGGAGGTGACACCTCCAGGAAGGTAGATATCCAGGAGGAGGGTCAGTGACCACTGTTGTGGAAAATGCCTGGACAGTGTAAAAGGACGACTGGGGCCAGCTCGTGTTTTCTCTGATATTTCAGTAGGTCAGCATGTCCTTGTATGCATAATGAACAATGCTGTTTTGCCCTCCAGCAGAGATGGACAAGCGACAGGTTTTCAAGTTCAGATCACAACTTCAGTGTTTGGGTGTCGTATGAGGAGTGACTGTGGGGTTGAAGGAATTCTGTTGTGGAGGGAATTCTGAGAGCTGGGCTGGAGTTCTGGTTGGCTTCGGAAACGCTTGCCCAATCCAGACCTCCAGCCTGGTGGACTCTGGTCTCATGGATTTCAGACATCCATTCTGTGGTGTTCACTGAAGTGGCCAACATCATCACTTCAAGTCTGCAAGGCCATAAGCATGTGATTACTTTAGAGGACATATTTTGGAACTGGTGTACTGTTTTTCCACAAATTTAGGGGAATTCTGCCAATGCCTGCATCCCACATGGACTCAACGTTCAAAAAAAATCCGCAAGTCCCCTTTTTGTGGACTAAACGAATGGCAGATTTAGACACAAAAGACCTACACCTTTGTGCCGCAAAAAGGGTCTTTGTGCATTGCCATTTTTGTAAATGACGTGTGAAGAACCTTCTAACAGCTCAACGTAAAGGTTTTTTTTTACTTTTTTAAAGGTTCTTTCTAGAACCTTTACACTGTGTTGAGGTTCTTTAAACTTAAAAAAATTCTCATCTCATTCACACAAATCGTTGTCTAAACCACTATCCTGTCAACTGTTCTTTAGGGAACCGAAAGGGGTGGCATCACCCAAAGACCCTTTTGGGCACCTTTGTTTTCCAAGCATGTACAAGACTGCAGACTTTCTCAATAGGATGCACTTTAAAGGACCCATAACCTACATTTTTTCTTGTATTTATTTTTCCCGAGAGGTCCATTTAATATATTTGCTACTTTATGTACTGAAAATTTTTACATGATCATTTTTCAAACTCCAACCTTTTTTAATCGCTCAGAAGCAAACACACTGTTTTTGTTACTGCGCCTGTAAGATACATGTACATATAAATGAGCTCTGTTCTGATTGGCTGCCTCATATTGTGCCTCATTCAGAACGCAATCCAGGCTAAAACACTCTTTAAAATTTAGTGTGAAAGGGTGGGGCTAAACTGCTGTAAACGGAATAAGCGGATGAATGAAAATGCAGTCATAAAAACTCAAGGTGTTGTTGCAACTTAGCTTCTATACATGGATGGTATGTCGGATCTTACGGAGAGAACGATGTTTTAGAACTTAAACAGTGTTTACATGCTACATAAACCTGTTTTATTTTAAACAAAACAGGGGAAATTCTGTTTTCCATGATAAAGGCCCCTTAAGTTGCATCCATGGAGGGCCAGAGATATAGACTGAGTAGAGGGGTGTGAAAACTAATTTCCTGAAAGAAGGTTGAGATGCAAATATTTGAGAAGCTAGAAAGGAGGGAGGTGTTGTTTCAGAATTAGTCTCTCCAAAATCTGTTATTTCTGAACTCTGTATTAAGAAAAGCATTGGAATACCATCTGCAGGATCTGGACAATGCTTCCCAATTTCTAAAGCTTCCTGATCTCCAGACCAGATGAAGTGCCAGCATTTGCTTTCTTTTATTTGTAGGAGCACGACAGACAGACTGCTGAATTGGTCGAGCAGCTGGGGATAGTGTATTTATGAGTATACCACTCGTTTGTGTGTGATGTGATGTAAATCTTGTGGTTTTAGAGTTGAGCATGTCCAGAGGTGAGGGCTAAAGATGTAAAAAGGTGATGTTTTTGCAAGTAACTCCAAAGTCAGCCATCATACAAACAAAAAAAAAATAAACAAAAAACACCCATAAATGCAAAAAGGCAAAAGCAAAGTGTAAACAGGTGGAGCTCCTTAATTCTAAGTCAAATTCTCTTTATTTTATGTGAAATGTAAAAAAACATTGTACAATCAATACATGCCATAGTCTGTCGAGCAACATGGCAACAGATTTAGGGGAGGAGATCATTTGCTTTTAAAGCTCTGGGCTAAAGGTGGTGTAGTCCTGAGGCACAGTGAGCTTTTACTACAGAAGACAAAGTGTCCTTTTAATGTCTGATATTAGATTTCATCACTCTGGATCAAGCCTAGGCAGGACAGGAAGAATGAGGTTCCCAAACGAGGAATCTTGGGTGATGAAAAAGCCTGACGAGTGTGCGTGTGCATGCTGAAACAGAACATCGCAACAGATTTAACCCTTTCAAGACCAGGATTCTAGAATTACCAATAAGGTTCTAGAATTTCATTATCAACTGTAATAACTGCCAAGCTACTATTGTTACATCATCAGTAGAACTTTACATAAAACTCATAAAACTTGACTGATACCTGTAGAGCTGCTTTCTGCTGGGCAGCTATGTGCTGCTGTTCTGCGTGGTCCCGGAATTCCTTCACTGCCGGTCTTGAAAGTGGGATACTGTGTGGAAAAAAAAAAAAGAGTAATTCGATATGCACAGTCAGAATGAAACTCTGCAGATTAATCAAACTACAGGGCTAAAAGGTGAGTTTTCATAACCTAATTTATCATATTAAAAAGTGTTTTGGTCACATACAAAACAGAACATCCTTACTTTCCTGTAATTAAAATTACATGAAATTATTTGTAATCACAAAAAATGAGGACAGTTAAATGTCCAATCCAAAGTGGACAAATTGCTTCGAGGGGCCAAAATGCAATGTTTGTGGTGGGCTGAGGGCAAAAAAAGGCAAAACAGTACACAAATAAAGAAGCCAAGTGGGCTGTAAATCGAATCGTTTTTAAATGTTGCCTTATAACATTACGCTATTTGTTTTTTACTAAAAGTAATTAAAATAAAATCTTAACAGAAAAATAAAAATAAAAAACTATATAAAATTTCTTTTCTGTCATTGTACACGGAGGTAGAAGGATTTAGTAACTTTCTGGTGGGCCAAATAAAACGTCCTTGCGGTCTCCTCTTTGGGCAGCCCTGCTTTAGACCAATCAGAACATGCACTGTGGCATTTAACTTATCATGCTAAATGTAGCTGTTGGGTTAAAATTAGGACCACATAAAATGCATCATTTGATTATAGCAATAACGTTTCATGTACTTCAGTGTTTCTCAGTCCTACACACTTCAACATGGTTCTTCAAGGGTTCTTTAGTAAAGAAAATGGTTCTAAATAGAACCATGAACACTCAAGGAACGCTTTGCATGATTAAAGGGTTCTTTGCATCGTGAAAGGGTTCTTCAGATAGATGGAGAATGTGCTGAAGATGGTTCTATGTAGAACCTTTTTAAAAAGGGTACTATATAGCAGCAAAAGGGGTTCTTCTATTGTTACAATGTCAAGTTTGTAACAATAGCAGGACCCTTTTTTGGTGCTATATAGAACCATACAACACATTCTCCATCAGTCTGAAGAACCATTTTACAATACAAAGAACCCTTAAATCACGCAAAGGGTTCCTTGGGTGTTCATTTTCTTTTCTAAAGAACCCTTGAAGAACCATCTTTTTTAGGTGTGTAGTTGTAGGGATTGTACGGAGCCCTAAAGGTGACATCCTGTATAAATAAAAATAATGGGCGGCCACAACTTAGTAAGGCGTGGGATTGAGATAATTAAGCCTTGACTACAGCTTCATAAGGCATGATCTCATTCCCACGCCTTACTAAGTCATGGCCATGCAATAGGATCTCATTTCCACGTGTTAATATGACATGGCCACACATTATTTTTATTTATATGGGATGTCACCAGCAGGGCTCGAGGTTTGTTGCAGTACAGAGCCGAGCTGAGGTCGGTCAGGTCCAGATCTGCTTGGCTGTGTTCATACTAACCTTGCTCCTGGATTGTTCATGGACTGGCTCTGTATCAGGCGTCTCTTCTCCTTGTCCAGTTCAGCTAAAATGGCCACCCTGTTTTTATTCTGAAATCCTGTAGGAGTGACAGGACAAACTTCAAGATGCATGAAATAAAGGCCTATTACAAAGATTGTTTTATAGGCAGCCCAGAGTTGTGATCTCACAAATGATTGTGAAGAATCTTTACAGTAATTCTGAACATGTTTGCCGGGCCTGAGAGCTCAGAAACGAGGAGGTCTTTCACACCAAAGTGAATAAAATAGTTTCACTCATTCCCACATCCTGGTGACTTTTTATTAGGTTAGTACGATCAGAATTGGCCATGGTTGCGGTCAGTCAAGCTCAGAATTGCCATCTCTGTGCTCCAAACACAATTGGCAATCAGCTAATTTGTTATTTTGAATTTACCTGATCTGTGTTGCAATGGGGAAAAATACCATGAGGGAGGTGAGGGCACTCGTGCTGTATTTGAATGCTGCTGCTCCAACTGTACCACAACGTCACAGCATAATCATGTCTGACCCATTGTGCTAAACAGCCAGTTGCCTCTTACTTTCAATGTAGCACTTTATTTCATTCATGCTATTTAAATTGACAAATCTTTTTCATCTAGAAATTTCAAAATTCCAGTTTGGCCCATTAAAGAGCAAATAATGTTATTTATATTGAAACGTTGTCTAAAAGGAAGTACTGGAAATGTGCTAGTGTGTTCCTTGTGTTCATTTAATCCATCAGTGTGAGCTTCATGTTAAAAAAGGGTTGATAAATATCCACCATCAGCCAGTGTGGCAGTCATCAAACCATACAATTTACTCCCCAGTCTACATGGTGCACCTGTGGAAAGTAAGCTGCAAAAACCGTCCATTTTAAATTATTGTTTTGGTGATGTCACAAAAACTGATATATCCACCTGGTCAGTGCACAGCAGTTTAGCTACACTCATTCATTCTGAAGTTATAAGGTTGTATTTCAGCCCAGAGGGCTTTTTGAATGAGGCACATTACTGAATAGCCAATCAGAACAGAGCTCATTTATATCAGTTTTAAATGTACAGTAACAAAAGCAGCCTGTTTAACACTAAGAGATAAAGGGAGTTTGGAAAATGGTCAAGTAAAAAGGATTATGACTGTTTTTGGCACATAAAAACACAAAAGTTATACCTCGGGGAAATAAACACAACAACATTTGTAGGTTTTGGGCCCTTTAAAGAACACTGAATAAAGGGAGCATAATTAGCCTTGATTATGTGACCTTAGTTCTGTCTAGTATGTGAAACATCAAATAAAAATCATTACATTCATAGTTTTTGATAGTACTTTTTTAAATGTGCCACTACTGGATCTTTTTTGGCTGTTCCAACTCATCAAACCTCAGAATACATATACATATTGTGAAAATGTCTTGAAGTATTGCAATATTATATTTTTGCCAGATCACCCACCCCTATTGTGGAGAGACTGAGGATGAATCTCAAATGGCTCCTTACTCCCTATATAGTGAATGAAACATCTGCTTCTACATCCGAATAATGCACAAAATGTTAAGGTATCGAGTCGTACAGCTTAGGGCTATATATTAACAGCTTTCTATTAAACATATAAGCCATATTTTGGGTGCAGAAGTAGTGCACTACATAGGGAGCACAGAGCCATTTGAGGCTCAGCCTGACTGTGACTGAGGGTTGAAGTGTAAAAGTAAGGATGGATGATTGGGGAAACAAGAGCCACATCCTGCTGCTTATAAACACACTTTAAAAAAAAGATGGTTCTTCAAGGGTTCTTAATTAAGGGATTTTTTTATTTAGAACCACGAGTTCTATATGTAACCATTCCATGCTTCTTTGAATGATGAAACGGTTCTTCAGATTGATGGAGAATGTGCTGTAGCTATATAAGTTCTATATCGCACCAAAAAGGGTTCTTCTATTGTGACAATGTCAAGCTTGTGACAACAGAAGAACCTTTATGGTGCAACCACTTTCAAAAATGCTCTTTATAGAACTATTTAAAACCCATTTTCCATCAACTTCATCAATCTGAAGGACCAAGCATGCAAACGGTTCTATAAAGAACTCATGGTTCCAAACAGAACTACTGCCTTTTCTAAAAAACCCTTGAAGAATCATCTTTTTTTAAAGTGTAAGCTACCCTGTCCAAAAAGGGTTCAGTTTCAACATCAGGACAGTCTCACAGCTTGATTAACATTATCCAGACACATTATTCTTCTCAGTAAGTAAAACTGTTGGGTTACTTTTTCAGATATGGCTGTAAAACTGAGGGCACAGCATCGTTAATCCATCCAGCTCTGCTTACGAAGCTGAAGTCGGCTTCTTATTCGCCGGCTTCTGGTTAGAATTTTCCCGTTCCACCTTAAATGGTGCATCAGTTACTGTTATAACGCCTCAAGTGCAGGAAAGCAACCGCTGCACCATTTAAGGTGGAACTGGAACATTCGATCAAGAAGCTGGCGAATAGGAAGCCCATTTACAGCCTCCCTCACAGCCTAGAGCAGCTCAGCTGACCAACAATTACTAACAAGTTACAGACTGAACTTCCGTGTCTGCCGTTACCTTGTCCGGGCGGATTTGAAGCCATCGGTGCGAGTTTTAGAGTGACAGCAACACTAATAAATACACTGAGATGAACAGAATTAATGTATTAATATCAGAAACATGCTTTGTTGTCAACTCGCCGATTTTTTTTCATTATTCTTCCTCTACGGCTCCCTCTAGTATCAAAGCCACACTGCCCTCTACAGTACAAGGGGCTTTTTGCAGGCCACGTCCGCAAATATAAAGGGCCCAAATCATCTCAAACCGAACTTCCCTCACTTTTTACAAAACGGGGGATCGATGTTGAGCGCAAACATAGGCTGTGTCGAAACTGTGTCCTATTCACTCTGTAGTGCACTATTTAGGGTTCCGCAATTGCGTAGTGCTAACCGAAAATATGCTGTGACCGAAACGGCCCCCGAAATGGTGATGGCAGTAGACGATTTCGGACCCTACATCATACGTCATACAGGTTTGCTCACAGACCACTGTAGTCGTGTCGTCATTTTGTAGTCAGCGCCATGTTCTTATGCCCATATTAGGAACTCCGGGTCTAAGCTCCATTTCTCTATGGCCAGAATGAATAAGGTTTTCGAAAAATCGCCTCTATCGCCCCCTGTGTTAAATAAAAATGTTCAGAACCCGATACGTTTTGTCCTATGTACATTTTTCTCCCGAATACCACTGGATCCTCTGAATTACGAGGTCGTTAAGGCGTTGAAATATGAATATAGGTACATGTGAGCTAGAGCTACTGCGCACTGAATTCACGTCATTAGACTGACAGCCTCCTCAAGCAGGTTATCACCCCCTGATAAACTGATATATCAGAATATCTTAATTTTTATTTTAATGCTATTAACATTTTTCTGAGGACATTCGCCAGCTTTTTGTTCGACTTTTTCCGTTCTATCTTAAGTGGTGCAGCAGGCACGTTCTGAACTGCTGAGCCATTTAAGGTGGAACGGGGAAATTCGAACAAGCAGCCGGCGAAAAAGCAGCTGACTTCAGCTTCATGGAGGGTTTAAAGGCATGATATGAGGTTTCTCTATTTTTGCTTAACAGAGTAACATTAACTTATTTTTGCTGTTTCACAGAACCGACAGGTCAGTATTTTGTGTCGTTTTCTAATGTTTTTGATAGCTACAGCTGCTGCACCATTTAAGGTGGAACGGGAACATTCAAAGAAGCTGCGAAAAAGTTTTAACACGGGTAACTTTAGTATATTTGACAAGGAGTTTTAGCCTATCAAAATATCCTACCTAGAGGTTTTATTTATGGGTTTACCCGTAAAGATGCGCTACAGTAGAACATTTTGATAAGATACCACAGCCCGCCTTAGTTTCGTGCAGAGCCGTATAGAGAGATCTCTATATCTCTCTATACGGCTCTTGTTTCGTGTAGCTAAGTGACATCAAATTGATGCACAGTAGTTTTAGCTCACATGTAGCAATATTAGTATTATAGCTCTTCACGACCTCGTAATTCAGAGGATCCAGTGGTATTCGGGAGAAAAAATGTATATAGGACAAAACGTGTCGGGTTCTGAACATTTTTATTTAACACGGGGTGCGATAGAGGCGATTTTTCGAAAACCTTATTCATTCTGGCCATAGAGAAATGGGGTCTAGACCCGGAGTTCCTAATATAGGCATAACGAGGACTACAGAATGACGCACGACTACAGTGATCTATTACTGTGCGACAGCAGATTACGTCACATCTATCTATTCATCTATCCACCGAGCTCTCTGAGGCGAAGACGCGGCCATTGTAGCTGAGCTCGCTGAATCTGCTCAGCAGTGCATTATGTATTATCTCCTATCCACTAGGGTAGGTAGTACCCTACTTATTGTGGTGCACTGGATCTTGGACACCACTATAAAATGGCAGAACCCCCAGAATAGTGCACTATATAGTGAACAGAGCACCATTTCGGACTTAGCCCGCTCTTAATTCACTGTGTTTTGACGCCACGTTATTAAAGTCCAGTCACAGTGAAGTTATAGTTTCAGCCCAGACTACTTTTTCAATGAAACGCAATACAAGGCAGCCAATCAGAACAGAGCTTATTTACACATAGCAGTCTTAAAGGTACAGTAACAACACAGCCGGTTTAATTCTAAGGGATAGAGAGGTTAGAAAATGGTCATTGAATTATGAAAAATGAATGACGACTGTTTTTGGTACATAAATCCACAAAAATGTGTAAACAAGTGTAAACAATAAAACAACAAAACGTAAAATATGGGCCCTTTCAGTGTCTTAAAATGAACACTTTCATATAATTTATCAAATCACTCGAGACAGATATTTTTATTCATCTTATTATCTTAATGTTTTTAGCCGTGAGACACATCATTAACCTTGTTTGTAACTCACCATTAGCTGCTCACATATGTATAAAAAGTAAACCGGGCTAATATTCCCCCTTCACCAATACAAATGTATAAATTCTTGTGGTTGAAAGACATTTTAATTAACCTTAATTAATATTTTTATTATATTATTTTATTATATATTTTTTTTCACTCCTCATTACCATCATCTACTTTGGCCTGTGAAAAGCCAAATCAGGGGTTCACATCAACCTCTAATAATTACACATATTTTGATTATAATTTGCCTTTAAGGATAACTTTTAAATGTTTATAAAGTTAGCTTGTAAAGGTTTCTGATGGGGCACTTGTTTTCTGGGTTGTTGCTGGTTAGATAACCTAATCCCGACTCAATAAGCAGTGCTGACCTGTAGGCCAAACTCACTCTTCACATCCATCACGTGTGGCTTTATTTTGTACTTCCTCCCTGATAATATTTGTATACTGAACCTGTACAAAGAAGGAATCTTTTGTTGTTCTGAGATGGGCCTGTATTTGGCAGGTAGGCTATGTAAGATATGACCTAATTGGAGAACAAGAGCTTGCTTACTAATGTCCTCCAAACACCTACTCAAGCAGAAGTACTGTTACTTCAGTCAAACAATGACTCAGGTGAAAGTAGAGACCTTTTTTAAAAAAAAAAAAAAAACACCTTTCAATAGGTGCCCATAGGTGTCCAATCTTATCCACAAAATGCCAGTGTGGCTGCAGGTCTTCACTCCAAACAAGCATGAGAACACCAGATTCCACAGTGGTCTCGGTCTTCAGCGACTGATCAGATGAGCTCCTGCTTTGTTGGAATGGCCCTTTGTGGATAAGACTGGACACCCTTGTCTTAGTGCATTTAGCATCTATCAGCATAGGAACTGTAGTGCGTTAAGACTATTCTTCTCTTCTTAATGAACTCTTGCTCTGAAACCTCACAAGTCAGAAATCAGTCAAAACCACCAATACATTAAACACAAAAAGAAATTAGTAACTAAAATGTAACTGAAGCAAAACATAGGTTCCTTTCCTCACAAATATACATAGCATGGCCACAAGTATATGGACAACTGTCCTAATTATGGACTTCAGCCACACTCATTGTTAGCAGGCGTGTAAAATCAAGCACATAGTCATGCAGTCTTCACAGACAGTGGCAGTAGCATGGACTGCACTGAAAAACACAAACATAGCATCAATCTCATCTGTTTATGGAAGTAGCCTGACTGCTCTCACATCTTAAAGCACTGTATGAATTTAATTTTTTTGTAGTGTACACAATACACTGAATATAAATCTAGCTTTCCAAAATACTTGGGGATTTTTAATTCTGAGCGATACTTGATGTTATCATATTAAGAAGAATAAAAATGAGATAAATTAAATAATTAGACAGAAAAAACAAGGTTTACAACAACAACAACAGTGGGGAAAGCGGGGGGGGGCAGAAACAAACTTGATGTGTACAGAAACACAGCCAATGGTCACACCAACATATACAGTCAACAAAAAAAATCAAAACACTAGAGCTGGTTAAGATCTTCCTTACATATCTGCAAACAATATAACAATTATATATTAGTTAAGGGGTCTAATTTGTGGAAAAGAGGTTCTGTATTGCAATTTAATTTTTTTTTTTTTTACAAAAGGAGCACTACAGTTCTTTTCATTTACATTTACATATTTATACATTTATATAAGATTACACGGTCAGATCACTTGAAAAAAGTGAGAATTCTCCTGAATAACAGATTTCCCCATCAAGAATTCAAATCTAAAATCGAGACATCGTACATTAGCCTGTAAAATGACAACTACGTTGGAAATTTGATTGAAGGAACTGTCTGCAGCTCTGCAAAAACAAACAAAAAAAGCCCCCACAAATCCACGCAAAGACAAAGAGAACCCAATTGCGCAAGTTTAGGATGGCACAGGTGATGTCCGAACAAATTTCGTTAGTACGATTTTTCATAGCTCACAGTGATTTAAACCAGAAGGATATACATGACAAAAATGCCCTCTGAGTCAGAATACTGGTATTCAGAGCTAAGCTGGGCATTATCTATAAGGTGGTGATTACTACTGCTTTACAGCCTTATAATGAACCTATAAAAGGAGTAAAAAGGAGGTCGAAGCGCCAGTGAAAAAGATACTATTAAAAAGTGGATGAAGGGCAACTCACTTCAGCAAGACAGACCATCGCTTACATTCCAACAGACTATCATAATGAACAGACGGGTGCGAGTATTCACGCCTGCAGACACTATGTAAGCAAATTACAGAATATAAGCAAACCCTGAGCACTGATTAAGGCACACCAAGATGCACCAAAGACTCATTACATCTCATGTTCACTTTATAAGAACAACAAGGACCAAGAATCATCTGCTTCAGGGGAACTGTAGAAAGTGGCATATATCAAATCTCCTGACAAGTGTTTATTTCTCCAAAGGGTCTCTAATGAACAATGCCGATGACCAAAAATGGAGAAAGTTTTAAAATGAAGTCCTGTTTAGCCACCAATCATGCATATTCAATATACTCAACCTGGTCCATGTAGGACTAGCCAAAGATCCATTTGGTTTTAAAAGTGTTCAAATTGGACGCCAATCTGAAATCCATTCATTAAAATATGACTCTGTTAAAAACTCCATCAGAAGAGAGCACAGTGAATACCAATTTAACCTGTGACATGAAAAGGCACTTTGGAACTGAACATGTACTACAGGGAAATGGTTCTAATATTCTTTACAGGGCACCCATTTATTCTTGTTGGCAAACTGCTTAATTATCACCTCTTTCTTAGTAACACTTTCACAAAGTAATGCATTACTTTCTAAAGCTGTATTTGATGACTAGTTGGAGCTTTGCATACTAAATGTGCTGACCACCTGTGCCAACCAAATCATGAGTCACTCAAAAACACTGGAGCACACTCACACTAACATTATGCCTAGATGGGCCATACAATTCTCTTGCCATCCATCTCTCCTCATAACATTTGTTTTGGTATATCAAACTGCAAAGAAACAAAAGTTTTGACACAAAAAAAAACAAACAAAAAAAAAAAACCCTGAAATCCCCATACAGTCACTTTCAGTACTTTTGCATATTTAATCAGTGGGCTGAGAGAAGTCACTACAGATGGTAAAAACTGGTTTACAAAATTCAAAACAGATCCAGATTTGCGTGTTTACAAAATTTGTTATAATTTTTTTTTGAACAGTCGAGTCCACAATGCCACATTACTATTTGTTTGCACTATATATTGCTTCTGTCTTGGTGCAGACAACCTATAAAAATGACTGCATGAAGATATGGGTGAAACTTTCACCAATTTGGGTTTGCTCCTACTGTCAACAGGCCTGAAAGTTCCTGCAGGGTAGTGCTTTCCCCGTTCACTTGAAGGAATACTGTACTCCAATTTCTCAAAAAGATGTGTATAATTAAGTCGTTAAGATGTAAAAGTCATTCCGAGTGGTGTGATGTGAAATGTTCTTTTGTAGAGAAACTTACAGAATCATAGCTGTTCACAGTGGTGGTGATAGGAACCAAATGTCTCTAAAAGCTCCCTCACAGAAAGTGAAATACTTGAGATGGTTATGAATGTACTACCTGATTTACGATAGTTTTAAAACACTATTTTCTTAAACAGAGTAATGGTTAGGAGGTAAAAGCCGGATGTTGTAAAGCAAAATACCATTCCAGATTTACCACAATTTCACCATCAGTAATATTACATATAAAAACTGATGTAGATTCACTGGTCATTTTAGAAAGTAAATAAAAAGGCTATGTGTGTGTTGTAGACATGGTGACCTGTGAGTCAGTAAGCTTCTCTACAATGAGTCATTTCACATCAAACTCAGTTTGTTTACATCTCAACAATAGAACCCTCCAGAATTGCTGTTTGGGACAGGCAAGACCTGGTCCAACAACAGGTAAACCCACAAAAATACGCAGTGCATGGGAGGACAGAACTGAAACGGACTGTTTTATGGAGGAGAAACAAAGTGACTTGACTAGCGACAATAATAGAATTGTGAAATGATGGTGTGACCTTCCTTCACATCAACAGGAACCCAGTAATGCAATCAAACAAGAATCTACCATAAGATTCTGGGACTGTAACACAGTCAGCTTCTTTGGGGAGTTTCTGTTGGCTAGGGGGAAAAAAAGCAAATAAATATTGTGAATGCATTATAAAGAGGCTACAGTATAGGCTACTTACTGTATACACAATGATTATTGATCTGAGGTTATTGGCGGTAAATAATATACATATAAAGAAAACTGGCTGGGAAAAGTGATTAGTATGCAGTCTCATTCTAAAACAGTACGAAATGCCATGATCGCAGATTTAAAATGAAGGAAAAGTTTGCATTAGGAGGAGAAAACTACCTTTATAAAAAAAACAAACAAAAAAACAAAACAAAAAACAAACCACACCCTTAAAAATCTCCTCCAAATAAACGAACTGTGCAAGCCCACATATAAAGGCTACTGTGATATAGGATAGGCCTTGTGGCCAACCCCGATGTAGTCCTCCTCTGCGCTGTACAGCGTATAAGCTCATATCACCCAGCCCATCTTCCCTTCCCCACAACCCAGACGTCTTTGGGAAGCACCGGAATTCAGAGTCTTTCTCTGCATCCAGTATAGCCCATGTAATCCCTGCATTCATTCCTATGTAGGATCAACCATGAAGATCTGCAGAAGACTTACAGCCTTTTATGTGAGCCAAAAGCATGAAATACATCCAGGGAATTGCACTGCAGCTGGTAGGGAGCATGAGGAGTTCAGCCAAGCTCTGATCTGTGACCAGTCAGCTAAGGCCTAACAAATAGCTGATGTCTTGGCCTAAACCAGGGCCCTACAGTGCAGTCTGGTCAGGCCTGGCAGGTCAGTCCTAGCAGTTGATGGAGCAGTCCGTCTTGGCTTTGCTAGCAAAGCTGATGATTCTGCGGAGGCAGCGGCCAAACTCCTCTAGGATGAGCCTCTCAGCCAGGGCCTGCGGCTGGTTTGTCAGCTCAGCCTTCCCTGCCTGCTCCAGCAGGCAGTCGCACGTCGCCTCTGCCACCTCTTTCGTTACAAACGTGTACGGCAACCTGGGTGAGAGAGAGGGGAAGACTGATTACAGGAGAATTTACAACAACTGATGGCCAACAGAACACTCCTATAAAGTCTAACGGAGATCAATCTTAGATGGTGAATTCTCCAAAACAGAGCATCTTGAACAAAAACCATCTCTAAAGCAAGTTTCACCCATTTTGCTAAATTTCTGTGTAATTAAATTAATAAACTGTAGACAACGTCATTCATAGAGGTTAGATGTGAAATGTGCTGCTTTAAAGAAAAGTGAGAATTCCTCAGAGTGGTGGTGATAGGAACCAGACGTCTGAAGAGTTTAAAACAAAATATTCAAAGAAAACTCTCATTTTATTTGATTATATTAATTTAGCATATTTTAGTCAAACTTCATTACACCAGCAGAATGGCCACTAGAGGGCTTGTAGCAACAGGCCATGGTAAGGCTATGGTAAGGCAAGGAATCATTTTCAACTAAATGGAAACCAAAATATTTGAAAACAAAAGCAGGCCTTACTTCCCCCCTCCGCTGGTGATGGCCGGTGTTGTTCTGGTAAGCAGGTCTGATATCTGAGAAGACAGCTTGGTCTTAGCAGCAGTCTGCTGCTGCACCCGCACTTCCGCAGCATCAGCCAAATGCATCAAAGTCTTTCTCTCTGGACTCTCCTCAAAGTTTTTACAGCCCACGCACTTACAGATTGAGGAGCACATGATCTTTGCCTAGGAACAGCAGGAGAAAAAAAAAATAAGTAAAGCATTTATACACTGTTTGCTAGTTATAGTGAAAAGTAAAACTGAGTTGCACATAATGATCTACATAATGCCCAAATAGTGAGACAAATAATGGCAGAACCGAAAGCAAACTCACCTCGTAGCACTCGCAATAGTTCTTCAGACAGCCAGACTTTTTGCAGTTGCAGCCTTTGCTGTGTCTTCGGTCTGATTCTCCTTCTTTTCCTTTGCCAATCTTGGGTTTGAAAGCTACTGGGTTTCTGTCCAAACAAGCCTGCAATGGTAGAATATTTAATATTTTAAGCAAGACCAAATTCTGCTAAATTTCCTCTGTCTGATTTGTTGAACTGAGCTACAAAAGACATAAATAATCTACATGAGTTACTGACAGTATATTTTTAAAGAAAAGAAGACTTTTTGAAGTGCTCAATACCTTAATGGCTTTCAGCCTTTCACTCTCATGGTCAAGGTTGTTGAAGCAATTTACACAGTTGCAGTTGTTACAAAATTCCCCATTCGCAAAGCAGTCACAATACCTGCAGGTAAAGCAGACATCTTTTATTAATCTTTCAAAAAACCTTTGTACTTCTTTCAATGTACAAACGTTACTCAGCTTTGTTGAAGATGGATGACCATGGCCAGAGGTAAGTGCACACTTACAGTTTTAAGCACTGTGACTTGGTGCAGTTGCAAGGCTTTCGGGGTCTTGAAGTTGTATCTGGTGCTGATAAACTGCAACAAGGACAAATAATTTATTTCTTTAACATTCTCCTTTAATCAAAGTACATAACTAATCAAACAAACTAAAATAAGGAATTGATGTATGGTCTGTGTAAATAAAGCTCCTTAAATGAGGTAAAGAGATCCTTTAATGGCGCATTGGCATTATGTTAATACACAGTATCAGTGTGCTGGAGAGTAAAGCCCCTTTCCATAAACTACAAGAAGATTATGGTGTTGTACTACTACAAAAAGCAGGCTTGGTTCAGATGCAGTGAATGGTGGATCACTTACCCGTTGAGAGGAAGCCTGGCCTGGGTCTGAATGGAGGTGGGGGTGGAGAAACCTGAGCTGCTGGCCAAAGTCACAAATGCTGACTGTGGGAGCTACAAAAAAAACCAAAAAGCACAGTTTATCACAACACACACACACACACACACACACACACACAGTGTCAAAATCTCTATACTTGCATGTTCAGAGGGAACCTATTTAAAGTGGAATTCCAGAATTTTCAGAGTTTCTACATATTTAAACGGTTAAGATGTAAAAGTCATTCAGAGCTATTTGACGCAAAATGCTGCGTTTTAGAGAAACTTCACAATTGTCTGACCCCTGGTTCCCATCACCACCACTGTACAGAAATCTGAGTTGTGAATTTAGTGATATTCCTTTTTAAACAGTAATTAAGTAATATACTGACCTAACAAATACAATATATTGACATAATTCTGTTACGTCAGCTAAAAGATGCCTAGCACTGTGCTAAGTGATGGGTGAGAGGGAGGGCCATTCTACCCAGAGAGCGTGACGCTAGTTATGCTCGCTCAGACTCCTGGACATGGAAGGTTGTGGTATCATTCAGGATCAAGCTCAAGACATCTCGATAATAGGACCACTGCATAGATGAGAGCCCCCTGCCCAGTCTTCTTGTAGTCAAATTAGAATTAGATATGACAAAACAATTATCCAGGAGCAGCATGCTTTTATATGCCCATTAAGAGGGCTGTACAATATTGAAAAAAAATGTGGCTTGCTTAAAGAGGTAATATTACGATGACAATTTGAGTGATAAATTACTACTAAAATAGTGTGCCTCTGACTGATGATGGAACTACATACTTTTTTTGGATGTCTAAACAGAAATCTAACTCAACTCTCCTTTAAATAGGATTATATATATATATATATATACACACACACACACACACACACACACACACACACACACATATATATATATATAGGAACACCATTCACTATTGTGCAAAATAAAAAGAAATGAAATACCAACAGCTACTTCAGAACTACAAGCATGTTTTATGTGCACTGAAAAGCTGACAACCTTGACAGCTCTTTCTATAAAGGCTACAAAATTTAGCATATTTTTTTCATTTAGGCACATAAGAATGAACACAATTTGTAAAAACAACTGGTTGTAAAAACAATCCTAATATTTAGGCTAGCAGTTCAGTGGACAGGGTTTTGTTATTCAGGTGTGTGTTTTGTGGCCATTTAGCATAATAGTCAAGTTACTTGTAGCAGTGTAGGAGAGCATCCTTTAGGTTTCTAACAGTTTGTGCAGAAAATGACATCTCTCTGGTGCCAGGTGTATGAGGTAATTTGATATGTACAGTCATCTTCGCTCTAACGAGGTCAAATATTACACTAACGATAAAAATATGATATATCGTAAAAGCCTAAGGCTTAGAAACAGCTAGCATTACTTCGACAGCTTTTTCTATAAAGGCTACAAAAACAAATAAATATATATTTCTTTTTATTTAGGCCACGTTTAAATGGTCAGCTATCCTACCCAGTAGTAATTACACCAAGCAGAATTTCTGTGTTAGCTGTGTAATCTAAAGCCAATACTGTAACAGGACAGTTGTCCCTTACATCACCTTCTTCTACATACACCCAAGTTAAAAACAGACCTGTGTGACATATTGGGCTGGCAGCACAGCGTAGCCCATGTTGCCAGCACCTGGGGCAGGGGCCAGCACGGTGCCTGGAGGCAGGTTTGTCAGGTTGGGCTGGATTTGAGGCAGTGGGGTAGCTGGCATAATGAGTCGCTGCTGTGTCTGGCTGGTGGTCACCACCTGGGCTGCTGAGGTCATGGGCTTTGGCACCACCTGTGGGGAAAGAAACGCAGAACAGACAGAGAGGCCTGACTGAAAAATGAGGTTTTCAATAGTCTAAGTATATTGTGCGCCACCTCCAAAAGTGAAGAATAAGCAAGGCAGTGTCTCCCACACTCAACCCACCTTGAGCCCCCACCAGCACATTTCACTGACACTGTAGTTACTTATCAAATTCTTGGTGATCAAAAAATGAGTCACACTTGAATATATTCCTTTTTGGGAAAAAAAGGCTTTAAAGCTTATATGTAGAATATAATATTCATTATATTGCTTTGCATCTTTTTTCCATCTAGACAGGCTCCATTCATTTGGTAGTATGTACAAAATCAAAAGTAATGAAATGTAATAACTTACATTAATTTATTTTAATTATGTCCTCAATGTAATCACTTATTAAAATTTTAAGTGTAACTAGTAATCTGTCACCTATTACATTTTAAAAGTAACTTTGAAGATGATCTTCCTTAAAAAGGACTTCTCCAAGAATATATTTAAATATATTTTAATTTAACTTGCTAAGCCAAGCATTTTAATAAATAGCTCTAATAGCTAAGGGGTATGTATGTATGTATGTATGTATGTATGTATGTATGTTCATATAAAAAGGTGGGATTTCAGTCCTGTAGGTCAGCAGTACAGTGAAACTGTGTTGGATACTGTTTTCTTCCTCCAAAATGTCTTGCAGCTGTAGGCACTGGGAAACTCTCTACATTAAAGTGGAAAGTGGAGTGTGATGTTACCTGTTTGACAGTCTGTGCTGGGACTATGGGAACAGACATCCTCACTGCAGCAGTGTTCATCATCATAGGCTTGGCTGTGAAAACAGCAAACCAAACAGACCATCATAAACATTAACTACATCCTCCTTCTCACTCTCACTCTCACTCTCACACACACACACACACACACACACACACACACACACACACGGTAATGAACCAAAGTCCATCAACTCTTAACCTAGAATTTCATTCATAATACCATTGCTGTGGAATCGGCTGCCCTCTTTGAAGGATGTCTGTAATTTTCAAAAAGGAAGCCAAATGTAAAACATGCAAGTAAGTCCTATTTGGAAACCAGTAACCATGAGCTGGATGTCATCAGATCTCCTAAGGTCAATCAGTGAATCTGAAGGGAAAACTTTAAACTCATCCTCTTTAAGGCCCCTAATTTTTCTTGCATTTCATCAGTTTACAATGTTTGTGTGGGTTTATACACCAAAACAGCTTTAATTCACTTTGGATGACACTTTTTCATACCTCTTTAAACATCAGAAATAAACAGGCTGTTTTTGTTACTGTGTTTTTATAACTGATATATTAAAAAGTTTTCTGTTATGACTGGAGAGAGCTAAACTGCTGTATCCTTAATAGGTGTGTGTATGTGTGTGTGAGAAAAAGTGACATGCCCCCACTTAGTTACATGTATGGAGTGGACCAGGCATTGAATGGTACATTTCAAAACTTTAACAATGTATGCATCGGACCTCAAAAGAGCAAGAAAGTTTCTTTTTCCATGATATGAGTCCTTTAACATTTGTATTAATTAAAGCTAATCTCAGTGGAGATGTGCATCTAGGGCTAACCTAAATTGCCTGGACCACATTGGTTTTGACTTTCTAAAGTGCTTTTTGCTAAAGTTCTTCATTTTTTAAAACTGAAGGACAAAACCATTTCTCTTTAGTTACTGAGGTTAAAGATACATTTCACAGATGTTTCAAGTCTTCTCCATAACTAAATCAGTAAGACGTAAACAAAGTCTCCTGAAATATCTGATGTAAAATGCACCATTCTAGAAAAAAAAACTTACTGACACATAATTGTTCACAGCAGTGGTGCTAGGAACCAGACGTCTGAGGCATTTAACACCTCTACAAGCTGTCTCACAAAATTATTATATGAAATGGTTAACAACACGCTGACTAATGCCTGTGACATTGTTTTATGATAGATTTAAATTATGATTTTGGCCTAAAATGTATGTTTTAACCTACATTCATGGTGGAGAGGTATATACAGGGCATGGTGAGGCAAAACAATCTCGACAGAAAACATTTTTTCACCACTAAGAGGAGAAATCCTCTTTAACCTACACCATTCACAGTCCAGCTGAGGTTTGGGTTGGGTTTAGTTTGTTTTTTATTACATGTAGGTACACATATATAATACGTATTATAATACGTATAGAACATATGCATATGTATGATCTGACATTGTACCTGGCTGGATTGCAGGGTTGGTGTTAGTGCTGGGGCTGGCTGTCTGTGGCGTGTTGCCCCCTGTGGTTGCTGTAACCAGTCGCACATAATGGAAGCGGCTGCCAGGAACCTGGATTTGCTGCACATTGGGTGGCGTGGCCAGGGGGATGATAGTTTTAAACTGGGGCTGGCCAACCCCACCTACTGCCACTGTCTGCACTGGCTTCACTGCCTATGAAAAGGGGAGAGGCAAAACCAGTCACTTTATTAGATCCTTCCACATGCATTCAAATTAAAGCAAAATACAAAACATGCTTAGTAACACAATAATACCTCTTATCTGGGACTGTCCTGGATGGTACAGGTGTCAGACAAATTATTAAAGGGACACCAAAGGTTTTCTGCATCAGTACGTACAAATATGGAGGGGGGTGGGTATCAGATGCCACAAGCATAATTCGCTATATTCATTCAATAATCTCACACCAGCAAAGACATGTTTCGGCACACTGAAGAAGGGCAAGTGCTGAAACGTTGCGCTAATGCAAATAATTAAAGTAAATTATGGTAGCACAGTCTGCATTTTTCCTTTTTACATCCAGAATTTTAGCTTTTTTATAGGTGGGCAGCCTGTTCATCCATAAACTATAGCTCTAGAGCGACAAAAAGGGTGAATACTATTTATGTTTTTTTTTCAACACCCAAAAACGAGCTTCTCTCACAACAGCAGCACTGCTTGAATTGCTAGTACTGCTTGAAAACACTGAACAGACCTTGGTTAGCGCTCTGAAAGCTAAGCGAGTGAGGTACCTGGGCAGTGGACTGGCTGGTTCCTGCTTTTACCGGGGAGGTTGTGGGAGTCTGCTGGACAGCGAGGATCTGCTGGCCCAGAGCCACATTCAGAGGCAGTGCCACAGGCTTCTGAGGAGAGTTTGGAGACTGGCTGGCCACTGAAACCACTGTCAGCTACAAGTTGGTCAGTAAAGAAAGAACAAGGGAGAGAATTTTATTAAAGACTAATTACATTCCAAAATACAGATGTGTTCTGGGTTTGATGAGAATCTGGCTTCTCTTCTTGGACAATTAGCAAAAACGGTGGCACTGCCCTTTAACACAGGTATCCTTTGAGAAACTCACTTTGCTGGGAGATTTGAGGGGAGAAATGGCCACTTTGCTGCTGCTGCTGGAGATGCTCTGTGGCACTGTACTGACCGTTTCTCCGACAGCGATGCTACGTGGAGGAGTCGATGGTGTGGTCTGTGAAAGGACCCTCCCTGAGAGAGAAAAAAAAAGTACATGAATACTTTAGGTCAAAAATTCTAACACAAATCAACTCCTTTTAATCTCTCAGCGGCCCACTGAGGTGCATTAGCCCAGGCCATAGCACTGTGCAGTTCTCAGACATTTACAACCTACATGCTGCTACTGAGAGTTAAACAGAAAAAAAAAAAAATCACCTGTGACAACAGGAGCCTGCACAGCAGCCTGACTCGTCAGCCCCTTGTTGTTCAGAGCTTTTGTGATTATCAGCTTCGTTATCATGGGTCCTGCTGTGGAGACTGGTGTCTTTTTTGTAAACTGTCAAAAGAAGAAACATGACTTCAAACAAAGCATCAAAACAATACATTTGGGACTTTTAGCTGCAGGGAAAAGGCAGCACAGTAAAAAGGGGTTTTAAACCTTTTTAAATGTCTGACAATTGAAGCTTCTGTAAAGACAACTATTCTAAATGTGGAAGCTGTTAACTTAATGTGATTGTAATGCAACAAAAGTCAACCTCCACCTTCTAGTACTAAAATTTGCAGGTCACTCTAAACTGCAATACTGCAAGCTAAATAAATTGTACTAATACTGCCACATTAACTAAAGACTTAATTGGCCCATTCCTGCCTGAACTGTTCATGTATAAACAGTGGCTTTCACATCTATGCAGACATACTAGACGGTAAGCATTTCATTTCTTATAAACAAATAAGTGTCTCAAAAACAAGGGTGAATTTGAAATCCCACCCCTGCCCCAACCCCCGCCTAAGTTGCCTTAGCATGATGCTTTTCATGTTTCTTAATGTTGACTGTACAATATTTGTACTTGGTAGAATCCTGAAAACATACCTTAAGGACATCATCGTTGTATGATGTTACCGACCACACAAACTAATTAATTTATTTTGCTTAATCATTAGTAGAAATAACGAACTGCAAAATGATTTTGTAGAATTACACTACCTCCATAATAGTACCTGGGCTGCCATGTAAGATTTGTTTATTACGCTGTTCTTTTATTATTTCTGCACCTCTCACACTGAGCAAAACAGTATACCATTTAGAAGGTAGGGTCCTTGTATTTTTAAATTTGTTGAAAGAAATACTGTGTGTGGCACAAAATATTTAGGCATTGAAAGACTATTTGCTGCACATTACCTTTTCCGATTAATCAATGCCATGATAAATCAAACAATTATAGAAATCATTTGCAGCCCTACTTGAAAGTAATGGTAATTTTGGTCACTGATGTCAGTGGATGCAGTGATACTGGAATTAATAGTCTATGCCAATGTCAGATATTTTTCATGTACATTTCTGCAGATACATAAATTTCGTAGAATTTCAGACTAAGACTACCAGGATTATCACTATGGTGAAATAACATTCATTTAGGGTTACAATGCAGTAAAAGTGAACAAAATACAGACAACTTTAGCACAGAAGCTCAGCATCGACCAAATGTTCCGCTCTTCCACTACACACTGCCAAAATATTGGTTTAAAATATCAGTAAAATCTGTTCGAAAAAGATACCTTTATTTTAAGCAATCATCTGCTGATTTCGATATGAACCCAGTATCATTGTGCATCCCTACTGATATGATTCACGGCAGTTTTCACAGTCCCCATCTCTAGTGACACACACCTGAACAGTCTTGAGTTGTTGGGCCTGCAGAGGTGTGGAGGACGCCAGCAGCTGGCTGGCAGAGCTCATGGCCTGCACTCCGATCACAGGCTTCAGGTCTGTTCTTGTCCCAGTTGTCACCACTTTAAACTGCGTCGTCTGAGCCTTGCCGTCCCCCGTGCCCTGAGATGTGGCAGGCTTGCTCCACGTGTGAGGCAAAGCCAGCACAAGCGGCTGGCCTGTCTTACTAAGGCCAGTGACCAAGAGTTTCTGGCCTTCTTGCTTGAGGACAGCTGTGCCTGGAGGCTTGCCATCTGCAGCCGGGGAGGCAGCCACTTTGTTGAGGATGAGCTGGTGGTTGGCTGGGAGCGTTATTGGGGCAGAAAGCTTGGGTAGGCTCTGACCCACCACAGGACTGCTGGACTGGGTCGTGGAGGTGGTGACAGGCTTAAGGCCAGAAGAGGAAGAGGAGGTCACAAGAAGCTGTGTCCCAGAGCTGTTGCTGCACAGAGTGGAGTCTGTGGTGGTGGACGTGGTCAGAGCTTGCGTCTTCTGTGTCGGCGTGGTAGAAGGACACAAGCCCACAATTTCAGGCACCTCTGTTTCCATAGGAACCTGAGCTGGCTCAGTCTCTGACAAGGTGGAGGAGGCAGAGGGTTCGTTGGGGGGGTCCTCCTCCATGGCGATGGCTTCAGTGTCCATGATCTCATCAGGGAGGATACTGTTCAGATCAGGCGACACCACGTCCATCCTTTCACACGCACTGCAACAAAGAAGCACATTATAAAATGTCAATGAGGACACTGCCAGTCACACAACTGTTCAAAGAGCCCATATCAAAGAAATGACAGTCACATCCTTTTTTATGTTTTAATAATCAGAGTTTGACACAGAACATCAACATTGTTAGAAGTTTCAAAAGGTACCGTTCACTCGCTGGTCTCTATAAGGAAAGTAAGCAATAAACAGCCCGTTTTGAATTCACCATTTAAGTGATGCCACAAAAGCCAAAAAATGTACATACATCCTCCTCCTGCTCAGCTCCACTCATTCATACTGAAGTTTAGCTCCACTCATTCATACTAAAGTTAGGAGGAGCATTTTTTGGTAGAGGCGAAATAAAGGGCAGCCAATCATAACAGAGATCTTTTACATATACCAGTCTTACAGGCACAATAACAAAAAGAGCCTGTTTAATTCTAAGTGATAAAAAAAAGATTGGATAATGGTCATGTAAAAATTAGTTATGAATTATGTTTTTAAAACAAAAACCCACACAAATGCTATAAAGAGGGGGGGGACACAAGAAATATATAGGACTTAAAGGACCTTTAAATAAAAAAACATGCTAACATGCTTAAAATGACAAAGAGAACATAAACCAGTCAGTAGGATGTTTTCAAAAGTGCTAACTATGCCTGATTAAGAGAGACATTTGTATTCTTTATTACTATATTTTTAAGCTGTTTAAGCACAGAAAACAATGCAACTGCATTGTTTTTTCATCAAGTTCATTCTGAAGTGGCAGATGTTCCTTTAATTTGCATAAGCACTAGGGGCGTAACAATTCTCTAAATCCATGTTTTGTTTTTTTGTTTTACCATTTTTGGGGTTGGGGGTGAATAAGAAAAAGAAAGGAAAAAAAATCTGGGGTTTATTAAAATCACCAACAATTTGGGATGCCAAAAAGAACAATACTGAAGAAAATGTTAGATTAACTTAACTTCACATAAATTAACATGAGAGCTCAACAGATGGCAACAGGTTGGGGTGGGGCGTATCGTCATTCCGTCTTTTTGTATCGTGGATATTTTTATTGCGGTTTTGGTCTTGGTCTCAGATTCGCTACACCCCCAATAAGCACCAATATCACTGCGGGTACGGGCTCCAATCCTAGCAGTAATATCAAACTGGCACACTAGTTTAATCTCAAGAAACAAGTCTGCACAACAATTATCCAGGAAAGTTGGTAACGACAATAATACACTGTACTGGATACTAAGTGAAATACCTGAGGTGAACCTGGGAGGCAGTTAATAACTATACAAACATTTACTCTGCGGATAGACATTGCTACTAATATATCTTACACAAATAGAGAAAAAACTCCATGAAAAATCTTTAATTCTAGTCTAAAGCTGCAAATGTGTTTTTTAATAACATAGTTAAGACCAGCTATATTACTCTATAATGGTGTGTGGCCTCCAGTGTTGTTACGCCAACAGCAGAAGACTTATGTTAAACGCATGAAATAAATTTCTAAATCTAAATCTAAAACCTAAAAGATGAGCAGATGCAAATAATAAATGTGCAAAAATGCACTTGGATAAAATTCAAGAAGACATTAAATTATACAGAGAGAGTAATTTAGTCAACAAGCGGCCTTATTCAAAACAGCAAGTGTGCACCAAGTCTGCGACGGTGAAGGAATGGAGTAACAGGAGACTGAACTAACTAACTGTCTAGCAGCTCAAAACTAATAAATAAATGAACTATTTTAGGCAAAAAACACGCTTTGGTGAGAAAAGCAAATGGCGCGCTATTCGAACAGACAGTGTTTTTGCTTAATACCTTAACTTACTACTTGGCTAGCTTAGCAAATAAGCTAGCTTAACATTAATACCGCTGTCATTGTAAGTGAGAGCTGGTCGAGCTGTCATGGCTAAAAGCTGGGTGGCTAGCACGGCTATAGGTTTCAGTTCATAAAGCTGCATGAGCAAGCAAGCTAACGAAACACTGAAATAAGGGATCACAACTAACTAAATACGCCAAAGACACGGCAGCCCACGCCGAGGCGGGACTCGCGTCTTTGTTTATGTATGTACATTCTTAAAAACATGTCGCTGGTGAAGAATTAAAACTGTAAAAACGTACTGAGAAACGGTGAGATGAACTCTGTGGTTTAGGCCTCTTTGAACATCCCAGAAAAATATCACAATCTTTGTCCTACCTCAGTGTGATGATGGGTCAGAGAGAGGCGAGTCAGCTTTAGGAATTTTTCAACCAGCGTTGGGCGATTTTTGCACCAAACCGCGACATTACGCTGCGCTACGCAGCTCGCAGAATGAAGCCGGACAGATATAAGACGGTGTCCAGGCTGAAAAGTGTGAGGTGTGGAGATGAAGAGTCAGTCCTGCTGCGGAAAAGCGGCCAGCGGAGCTGCGTTTCTATTTCAGGCCCGGGTTGGATTTCGAAAGATCCGCCATTTTCAACTCGTCATCAGTTCATTTTGAGACACGAGAAAAACAACAGCGGACAGAGAGAGGGGAGGTCTGCTGTTTTATCAGCGGGGAAAAAAACAGATACCAAATAGCAAAACACAAAACAGAAACTAATCGTTTATTTGCATGCACAAGATTGTTTTCCCCACACACATACAGAAACCTACGGCGCCCTTAAGGTGACACGGTGATTTCACCATTAGTATAATTACTACGCTGAGGCCCCGAATTAATATATTGAGGCCGTGAGTTAAGTTTATCATAAATCGTGGCCTCAATGTACTAATTTAAGGCCTTAATACAGTATATCGTGGTCTCAAAATATTATTTTTTGGCCATGCCTTATTGAAAAAATAATCACTAAGTCACCTTAGGGGCTCAGTATCACCCCAACCTCCAAAAATCGTATTTAGTTATTAGAATAAGCTCCCACTATCGCACTGGACAACAAACAGGAACTTGTAGCTACACTGCTGTAGCACAACTATGTATACATTCAGCTTATTTACACTTAATTTCCTGCAGGTTTTTTTCTGTACTAGAATTGGACATGGCTCTCAAAATTATTATTATTATTATTATTATTATTATTATTATTATTATTACTACTACTACTACAACATTGTTGCCTTTTAAATACTCGTTTGTGTTAAAACATCCCACAAAAAAATGTTGCTTTATTGCAATAAAAAAACCCGAGTGCAAGAGATGACTTGGCCAGCTTTAGCCGTATGATGTACATCTGTATGGATCTAGCTGAAAAGGTAAATACGAGGAATTGTGAGACGCAAGTATTTATTGCTACGATCAAAACACTGCTTACCAAAAAGATAATATACTGAAACATACAAACTAATGAGATTAACCAGTTTTAAGTGTACCAGCCGTCTATTCACTGTATTACTAATAAGAAGCATAACAGGCACCAAAATACAGTTTAGCACCTTGAGAGCACAACTTGTCAATCAGCTAACCTAGCTAAGCTACCATTTCGGACCTGGCTGCTGCTGCTGCTGTCATTACTGTCACAGGCACCAGACAAAACAACAAATATTCACCTCAGTTGTACCACGAACATGAGGGTAAATTCGTGGCTTATATTGTTAGAGGTGACAGTTAGCTACAAAAGTAATTTCAAACCGTTTCAAGTGACTTAGTTAGTGAATCTGCCCAGTCAACATAAACGAAGCTGCAGTCGGCTTCCTATTCGCCAGCTTCTTGTTTTAACTATCCCGTTCTACCTTAAATGCTGCACCAGTTACATGAACTGCGCCATTTAAGGCGGAACGGAACCATTCGAACAAGAAGCTGGCGAATAGCAAAGCCAACTTCAGCCTCGTCCAACATCAGCTGTTAGCTCGGCGGCTAACACTGTTAGCATCCGGCTAACCAGCTAAGATCGCACTGAACACCGATACACGAGAAAGAGAACTCCGCAATACTTACATTTTTGTCACGGCTGCCTTTCTGGAAACGTGGACGCTTCTCGCTGCGTTCGTGCTCGGCCCGGACTGGTCCGGTCCGGATGAGTCCCGTAACCGTTTTTCGCTCGGTACGTCTCGCCAAAGGGATCCGATTGTTTAAAATACCGCGCCGAGCGCCATTTCACCTCTAACATCCCATAATGAGGCTCCGCCTCCATGGGAACCCGCGAGTTACGTCACATGTGCACGGAACTCCCGCGCGCACGGCTGCTCTGTTTCACCTCGAATACTACGCACTACACACTCAATCCCAGCCTGCCTACTTAGTGCGGCTTTCAAACGAGTGTGCTTCATCCATTGTTGTCTTATGGTTCTTTGCATTGTTAAATGGTTCTTCAGATTGATGGAGAATGTGCTGTAGATGGTTCTTTCTGTAAAGGCTTCTATATAGCGCCAAAAGGTTATTCCCTATTTACACACATTTAAAAATTATGGTTCTTCAAGGAATCTTTAGTAAAGAATATGGTTCTGTAACCATGAACACTCTTTTCATTTAGCCTAAAGTGTCACATTGGGGCTCAGTTATGACATAATCAATATGATATATATATATATATACACATATTTACATAGATAGATATATAGATAGAGATATAGAATTATATTTCAGGGAGGTTTGTCAAATTTTCCACAACCACGAGACCAAATGATATTATCACTTCTATGTGGTACAGTATGTTCATTACATAAGCAAAAATGGCACACACAACAAACTACAGTACTTTTTATCACCTAATTAATGATAAGTATTGTATTTCATTTAAGTTAAGGTGCCTCTTGACATTTGGACAGGGACAACAGGTAAAAATTTGCCTTCTTGGCTAACTCTAGCTAATTTATGGCCGTCGTCCCTGAAAAATAAAATTAGTGAATAAATATAAAACTTAATTTATGAAAACAGATGTTGCAAAGTCAAAAATATTCACTCTAAATTACCCTTAGTACATTTTAAATGTTCCTAGTTATTTCCAACTGAAGAAGGCTATTGTTTATCTATAACCTCAGTACTTTTTCCCTGATCACTTCTAAGTGCTCCGTCAATAACTTGATTGACACACTTTTGGAACATATGCTTCAAAAACTTCTTGTTTTAAATGAACTCAGTTTGTGATGTCTTGAAAACCAACATATTTAAATCTATCAGTCTACAGCATTTTGGCTCCGCTCATTCAGAGTGAGGTTATAAGGAGTGTTTCAGTCCAGACTGCTGCACGATACAAGCCAGCCAATCAGAAAATAGGTTATTTCACAGATAACACCCTTGAAAGGGAATTCTGCCAATCTCCAAATCTCTGCACAATTCAACCACTGAGATGTAAACAAAATCATTCAGAGTGGTTTTATGTGAAAAGGCAATCAGAATTTCTTTACAGTGGTGGTGACGGAACCAGGGGTTGCAATGTCTTCAACACAAATATAACCTTTTTATAGCCTAAAACAACCAGTAAACCTACACGTGTCTTCTGTGTCTTTATAGCTTGTGTAATGTTGCATATGGTAAAATAGTGGTTAATAAAAAAAGGTTTTCTTTGGGTACTATTTTGCATTACAACATCTGCATGTATTTCTCTGACATGAATGGATTTAAAAAAAAACATTTAGCCCAAAACCTTATCTCAAAACTACCATATTTGTATTCGTAAAATTAATGAATATAAAACACTTCCTGTGAGAGAGAAGTGAAAGGCATTAAACTCTTCAGATGCCTGGTTACTATCCACCACTGTGAACAACTCTGACTCTATTTCTCTAGAAAAGAGCATTTCACATCATATCACTCTAAATAAGACTTTTTTTTTTACATCGTTACCATTTAATTATGCAATTTTTTTGAAAAACAGCGGAATACCACTTTAAAGGCATAAAAAGAGCCAGTTTAATTCTAAAGGATGAAGAGATGTTGGAAATGATCATGTAAAAATGAATTATGACTGCACATAAAACCACACAAACATCATACAATTTTTATTTATATAGCACTTTTAATGCTGGTGGCAGCTCAAAGTGCAGGATACGGACAGGGTTAAATATTACAGTGTTACACAAGTACAACTCAATTAAAAGCTTCTTTACAAACACAGAAGTTCGTGCTAAAGCCTGTAGACTGATAAATCACTGTGATGAGCCACTCTCTAATCTGAGTGTTAGTAAACTCTTTTAAACAATGGTGGAACTGAACAGTCTCCTCTGTAGTGGACATGATCACGAGTGATAAGCTCAGCTTTAGTATTGTACTGGACTCGTGCCTGCATTTCATGGCAAATTACACACATTCCATTAACTCACACTCACATTTGTGAGATTTTGTTATTGGGATATGGTGAATTGATGGCTTAGGTCAGGAGTGCCCAGTCCTGGGAGATTTACCACCCTGGAGAGTTCAGATCCAACACAAGGCCTTCATTACCTGGATCACCACTGAAGACCTTCATTTCCTGGATCAGATTAGGCTTGGAGCTGAACTCTGTATAGTACTAGATCTCAGGGACCAGGACTGAGCACCCCTGGCTTAGGTAATGAAAGGGTAGTGGGCCTATGGGAGCAGCAGTGGACTGAAGCAGGTCATAGAACTCAAAATAAAGCTGATGAGTTTGTTTCCCTTTTACTTTCTCTCCTTTTGAATAAATACATTTTTAGAAACATTTTATCAGAAGAATTACATGAACAAAGCTGCCAGACAATAACAGCGAGGAACAGTATGAAGTAAATAATTCCCCATGGACTTTTTCTTTATGTATTCTTAATGTATTCTGAATAAGTTACTTTTTATGTATTGTAATGTAATACATTAGCTACTCAATACATTAAGGTCTGTGTATTCAGTAATGAGCCATCACTACTTTTTTTACTCCGCTTTGGATATGGGCTCTTTAAAGCACCATCAGGGCTTGAAGGTCTGTCCACAGACGGGTCCTGCCCCGGTGGGGTAACCTCAGAAACTGTACTGCCCTCCTGACTGTCAAAACTCTTCGCTTCTGGTTGTTGTTTACTGAGGAAAATGGCGGCCGGCGTGAGGCAGGAGCTCGCCCAGCTCATGAACTCCAGCGGATCTCACAAAGACCTGGCTGGAAAGTACGCACTTCTGCGGCTATTATTACTTATTGTCCATTAACCCGTCTGTTAGGTTTATCGGCTTTCGTTTGTATAGTTTGTTGTAAGTGATAAAGTGCTGCACTATGTGAAGCTACAAGCTAACGTACGAGGCTGAAGTCGGCTTCTGTTCGCTAGCAGCTTTTTCGAATTTGCCCGTTCCACCTTAAATTGCGCAGCTTTTCCCATTCTGAATCAACCTCAGAAGGCAACTGCGGCACCATTTAAGGTGGAACGGGCAAATTCGAACGAGAAGCAGACTTCAGCGTAGCTAATGGTACAGCTATACGAGCTAGCTAATGTTAGCTGGCTAGTTGTGATATGCCGGTGGGCTACTGTTCCAGATAATTTGCTCAGTATAATAAGAACCGAGCACAAAGCTGAAGAAGAAGCGTTTGATAACTGTCATTTCCGCAAATATTTAATATTTATAGCACGTCTGCATTTTTGTTACTGACAGACGAGTTGCATGGTGGATTCAGGTGTAACTGATGCTAGCTAGCGTGCGGTAGCTAAGCCTGTCTGGCAGTGGCAGTGTGCATAAACCAGTTATTATTTTACAGTGAGTAGAGAATTATTAGCTCCCTGAACTAACCTAGCTATCTGTTAGTGATCATTATTTGGTTGTTGGCAACTTTATGATACGATAGCTATAGAAATCAAGTGATGTGCATAAATATCTCCAGTGTCATAATCATCAAGCAGGTATGCGCAATTCATATAGTAGGTCAGTTAGTACAGAAAGAAGAATCTTTATTTTTCTGTTTTAGAGTTTTTTTCTTTTCATGACAGCCATATGTCCACATATTTGTTTCTCATTACAGATATTTATATATTTTCTTGTCGTTTGTAATTACAGAAAGTAAGAAATTATGTATAATTACATATTATCATATATATCGTATAATGTATTTGGCTTTAAAATTCTTAGTTTACCATTGTACAGACTCCAGAAGAAAAAAAGTTAGGGGGAAAACATTACTTACAGATTTTCCTCGGTTTTTACTATGTGAAATGATAAATGGGAAATTGGTCACCTAAATAGGGAATTGTTACTAAAAATCTATGAAATCATGCAGGTTTCTGTTCAATTATTCAACCAAGTGTCTTGATTGTATATCCAAAAAAAAAAATAACATGAAGTTTTACTCATTTTAACTATTCCCACTATATGTTAATGTTAGATATTATATGAGGCTAAATTGTAACACTTTGAATTTTGAATGGCTCTTTTGTGTTGAAAATAGAAGGTCTGTGATGGTTTTTTTTTTATCTGTGAATTATTATAGATACCGTCAGATACTGGAGAAGGCTATACAGTTTACAGATGCTGAACAGCTTGAGGCGCTGAAAGCATTTGTTGAAGCTAGTAAGTACTCTAACATAGATTATGGTGGCATAAACCTTGTGAGAAAAGATGCTGTAAGCCAAGGATGTCCAGTCTTGTCTACAAAAGGCCGGTGTGGCTGCAAGTCCAAACAAGTAGCGGCACGCCTGATGCTGCTTGTTAACGATTGACCTCAAGCAGTTGATTAGGCATGATCCAGCTAGGCTGGAATAAAAGTTAATAAAAATAAGACTGGACACTCCTGATGTAAGGTGTCTGTGGTATACATGGAATGCCAAGTGTATGTGTTTCTATCTGTAAGATGTTTTTTTTTCCGTTCCTCTGCAGTGGTCAATGAAAATGTCAGTCTGGTGATATCAAGACAGCTACTGACTGACTTCTGCACACACCTTCCAAATTTACCTGATAGCACAGCTAAAGCTGTCTACCACTTTACCCTTGAGAAGATTCAGCCAAGAGTCATCTCCTTCGAAGAGCAGGTGAATTTTGACAGTTAGACCTCGTGCTGTTTCTCACTGTTATTAATTTCTGCCTTGTTCAGCCAGAATGTGACATGGAGTACATATTGAATATGAGAACATACGCTGTTGCAGGTGGCTTCGATTAGACAGCATCTAGCCACTATATATGAGAAGGAAGAGGACTGGAGAAATGCTGCCCAGGTTTTAGTGGGTATACCGTTGGAGACGGGACAAAAGTAAGCCATGCCTTATTAATCAAAGCCTGTTATCTGCATTGAACTAGCTTTGGCTTCAATTAGATCAATGCTGTTTTTTATAGTGTAAAGCAGTGTTAAATCGAAGACTCTTGTGATTGTTTTCAGGCAGTACAATGTTGACTACAAATTGGACACTTATCTGAAGATCGCCCGACTGTATCTGGAGGATGATGATCCTGTTCAGGCTGAGGCCTACATCAACCGTGCATCTTTACTCCAGAACGAGTCAACCAATGAACAGCTGCAGATCCACTATAAGGTGCAGAAGGCCTTAAAAATGCAGTGTACAGTTTGTCATTCTGAAAATATTGTGAATACAAGATTGGTGGGTCAGTGTTTTTAAAATGTCCCATCATTGTCATTAAATGTTCCAGGAAATATTTCATTGCACATATTTTATCTTTGCAGGTATGCTACGCTAGAGTGCTGGACTATCGAAGGAAATTCATTGAAGCAGCTCAGCGCTACAATGAGCTTTCATATAAATCCATTGTCCATGAGAGCGAACGCCTGGAGGCCTTAAAACATGCTCTCCACTGCACTATTCTGGCTTCTGCAGGTATGCCGTAACTCTTCTGGGAGTATATATTAATAGTTAAAGTCTTCTGAGTTATCCTTTTGAATTCATACTAGTTTGAATCAGACACAGAATCTAGGCTCATATTGGCTGTGATGGGTTTTTAGGGCAGCAACGTTCCCGTATGCTGGCCACGCTGTTCAAGGATGAACGATGTCAGCAGCTGGCTGCCTATGGCATCCTAGAGAAAATGTATTTGGATCGAATCATTCGGGGAAACCAGCTGCAGGAATTTGCTGCAATGCTAATGCCGCACCAGAAAGCCACCACAGCAGATGGTAAGTTACACCAACAACAAAAACTGACAATATCTAATCATTATGATTTTTACTGCTAGTCTTGACTCCAGCCGTTCATGAGTTTTGTAAAACTTTAGATCCACCATCAAGGGAAGTGGACTGTGTTTAAGTAGTTTTGTATCTTTTTTTCAGGTTCAAGTATCTTAGATCGAGCAGTCATTGAGCACAACCTTTTGTCTGCTAGCAAGCTGTACAATAACATAACATTTGAAGAATTAGGAGCACTTTTAGAGATCCCACCAGCAAAGGTAAGAAACAGCATTTTTAACATTAAGAATCATTCCACAACTGTAATAAAGGTCTATTCCATGGTTTATATATATGTAATGTACTATGTGGTACTGATGAAGCCCAATAGACCACTGAAGAGCTGCTCAAGCAGTGGTGGTAATTAAGGGCATCTGTGATGTTCAAGGCAGAAACATGTAATGTTTGTACCAGGGCTCTTGGCTGGCACAAGCATTTGCCCTATCATCAGGTAATTGCAAGCATGATTTCTTGCGATGCCAGAGCCATTTGTGACCAGGAGTTATGGACTTCTCCAGGTGTGTTAACCTCTCCAGTGACACCAGCAGTTACCAGCAGTTTGTAAAGATGTGGTGGTGCTTCACATGTCTCTTAGGAAGCATGTGCTAGCCCCCAGCCTCTCAGTTTGGCAGCATCATGTGACAGGGGAGACCTAGCTAGCAGGTGGAACTGGCATTTACTAAGTCTGGGGAGCAACTAGGTAAAGGCCTTTGGAAAATAAACTTTTGAGCATTTTTTTACTTATATGCTGTTTGTTTTTGCTGTATGTCAAAGCATTAACTTCATCAGATTAAGCTTTCTTCCTACAGATTTTCCTTCTTTCAATCCTAATCTAATATACCTGTTCCTTAAGTGTTCTCTAAGACTTGATTAACAGGATCAGAATTAAACTCTGCCTTCCAGAAGATCTTCTCGAGTAGGGTGTGGCAGCTCTGCTTTAAATCATGAAGTCACACCCCCGCCCACCAGTCTAACTTTTCATTTTTATTTTTCTGCAGGCAGAAAAGATTGCTTCGCAAATGATAACAGAGGGCCGTATGAATGGCTTCATTGACCAAATAGATGGCATTGTCCACTTTGAGAGTAAGCTGGGTTTTCTCTAACCTTCATCACTTCTATCAGTGTCAGTGAAAGCTCTGATGTTACAGAATTCTGTCTCTTTTTTCCTATTAGCACGAGAGCCACTGCCCACCTGGGACAAGCAGATCCAGTCACTCTGCTTTCAGGTAAACAACCTTCTGGAGAAGATTAGTCAGGCAGCACCGGAGTGGACAGCACAAGCCATAGAGGCCCAGATGTCTCAATAAACCTTCTACTCCTAGTCGACCCAGCCACTTTCTGAGATCTCACCATCTTTAGGTCAAAAATTACAGAGACATTTTCCAAAGACTCTTATCAAAATGTGGACCGTGAGCAGGCCTTCTGAATACTCTGTTAAGATGTTGCTTTGTAAGCAGTTGGATATCCGCAGCACGTATGTTCGCAGTGACTGTTTTGGGTTTTGAGGCTCACGTCATATTAACATGGACATAGTATGTGAAGATGATTTGATGTCTTAATAAACCTTTGTGTAAATCTATGTTCCTCAGATGTTGATTTTTGTCAGCTTTAGCAGTGTCCACAGTCCCTTTTACGTTTGTGTTCTTATTAACTTGGCGTATGCCAGGGGTGTCCAATCTTATCTACAAAGGGCCGGTGTGGCAGCAGGTTTTGATTCCAAACAAGCAGGAGTAAACCTGATTCTACTTGTCTAATCATTTGGTCAGACTTCAAACGACTGATCGTGTGAGCTCCTGCTGTGCTGGAATGAAAAACCGCAGCTACCCAGCCCTTTGCAGATAAGATTGGACACCCAAAGGGTATGCATATCCTACATTTTCTTGCATTTTATTTTTTCTCCCCTTTTGTGTGGTTTTATGTGTCGTTTCCAACCCCTTTATCTTTTTGAATTGAACAGGCTGTTTCTGAGCTCTCTTCTAATTGGATGCCCTGTATTGTGCCTCATTCAAAAAGTCGACTAGGCTGAAACACTCTTTCTGACATCAGTATGAATGGGTAGGCAGAATACCTAGATAAATGCAAATGTGTTGGTTTTCATGACTTCACAAAAACAGTGAATTCAGAATTAGCTGTTTTTGCAGCTTAGTTTCCACATGTGACCTGGGGAGTGAATGGTATGTCTTGAAACTCTAGCAATGTTTTCATATTACATCATGATCTTTTATTGCAGAAAAATGAGAAATTCAGTTTCCCATTTTATGGAGTCCTTTAAGTCCTGCAATAACCAATAATTAGGAGAAGAACCAGACTTTTCTCCTATCTCACTTCCTGTTTCCCATGACAGAGTTTTCACTTCCCATCACTTCTCTGTTCTTGCTTTTATGCCTGTTTCTCAGGCCTTCCAGTCTAAAGTCAAAGCTGCTCAGAATCCAGCTCAAATTCTCAGAATTCCCTCCCATCTGACAGTCCCATAATAAACTCCTCATGCTACAACCATAGACTGAAGGCGTGGTGTGCAGATGCAAACATAATAATCTGAGCAGTAATTATAGCCTTTTATGTTATGGCGCAAGGGTTATGTGACAAAGATAGTAGGTTACCATGATTACCATTCCACAATATAGACTGAGATAACACATTAATGATTTACCATGTAGTACAGGTGTACAAAGTGTGCATGCGATCTTAAATCTTTATAGATGTCTGTTTTGCTAAACTGAGTTCAGCCATGTGTGATTTATTCTGAGGTGCACGCACATTTGGGGTTGGTAGAACACAGACAATAAACAAATAGAATGTATCTAAATTAGAGGTATCTACAGGACTTTCAATAGCTCACCACAAAGTGGGAATATTACTTATTCATTTTTACATGTAATGTAATGTATTATTTATTACATGAAATTAACACACATACAAAAGATATGAAAGTATGTGTAGCTATCAAAAGGAAAACAAAGCAAAATAGTGCTGTGGTTTGACCACTCTAGAGTCCAGACCTCAACATCACTAAATGTGTTTGGGATTACTTGGACTGTGAGAAGCAGAAAAAAAACTTTTAAGACTGAACTTTGGATGTGTGAAAAATGATTGTCTGAAAGCTGGAAGCCGTAATAAAGGTAAAGGGTGGACACAGTAAAGAATGAACACTGTGGTATTGAATTTAGTTGTTGAGGGTTCTGTTTAATTTTCACTTGACTGCATTTTCTGCTTTTTTCATCCATCCATCCATCCTCTAAACCGCTTATCCTTCTGGGTCGCGGTGGGGTGCTGGAGCCTATCCCAGCTGTCATCGGGCGAAAGGCAGGATACACCCTGGACAGGTCGCCAGTCCATCGCAGGGCAGACAAACAGACATATACATCCACACACACACTCACACCTAGGGGCAATTTAGCATGTCCAATTGGCCTGACTGCATGTTTTTGGACTGTGGGAGGAAACCGGAGTACCCGGAGGAAACCCACGCAGACACGGGGAGAACATGCAAACTCCACACAGAAACGACCCTGGTCACCCGGCCGGGAATCGAACCCAGGCCATTCTTGCTGTGAGGTGACAGCGCTACCCACTGCGCCACCGTGCCGCCCTTGCTTTTTTCATGATACTGAAAAAATTATTTGTACTTATGAGCATTTTGGGTGGTCTCTGAGTTTTGCACAGTAACATTGATCTTACTAGATCTGAGAAAATGATGTATCTGTTTAAGCATTTATTTGTTGAAAAACACTAACATTCATGTAAATGCAAATAAATGAACAGTACATTGTGATTTTATTGGTGGAAATTTTCAAAGCTTCCCTCGATGAAGCCCAGGAGTTATCATTCAGTACCTAGTTTATCTAATGAGTCCCTCATTAACTTAAATCAGTTGCTGCTGATGGAATTTACCATGTGATGGCTGTGAGTGCAGCAAGAAGTCACAATCCAAATATTGTCAAGATAAATTGTTTTAACTCACAGTTTTTTAATGGCTGCCGAAGATTTTTGTAGAGTGCAGTATTTAATTAAAGGGTGAGAAAAGTAGGTTCTTATTTGTGATCGGACCAAGTGTGTTCTAACTTTATTGTACAAGTAAAAAAGTCATTTACAGCCATCAGACTGTTTAACAATCACACAAATGGACACTGTGGACACAAACTATTTTATTATGTACTAATGTCTCACTTTGACAAGGAATTATGATTTTTCTACACATTTACACAGTACAATTCCATTAACCACTTCTTAAACTACATAACTGATGAGTGATTTGGTATTCAGTGTCATCCCAAAGGTCCTGTAAAAAGAAGAATTGAATCTCAGTGTAAGTGTCAGTGACTCGTATGCATAAATAAATGGTCAAGATGTAAACAAAGTCATTTTGAGCGGTTTGAGGTGAAATTTTCCACTCTAAAGAAACTGAGTGAGTACTGTTCACAGTGATGGTGATAGGAACCGGACGTCTGAAGTGTTCTTAATGCTTCTAGCACAGAGTTGGCAACATGCGGCTCTTTTTCACCCCTGTTCCCTGTTGACTCCACAGCAGAATTTGATTTTTAGGTAGAAATAAAATAATCCTCCTTTGCAGTAAAATAAAGCTCTGCTGGTCGTTCTAACACAGTTTTAACAGTAAATGGTCTTAAATGCTGGAGTTAATGTATAACTGCTAATTCAACAACCTTTAACTCTGAAGGTTGGCGCACAGACAGCAATCTTGCCTTGCTAGTAGCTAATGAAAAGGCAAAGAGAAAGATTTAAGATGAACAACGATAATTTGAAGACAAATTGACTTATTTGCATTTATAAGCACTCCAGCTGGTCTTCTGATACATTTAATCTGCAATGAGAAACTGTCAAACACTAAAAAGTCACAAAACTGAAGTTTCTCATTTGCCAGCTTCTTGTTCAAATTTTCCCATTCCACCTTAAATGCTGCCTGAGGCGCCAGAATGTAACCACTGCACCACTGGCAAACGAAAAGCTGACTTCAGCCTCATAAAAAGTCAAACGTTGAGAGGCATTTTACAAGAAACTATTCTATTTTTGAGAAAAAGATTCCTGCCGGAGATGTGAGAAAAGCAGCTATAGCTGAGCTAAAGCTTAAAACAGAGCAACATAAGTCTGCGTTTTGGTTTATATTATATTTGTTAGTCTACACTAGTACATTAGCATATACTGACACATATTTACAGCCAAGATGGTAAAATGGATATAAAATGTTGTGGCTCCTAAGGTGGTTTGATTTTTGTTGAAAGGACAAAATGGCTCTTCTTAACATTTGGGTTGCCGACCCCTGGTCTAAACACTACATCACAGAAAGTTATTAACATGAAGTGGTTAAGACTGCGTTACTTGATGCCTGAGACACTTATTTTTTACCCATTTATGATGGAAAGATACATGCAAGTTGTTCGAGCAAAATAGTACCTAAAGAAAACTTATTTTTTCATGTTTGCCATATTAAACGTCACACGTAAATGCTCAGAAGGCACATGTAGGTTTGCTGATTATTTCAGGTAGTACATAAAATGGCTATATTTGTGTTGTAGACATTGTGACTCCAGGTTTCTCTCACCACCACTGTAAAGAAATCTGAATCTGTAGTGTGTACTCTAAACGACTACATCTCAGTGACTGAACCGTGCAGAAATTTTGCAAAATCGGTGGGATTACCCTTGTGAATTCCACCATGAGGACACTCACCCAGTGCACTTAGTAGTAGTGCACTTCAGAAGATTCCCTGTTGTTTTCTCCTGTCAATGTCTCTCTTCAGCTGGCAAGTTGCGCAGGGTAGACAGCAGGAAGTGACCATGAAGTCTTTACACATGGAGCCCTGCAGACAAAACCAAACAGCAGAGGGCGCTGATCACTACATATCACTCATAGAGCATTAACAGATCACTACTCTCTAGTTTCCCCAACTCAGATCAAGCCTAAACTTAGATTATATATGACTTTTAATGGTGAAAAATAATTGGCCCAAGACTAGGCTTAGTTCAAGGCTGAGATAACTTTAAAACATAAACTGTGAACAACAACCAGGTGTACAGAGATAAATACATTTAATATGGAATCCTGTCTAGAAGATTACACAGAACTCTATGTTTAAAGGGCCCATATAATGAAAAACTGGAATTTCTTCACTTTTTCTAGATAAGTTAGTTTAATGTTGTATGTACAATACAGGATACAGGGCAGCCAATCACAACAGAGTTCATTTTCAGATATCAGTCTTAAAGGCACAATAACAAAAACAACCTGTTGAATTCTGAACGATAAAGAGACGTTGAAAAATGGTCATGTAATAATAAGTTCTGACTAACATTGTAATAAAATAAACTGCAAGAAAAACTGATACCACATTAAAATAAGACTACCCTTATAAAGCGTTTATGAATGGTTTAAAATTAGCTTGTTAACAGCTATCAGTTAGGTTATAAACACTTTAAAAATCAGTAATAAGCAGTTCTAACACATTAATAAAAAGGGCAAACGTGTGCTGTTATATCTGTTGAATATGAATGTGTGATGAAGCTGACAGGTTTATTACTGACTGATAAGGAAGACAAAGTAATATCTGTAAACATCAAAATGTAATGATTAAATGATTATAATTTGACTAAGGGTTGACTATTAGGCAACCAACAGGTCACTGTTGCCCTTTTTACGTATGTGTCATAACTGCTTACTAATGATTTTAAATCTTTATGACCTAATTAATAACCATTAATGAACTCAAGTTAAACTGATACTGCTTTATAAGGAAAGTCTTATTTTAAAGTGATACATTTTAAAGTGATACAGAAAAAGCAGGTTATGGGCCCTTTAAATCATGTGTAATATCAGAAATAAACATTCTGTCAGAGCATTTTGGGGGTCATCAGTGACACTGGCTTGCAAACTGACCTTAATGTTGTACTTGGTTCGGTACACGCTGCGTATCGGCATGCCTAACCCACATAAGCAGCATTCACCCATATGACTGGCAATAGTGCAGCCCAGGCAAGGCAAACAGAAGTATCCATACATGCCTGCCAACAGAGGACACTGTTAAAGCCACTGTGATTCAAGCACTGAATAATAACAGTGATTAAAAGCATCTGCATGCACTCTAGTGTTCACAAGTTTGGAATTATGTTAATATTTGTTGTTTAATAAGAACATATATTGTTATAATGTTATAAAATGGACATAAACTGAGTTTATTCTGATAACTAATAGTACAAAAAGTTACAAAATGAATATGAATATGATACAAAACAGTAATATTATTAAGTAATAGACTGTAGCTTTGATTAATTTATGATACAAAAAATATCAAAATAAAATAGTGATCCCAAACTTTTGAACCGAGCTGTACAAGGAAAGAATATTTATAGGTCATGGTTGGTAGGTGACCCTTTATGGCCTGAGTTTATGTGTCTGTGGTATAACAATTTTGACTCAATCCATAAAAGACCCTATCTTAGATAAGCATAGTGGCTGATCTGAGGCTTACATGTGCAGCAGTCATCACAGCACTCGAACAGTCCGGTCTGGAACTCTGAGCGTGTGTACGGTCCAGGCTGGGTTGTGACCTCCATAGTCTTCTCTGTATTAAACATACAGTGAACTTTCATCAGAACATTTCCTCCCAAAATGAGTTATGGGGAAGAGTATTAAGTAAATAAAGAAATAACCTTTTATGTATGCATATATATATATATATATATATATATATATATATATATATATATATATATATATATATATTTATTTTTTATTTTTTTCTCCAAATGATAACTTTACAGGAGACAGAAGAAACATTCTTTAGTTTTAATGTAATTCAATGGAACCAGACGTTTTACCAAGTATATATATATATGTGTGTGTGTGTATAAAACGCTGCTGTCACACATATATATATGTGTGAGTGTGTGTGTGTTTCATCGCTGTCGCTTTTCTTTTTTACATAATTTGAAAACTCTTTATTCTTTGTTCTCTGTTGCTCTGTTATTCTTTAAATTGTGTTAAAATTTCATGATAAACAGATGAAAAGAAATTGTCCGCAATCACTGAGAAGCCTTAACTTCCATTAGATGTTAAAATTGTTTTTTCCTTCTCCTGTAATGTTACGAGATACAAGGTTTTGGCATGACAACAACAATAGATAGAATGATAGAATGATCAGGCAGACAGACAGACAGACAGCTCGTCGCTGTCAGGCCCAAAACTACCAGCTGCTCTTTACAGTGTGTTACAATTTCATGCCAAATGGAAAAACAGAAATGGTTCAAAATTACACAGAAAGTAATCTTATTCCAGAAACTCCCATTCAAAATTAAGGTTTTTTCCTTCTCCTGTTTAGTTGCCATATATAAATTTCAGATAAATGAAGTATAGTACTACATACAGATTTTCCTTATTTCCATATCCATTATATTTCAGCCATACATCAGCACATATAAACAGATATATGGAACACATATTTTTAACAATATGTGATAGAAAACATCATTCACATATGGATGGCATACATTACTCATATATGCTAGCTTCATGTTATATAGAATAAGTTTTTTAGGCATCTTCTTTGTTTCTTCCACACACTTCCTAATGAACAGCTACATAACAACTCCAGAAACACACACAGTGAGCTATGTAGTAAAATAAATAAATAAAAATGTCAGCACATTAAATAATTAAAACATTTAAAAGCAAACAGACCACATAGTAACGGTCATAACTGTACTGAGATCATATATCAGTAGTAGTAGTAGTGATATTATTCCTATGGAGAATGAAGTGTTGAAGAGAGTGAATTTCTTTTACCTTGTTCGAAGATTTTCCTTACTCCCACGCTGTTCTTCAAGTATTCGGTACAGTGACCAGTAACAGAGCGAAGGGTCTTTTATAGCTGCTCTGAGGACTCACATGTTGTAATCTTTATAACTTAGTTACCCTAAACAGACAAAAGTCCACTACCGGGAAAATCGATTGAGTCAGGTGGCTCTGACGTTTGCAACATCGCTATGTTATACACACACCCATTTCAACCATTTATAACCCACCCACCCAAAGCAAATTGGTGTTTTATGGTGAGCTGGATGTAAATGCATGATTTATAGCACAGCATATCGCTAGAATGATTACAAAAATCTTTTTGGGCATGTAGGATCAGGTCATTAATTCACTGTAAGTAGTATATAATTACTATTTAAATTTTCCATCAGCCACTATCTGGAAACATTAATGTGGCTGAAGTGTTGAACAATTATCACATATATTTGTGTAATGTGAATGTGCCTCATTAGAACTAGTCAGTCTTTTTTCCTCATGTCTGTATAGAGTTTTATGCTTCCCTGTTCTTCAGTTGCCCTTTGGTGTTGCTTGCTTAACCAATTCAAGACCAACAACATTCAGAATGATGTCGTAAATCTTGTTCTGATTGGTCTAAAGTGATGAAAGTTTGCACAGTTGTAGCTTGGATGAATGTAACCTTGGAGATTTTGCTGTTTGAGTTTCTGTAATTCCGCTCACCTACTAGTTATTTCATCCATATCAAACTAAATTATCAAAGTCTTAAAGGGCCATATCATAGAAAACTGATATTTTTGCTTTCTTTAAAATAAAACAGTTTAATGTAGTATGTAAACAATATTAAGGTATCAACACTGTTCACTCCCCAGTTCATACAGGTCATTTGTGGACACTAAGCCCATATTGAATTCATTGTTTTTTTGTGATGTCACGAAAATCCAGCAATTTCACATATCTGCTCATTCAGCCTACAGCAGTTTAGCCAATTCAAGTTATAAGCAGTGTTTCAGACTGCTTTTTACAATGCAAGACAGCCAATCAGAACAGAAGTCATTTACATATATCAGTCTTAAAGCCACGGTAACAAAAAATGGCTTCTATAGAAAAATGTGTGGTTGAAAGATGGTCATGTAAATATGAATTATGACTGCTTTTGGATCATAAAATGACACAAACATTATAAGCGGGCCTCAGGGGAAATAAAAAAGCAAGAAAATGTAGCATAATGCACATCAATTAAATGCATTAACCCTTGTGTGGTGTTCATGTTTTTGTTACTCAGTGGGTCTGATGGACCCACCGCATTATTGTTTTTTTAAATCATGACCACAACAATTTATGTAAAAAATACCAGAAGTTTAAAATATCACAAGTGGCCAGCGTAGGGTTCTCCTTTAGCAGCTGTAGCCAGTCAGCAGCCTGTCCATGTTTTCCACCCTCACACACACGGACACATATACAAACACATACACACAAACACACACACACACACACAGCGGGTTCACCCCAACACCGCATGTGTAATATTAATATAAAAAGGGGGTATAAAGTGTGAAGTCATTCAAAATGTGTTATTTTATATGTTCTTCACAGAAAATTAGCAAAGGCCAAAGGAATCTAAAGTTGAAGTAATAATAAATCGCATCATTTCTTCTTTTGGTAAACATTTTAAATGGGTCCCACAGACCTGAACACCACACTAGGGTTAACTACTTAAGCTCAACTTCTATATTAATTTTGCAGCAGTTACTGAATAAGATTAATAACATTAATACACCTAAACTGTACATACTATGCAAATGCACTTTTTATATTGTATTGTAGTAAGTGTGCTGAGAAAAACTGTTTATATTTTGTGTACCAAATGCATTAATGCTGTATCTACACTGTATGTCCAAATGTTTGTAGACACCTGCTCATCCAGTGTCTCCTCTGAAATCAAGGGTGTTAATAGAGGGTTTGTTCCTCCTTTACTGCAGTAACAGCCTCTACTCTTCTGGGAAGGTTTTACACTGGATGTTGGAATGTTGCTGTGAGGATTTGATTGCATTCAGCCAGAAGAGCATTAGGTACTGATGTTGGATGATCAGTTCTGGATCACTCAAGCTCATTCCAAAGGTAATGAATGGAGCTCCATCACTCCAGAAAACAGTGCTCCACCGCCCAGTGTTGGAGGAGGTTTATACCCCTCTAGCGAATACCGCATTGGGCAAGGCTACCTTACTTTTTACTGCTCCAGAGCATCCCAATCTATTGGCAGTGCTGAATAATTTACTGAATATTTGAATCACACAATAGAAAAAAAAAAAGTGAATGAGATAAAAATGCCATTCTATTTCCATGTGCACCATGGAGCTCCTGTGTCAGCTATGGGCACACCTAGCTAGTACCTTTATAGTACTATTCTTATGTTCCACTTTGACAAGGGTTGTTGGGTTGTATGGGCCTTAGCATTATTATATGACGTCAACTACTTAAATTGTAGGCAGCTACTGACAAAGTCACTTAACCACCACAACTGACATAGCTTGCTGGCTTGTATGGGGTAACTGTGGTGTGGTTGTCAGTCCTGTGACTTCAGTTCAATGCACAGCAGTATTAGCTTCCATGTGACAATATCCATATTTCAACCAACTTATCGAGAATGTAATTTAGAGAATCCAGTGACATTCAATGGAAAATGGATGCAAGGTTTGGAACATTTTTGTTCACTACAAGAAATTAAAAAAAAACAAAAAAAACATTAATTTGTTCCATAGGGACAAAAGCTCAGATCCGGAATTCCTTATTTAGAATGTGTTGTTTACTACAGGGGGCAATAGCAGTGATTTTCAAAAACATTATTCATTTTTTTTCTCATAGAGAAAAACAGCTCAGACCAGTTAAGGCTAGTTATGCTCTTTTAGACTGTCAGTTATGCATGGCTGTGATAGCATACCACTTTACTGCCGGTAGTATACTTAAAATAAAAACAATGGTTTGAAGCAAAACGGTGTCTTTTTGGTCAGAACAATGTGGTGGTTTGAGTTTGTACGGTGCAGTGACTGCTGCTTGCTGAGCAGAACTCCTAATCTCTGCATCATTTGTTCCGAAGAGAACTCAGTCAAAACCCTGTGAATGACGTGTCTTCTGAGGATGTAAGCGAATTATCTATGATTGTCGTCATATCTTCACATCATCATATCTTTTTGTGCCTGCCTGTGTAATGCTAATACTGAAAAACGTATGATGTCATCCAAAAAATTGCCGCAAAATCCAACCCATCACAGCTCACGCACACCGTATTTTCCCAAGATTTTTTTTCTCCTGAGTCAGTAATGCTACTTCTTTCATTTAAAAAAAATCTACATGGTGCAGCTTTAAGTATACTTACAAAAGTGCGGCAGTAGCTTGATTTCATTTAGATCTTTCATTGTTTGAAATATTCTTCCAGCTTTAACTGTAAACTCAGCATTATGTATTGATGCAATGGTGTTCAAAATGTATTGAACACTGTAGCAGTTCAATGTAAATAATTATTTTACTTTCATTAGGTTGAATATAACTTTTGCTACCATTCTGTAAAGCTTTTGAAGCCTAGAAACATTAACTACCAAAGAATGCATTTATGGGCAGCATGGATAGGTCAATTGGCAAGCCAACCAGACTACAACTGGATGGGCCTAAAGGTCTAATTAGGCAATCATGCCCCACTAAAGTCCAGCCTCTGAGAAACATGAGCACTGAGTGATTTTGAAGTATACTTCAATCCAGAGACTGCTGTTGTTTGCTGATTGCACTGAAATAATGCACATATGCCCCAATGCCAAAGACGACATCTGCGTGGCCACATTACCGTGCAATAAGGTCATCCTTCAGATCAGAAAGAGCACTTAGTGCTGATGGCACAGCACTCAGACATCCAGAAAAAAGGGTAGCAGCATAGATAAAGAAAACCCAAGCACAGTGTAAATTGAGGGACCATTTCTCCTTCACTACTGCATCTATACAAACCGGCCCCCACACCAGCTGCGATGGCTGACGTCCACATTTGTGAGGGTTATTTTACAGAGGGTGCCAGTTTTGTGGAACGTTTTACATGCCCCCAAGATCCAAAAAGTCCGGAACTGGAGTACTGCTGTGGGTTTGAGGACATGAAGTACTGCTGCAGTGAGCCTGGAAACTACTACCCATACAAACATGCCTACATGTGGAGTCTGAGGTAAGAAGGAGGATATTTGATAAAGCAGGTTCCTCAGATAGTGAGATGAACTGAGCCCAACATCAGGTCTGTCCAATAGAAGGAAAGGTGGCTTTTAAAAAGTAGTAATGCCATAAAAGAACCATTTATTGGTTCTGTTAAGGACACATATCCTACATTTTTCTTGTGTTTTATTTATTTTCCTGAAGTCTACTTATGACATTTGTGTGAACCTAAAACAGTCATAGTAGTAATTTATGTTTACAGGGCCATTTCCATGCTCTCTTTATCCCTTAGAATTAAACAGGCTGTTTTTTCAACTGTGCTTTTACATACTGATGTAAGGAATTGACTTCTAATTGGCTGGGCTGAAACACCCCATATAACTTCAGTGTGAATGGGCGGAGCTCACTATAATAGAAATATGGAAATGCATTGATTTTACTCACATTTACAGCTTAGTTTCCAAGTATGGCATGAACCATATTGTTTTAAAGTTCAACAATGTTTACATATTACAACTCTTTCATTGAAAAAGTGTTACATTTTCGTTTTTACTGATATGGGTGCTGTAAATTACCTTAATGAGAAATCCTACTTTGTGAAATACTCACTAGTCTGCAGACAGGGTGTGTGAATATGAAAGCACTTTAGAAAGGATATGTCTACTCTTTCTTGTTTTTTTGTATTTATTTAATAGGGCTGCTATGTCAGAATGGTCTATAGTTTTGAGTAAATATGAGTGTAAAGGCCCATAAAAACAGACCTAGATCTAATATATATATATATATATATATATATATATATATATATATATATATATATATATATATATATATATATATATATATATATATATATAATGCGACAGCATGCATCCTAACACAAAAGAGAGATCATATCACTCCGGTGTTTAAAGAACTGCACTGGCTACCTGTATCTTTCAGAATAGATTTTAAAGTTTTGCTACTAGTGTTTTTAAGGCTCTAAATGACCTTAAAGCACCGCTTACAGCACAGAGTGTCTGTCTGTTTATGTTCCAGCACGTGATCTTAGATCTGCAGATTAAATACAGAAAACATGGAGAGACTCGTTCAGTTGTTCTGCTTCTAAACTGTGAAAGTCAATTCCACCTTGTATCAGACAGTCAAGCTCAGTACTCACTTTTAAGAAGCATCTAAAAACGTTTCTCTTTAACTCAGCATTTAAGTAAAACTCAAAGTCTCTTGGTATTTATCTTTTTAATTTGATCTGTGTCATTTTCTTATATGATCTCTTAAAATTTCTTGTATTACTGTTAAGCTTTATCACCTGTCTGTAAAACACTTTTAGCTGCAACCGGCATGAAGAGTGCTGTATAAATAAATATCATTATTATTATTAAATTATGAAACGACAGAAAAGAACAATTCTGATCCTTGACATAGACATAGGGTAGATTTATTTAGCATCATCACAAAGTTATTAAATGGGTGCAATGGTTCTTTAGCGTCCATAAAGCGGTTAATAGGGGCCGCATCTGTCTTCTGCTTGTTTTTTGCCTTTTCCAAACCATTGAATCTCCTTCACTCTGCAATCCCAGCTCCACTAAAGCTACTTGTTACTGTGCTATTTCTGTGTTCTCTGGCTTCTGGGAATGAATGAGTTTCAAAAGAGAAATTCTCAATGTTCTCAAATTTTTGACGTATTACATTGAAATAATGTCTTATTTTCTCACAATAATTATTAATGTTGAAATAATCACTTTCTCGACAAGTATTAGCCATTTTTTTTTTATACTTTTAGTGCCAGTAATTAACGCCTCTCTTAGTAAATCTGCCCCACAGGCCTCTACTGCATTACCCTTATAGCTCCAGTGCAAAACTAAAGAAGCAAACTCTGGACACCAAACACGTCTTGGCTGATCGACTACATTTGGAGTAGAGCGAGATCTGTGTGAATTTGATTTTTCTGTGAACCAGTCCTTTACAGCTGAGGCCTCAGTGCTGTACTCGTTTTTCTATTCTCTCACTGCAGTGCTGGACTGCTGGTAGGACTCAGCATAGCTGCTCTGGTTCTGCTGGCATTCCTCACCAGTGTGCTGGTGCTCTGCGTCCTTTTCCTCCGCACCAAACCCCAGCAGGCCGACACTGGGCTCAAACTACACAGCCATACCAGCAGCCCTGATGCAGGTAATGACCTAAAGCTAAAGTAAGCTACTCCAGAACCAGAAAACTGCACTGCCCCAGCACTGAACAAGCTAATTTACTGAAGGAAAAGTTTGGAAACTCACCTGTTTACCTTTAGCAACAGATGCTACTGCAAATCTAAGTGTTTACTGACATACAGGCACAACTCATTTATTCTGTTTGTAACGGTGGAATCTAATCATTTATTGTTTTGTCAAAGAGGCATCTTAAACCCCACTTATGTTGCGGGTCAAATTTTATTGTATTATTCTAAAATATTTTTGGTGCATGAAACCTTTACTATTAGACTTATGGCTCAGAACTGCTGTTTTGTTTGTATTAATCAACATGAGAGAAAATATGTCAAAAATGTTTTAAAAAGTTTTAAAAAGTAAGAATTAATAAAACAAATATGTTAAATATCTAGTTTTTGCCATGTATGAAAAAAAAAACAGAAAATTATTTTTTTAATGAATAACAAAATGTGAATTATTAAAAGTAAACCATGATCTGTAAGGGGTAAAAAACCTGAATACTGCTAAATACTGCTTAAATTGATATTAATTGATATTGATATTAAAAGCTAAAGATAATGTTTATAGAGAAAAATATATTTTTGAACTACTTTCGGATGGTTAAACATGCATTGGGTCAATTTGACCCAGGAACATTATTGCTGTTCCTTACAGTTTAACATAATATGAGGAAGTTTAAAAAGTAAGCCTTTTGTACCATATACTGCACAAATAATTATGGAAAAGGCCCATTTGAGCAGTCGATACTTAGTAAAGTACTAATTTCCAGTATTTTGGTCCCATTGTCTGTCTGTATGGTAAAAATATTCACAGAACTACCAATAAAATATATATAGTACTGTGCAAATGTGAGAGACCACCCTTCATTTATTTAATTTCAAGTCAAAACGGCCATCCTTCCACTGTGAGACTCAGCACTATGGGTCTGAAAGGATGTGTAGCTGTCAAGAAGCTTCACTGAGGAAAGGAAATAGACAAAAAAGAAGAAAATTTGACAATCAAACAAAGAAGCTGCTGGTTATCTTGAACCATTTAATCATAGCCATTCCTTCATCTGCTTTTCCCTTTTTCTCTATTTTTAATATTATATATTAATGATAAAACCTTATTCTCTGTTCATATCGCTGTTGTACTATTGTTTTGCTATCCAGTGTCAACCAGAGGAGGATGGGTTTCCCTTTTGAGTCTTGGTTCCTCTCAAGGTTTCTTCCACTTGCTGTTAGGGACCCAGATTTTTCTGTAAAGCTGCTTTGTGACAATTCCTGTGGCAAAAAGCGCTATATAAATAAACTTTGACATGACTTTGAAAAACTGGAAGCAAGTATCCTGAAAAGAATGGAAGCTGTAATAAAGAGTGGACACACTCAACACTAAAAATTATATTATATTTAGTTGTTGAAGCTTCTGTTTAATTTAATGTTAAAGATGTTTTCTGCTTTTTTCCTGACACTGAAAAATGAACAACTTATACGTAACAGTCATTTTGACTGGAAATTAAATGAATGGTTTTTACTGTGTATATACACTTATATAATTATATACTTGAGAATAATTATACTGTATACTGTACCGATGTGCAATCTACTGACTACAGAAATGGTACCAAGAGCTGTTGTGTGAGTGATATTTCAGCAAACACTAGTCACAGAGCACATATAGCCAGACTGGTAAAAATATCAAACAAACTTGATAAAAAGTGGCTTGTGGAAAAAAATAAAATAACAATAATAATTAAATATATATATATATATATATATATATATATATATATATAGTATTGTATATTGTATTTTTTTTTTTAAATATCGAACATCAAACAAAAAGCATGGTTCTGAAATACACCTACTGGAAAACATCAGTTGAGCTTTGCTTCTGATCTATAAGTACTTTTATGAGTACCTGCAGTTTACTTAATTCTAAACTATCCTGATAAGGATTATATAACACATGAAGCCCGTTTTCTGTATAGTGCCTTCTGCGGGTCTTCATACACCTCTGATCCACAATCGACTTTTCATATCAAGCCGTAAACAGTATCATCACTCCCACTTACTATCACACACTTGGACCCTGAACTTAAACTTTGACCTAACCACATGAACTTCTTTAAAAGTCAGTGTGAATTGGCAGACATAATGCTTTTTTCTTCTATAGCGTGACGTATTTCTAGGTGAAATGCATTGTCAGGGAGAATCTTTGAACTTGCTGAACTCTGGGTAATAGGAAGAAGGTTGGTTAATATTATCAGTCATTACACTACAATCAAAGATTAAGAGAAAACAAAAAATGTCTTTTTAATGATATGGTATGTAGGCATTAGAGTCAGATGTTTTAAATCAATGGAATGGCAATCAGGTGTGAGTGACAGGTGTGAGAACAAGCATATATTACAGTCTGATCTTAACAACACAGAAATCCACCAATCCATAGTCAGACAGATTGTGTACAAATGGAAGGAATTCAAGTCCATTGTTAAGCTCTCCAGGAGTGATCACCCCAAGGGCAAGGCGTGTAATAGTCTGCGAGGTCTAGGAACCCATCTGCAGTTTGCTAAAGATCACATGGAGAAGCCAGAAGGCGGACAGGTGAGACCAAAATAGATCTTTTTGGTTTAAATGAGAAGCGTTATGTTTGGAGAAAGGAAAACACTGCATTCCAGCGTAAAAACCTTATCCCATCTGTGAAACACAGTGGTGGTCGTATCATGGTTTGGGCCTTTTCTGCTTACATCTGTGCCAGGACGGCTTGTCATCATCTAACTCTGAATTATACCAGAAAATTCTATAGGACAATGTCAGGACATGTATTCTCTGAACATGGGTCATGCAGCAAGACAACGACTCTAAGCACACAAGTCATTCTACCAAAGAATGGTTAAAGAAGAATAAAGTTAATGTTTTGGAATGGCCAAGTCAAAGTCCTGACCTTAATCCTGTAGAAGTGTTGTGGAAGGACCTGAAGCAGCAGTTCACGGCAGGAAACCCACCAACATAAGAGTTGAAGCACAGAGGAATGGGCTAAAAGTCCACCAAGCCAATGTATAGAACTAATCAACAGTTACTGGAAATGTTGAGTTAATATGTAATATTGGATCATTTTCCTCAATAAATGACCAACTCTAATATTTTTTTATCTACTATTAGGACTTGTGTGAAAACCTGATGAAGTATTAGGTCAAATTTATGCAGAAATATAATAAATTCTAAAGGTTTCACAAACCTTCAAGCACCACCTTATATATAATTTTACTATATATATAACTTTATATATATATATATATATATATATATATATATATATATATATATATATATATATATATATATAATTTTAAAATGTGGTATAACATTGTCTGTTGATTTTTTGTTTCTTCCATAAACCATCAGATCCAAGAGAGTCATCACTGAAAAGAGTGAGTAGAAGAGACATAAACCAACCAACGCACATGAACGCAGACAGCGTAAACACTCTTTCGGATCTGACCGTAATTTAAAGCTGGTGATTCAGAAGGCCAATGTACACCATTGATTCCTGGAAGATGATGGCTGCTACGTGGGAAAATAATCTTTGTAACCTTGACCCCTTTTTTCATTTCTGAATTTCTCCTTTTTTCTAGAGTTACATTAAAGAAGTAAGTAAATTCAATCACTGTCATAAATTTGGCATTTGTGATTTTTTGTAAAATTTAAATAGCTGTATACTTCATATTTGACTGATGTCAGAGTTTCAGCTCAATCTGATAAGCAGTTGATGAGAAGCAGTTTTTGGGATATTATCGCACCTACTATTAAAAAATTGGTGCCAATCTTGGTGGGCTTCTTCACGTTGGGTATAAGACTCCTAAGTTTCATGAAAACTGGTCAAAGCAATCATAATCTGTAACCATTTTTGTAAATTAAGCTCTACCCAGAAGGGTTTAATTGACACATGGCAGCCATATTGTTTCCAAATTGTATTTTTTTTAATTAATTATTTAGATTCAGGGTCTTTTTGAATAAAATGTTATTCAAAAAAATTAAACATATCTAAATTTTTTCCAGGGAAGCCATTTTGCATTTTGAATGAATATTGCTTTAGTATGAGTCAAGAAATCAGCAGCACCAAGAATTATGGCTGAACCCTCTCGGTTTAGGATAGGCATGTCAAACTGGGGACGTTTAGGGCCAAAGTGCTGTGGAGATTAGCGTTTGCCCTCATTTAATGCTCTGAATTCAGTTCATGAAGGCCTTGCTAATTAGCTGATGAGCTGAATCAGGTGTGTTTAATGAGGCAGTGTGCTAAAGTCTGCAGTGTTTTGGCCCACGAGGACTGAAACCTGACACTTAGGAAGATTAACGTAGGTTTAGTAAGTACGGACCAAATCATAAAACACTATGCTGTATCGCCCTCTTTAGGCCAGTCAGTCTTGTGTGCTTGAAAAGCAGGAGGGAGGTGTACATGGAAGAGTCAAATTTTGTCACAATCAGAGAAACATGGATTTATAGGCACTTATGTTAGAAAAAGTCGAACAGTTTGATGTCTAGCTGTGCATCTAGCTGTGCTGTGATGTCTTGATGTGCATCAATGTTACGTTTTTTTGATTCATTATTTACCTAAAGACTTCACAGATTGTTTAAGACCAAATTTGAGAAAATTTGATTGAATTCCACAGACTAGTTCAAAAAAGCTAATTTTTCATACTTTTGCAGAAAAACATTTAAGAATTATAAAAGACCTGTATATGAAAAAAATCATAGTCTCAGTGAACATGTGATATAATTTATTCTTTTCAAAGATAACATTAATAGGACTTGTTTTTGTTGAATAGCACCCCTTTATGGCCAATTGGGGTCAAACTTGATTGGCTATTAGAGATGTGGACACATCAACCAATTTTCATGATGACTGGCCAATGCTAAGCCCTCCAAATGCCCCTTACGGCCAATTGGGGTCAAACTTGATCGGCTATTAGAGATGTGGACACGTCAACCAATTTTCATGATGACTGGCCAATGCTAAGCCCTCCAAATGCCCGTTGAAAGCTTGTTGGGCAATGGTGGCCATATTTGTATAATTATCAAGTTGTCTTTAATATCTCTGTTATAAAGTGGCCTAAAGATACAGCATGCAAAGTGTTAGTTCAATAGGCCAAGTGGTTGCTGAGCAAGTTTTTTGGATATTATAGCGCCCCCTGTTGAATAATTGGTGTCAATCTTGGTGGGCTCCCTCAAAATCATTTACAGTATTAGACACTTATGTTTTAAGAGCATTGGCCAAAGTGACCCCGAAACCCTGAAAGGCTTAATTGGCACCTGGCGGCTATACTGTGTATAAATATCCCATTTTTTTTTTATAATTCTTGACCTCCAGACTCCTGTGAACGTTTTGAGACCAAAATGTACACATCTTGAAAAACCTCAGACTACTTGCCAATTATCTCAACAATTTCAGGGGTAGAGCTTAGAAGACCCAGGGAGCTGTTCATGTGGAATAAAACAAGGATTATGTTAAGGCAAGAATTTTGAGTGTAGGCCTCACGGTTCAGGAGATATGGTCCAAAACGTAAAAGGCTGCTCTATAGTGACACTATAAGGCCAAATGGGGTCATTCCCCTTCCTTGAATAGTGAGGGAGATATTACACCTACCCTCCAATTTTGGTGTTTGGATGCCTTATGGGGTCTTCTCCCCAGTCACTTCTAAGGCAGAAAAAGAAGAAGAAAATTCCTAGCAAAAGCACTTATGTTCCATGCACCTATGATGCTTTGACCCCTAATAAATCAATTAACCACCAGGCTTGTCTAATAAGCTGTTGCTCTCATTAAGAAGACAGAAAATTAAGTCAGTATGCACTGCATAAATGTAACAGCCATGTGTTTTTTTTTATTTAATTTCTGTACAAAAATCATACAATAGCATGAAAAATACAGTGAGAAAAGATCATTTTCCAACCAGCACCGATAAAAAGAAACTGTTTACGAGAACACGGCTACTTATTACAGGAGAAAAATGCACTGTTCTAACAGTAACATATTCACACATGGCTCTGAAAACTTGCTTCCTTTTGGGTTTCTTTAGCTCGCAATGTTTTACAAGTAATGATCCATATGCCTGTTGTGTATGCTTCAGAAAAGATGCTGTACTGAATGTGGTCCTTTGTGAGCTTGCATTAAAACAAGCTATTTTTCAGTCTGTGTCTGAAGATCCGCTGGAGCTGTCCGATGAGGAGGACTGAGTGTGTTTCTTCTTACGCTTTTTCATGCGCCGTTTCTCCTTCTCTTTCTTCTCCTTTTTGTCTTTCTTCTTATGGCTTTTATGCTTTTTCTTTTTCCTGCTCTCCTCGTCGTCGTCGTCATCACTGGATGAATAAGACCTGAATAAAGTAAAGAACAAATGAAAAACTGAAACTGTGAGGAAAAAAAACATGCTTGCATATGTGTAGAGTACTGTACAAAAGTCTTAGACACCTGAGAAAATTGTATTTAAAAGGGGTGCAGTGGAAAGCTGTTTATCTGAGCAGTACAATGCAAAAAAATAATAAAACAATAAGTAGTGATTTAATATATATTCTCAAACAAAAGAAGAAAACTACTTTACTTTAAAAAGTCCTAAAAACCATACAAATAGTTACATGGCTAGAGGACTCAAGGACACTCCAGCAGACCACTTAAGATAAAAGATTATCCATTTTGACCATTAACGGCAATACTCTGCCTCGCTTCTGCTTTCAGCAGCATCAACATCAACTTAGTGCCCACACAAGCAGTGCATTTTGGAGGAAAAAAAAGGAAAAATCTATGGATTCATAAGTACTGAAAAATGCCTATGTGCTGTTTAACATCAGAACGTTTAAGATACTGTATATTTCACTCCTTACAGTTCTCATATAGTTTGAGCTTCTGAGTTTATGTAATGTTTACAGGGAGCGGGTGGTAAAAGCTATCCTATTATAAATGAGTCAAAATGAGCTAAAAACAAAACAAAAAACACTCAGTCAATAACGTTAGTGCTTTCCTCATGTGATTATTTTCACTTTTTTTGGAAACGGTGAGAAAGCTTCCCACTTTATCAAAGCTGGAGTGATCAAAGTGGCCATGTTCATTAAAATCTTAAGTCTTTTTGTACATTAGTAAACCCTTCATGCTGTTCAGAATACTCAGTAACACTACACAAATCCAAATGGCAAGCACAGAAAAAAAGCGGTTGAGGGTGTCAGGTCTTGGTTTGAGCAGCTACGCCATTATCAGTAAAACAAAAAGAGCTTAAAAATGAGCAGAAACCTCTTTGTAGATAATCATAAACAGACATTCCTGTCAGAGGACATATTTTATTGTAGTAGCTTGACATAACCGTTTGTATACATACATTGGTATACAACTATAAAATGTACATCCATATTTGCTGAATGTAACATGTTGGAAAAATTATAACAAATAAGTTATTTATATAACCTTTGTACATGCCACACTATGTTAAATTCAGCAAATAAATAGTAATAGTTGTTTTATTTATACTTGGAAAATCAACAAAATAATATTTCACCAGGGGCGCCACAACATGTGCACACAGCTGTATATACAGGCTTGTTTTCACAAATGGTTTCAAGGGTACCTCTTTTTTGCTTTTCGATGGGATTTTTCTTTTCTTCTCTTTTTATGTTTTTCCTTTTTTGAATCCTCGTGGGAACCTGCAAAGGGAGCATCAAACTCAGATTAAACTCGGTGGGTGAAGTGGCTGCTCTTACTGTGGAAAGACAAGAAATGTATCAAGTATCAAGTACCTCACTGACAAGACTTGTGTCTGTGTTTGGTTGTTGTGTGTTTCTCCGGCGGAGATGGAGCAACGTTAGAGCTGCTCTTCATGCAGTTTTCTCAGCAGAGATAAATCCAATTTTTGAGCAAGTGTTTCATCAGACTTGATGTATTATCTGACATGGCAGCTACTAGTTTATAGTATTTACTGAACAATGAACTGTTCTCATGTAACACTGACTTACTTTTATGAAATACCACCAGAACTTGGACCTCTCTTTTTATTCGCTGGGCCCATCGTTGTTTCAGTCGGTGCCTTTTGGGTACTGATTTTCTGTACCCAGTCATTGGTGTCAATTTAAAATATGTACAGAAAACTATGTGTGTCATTACAGCTGGGTGATATGGCAAAAACATAATGACACTGAACAATTTTTCACAATACAAGATATGCCACAATATTTTTTTCTGAGGTTTGATAAGTTTGAACCAATAAAAAAGCATCAGTAATTGCACATTTAAAAACTACTATGGAGAACTATAAATACAATAATTTGTAATAAACATTTCACAACCTGCAGTGATCTAAATCCACTTAAACAGGCCTAATTTTCCTCTCTTTGTAATCAAACAATGCAGTTGTTCAGTGTTAAATACTGATGGTATGTTCAGAAAAGCATAGTGTGACATATTGTGATGTAATTTATCACCAGAATGATAAATAGCGTCATACTGTTCAATTCAATTTTCTTTTTGAAAAATTGGATTATTTTTTATTATGGATAAAAATATATTTTTAAAGCAACATATTACATTTAACTTAAAATTTTAGTTGTATTTAAAAGACAGCATTTTTAAAAAGTATCATTCACAAATTCAATGTATCAGTACTGAAATTTTTTGAACAAAACACAGTTTCTGACTACAATCCAGAACTCTGGATTTTAAATGAAGTGGCAACCAAGAAGTTAAAAGTACAGACTGTCAGCTTCATATCAGCTGTGTAGGCATTATAAATAGCCCTCACTTTTCAAGAGCAGAGAGTGATTAACGTAGTTGCTGTTAACAAACAGAAAATGTGCACTAAAATATGATGAAAAATGACATATTTTGATTGTATTTTCTGATGTTCACTTCAAATCAACAAAACATGTTATTAGACAGCAGGTGTTTAAACTTTTGGATATGGCTGTAAACTGCAATAATGTATGTTACACACTTAATATCAAATGACAAACCTTTAGAATGGCTGCTCCCAAAGATCTTGTCCTTATCGACAGCTTCCTGTTCTTCTTCGCTCTCTTCGCTGCTTGTGCTGCTCACATCCAGAACAATATCCTTCCTCGGGTCCACCCGCACAAAGTTCCGACACTCAAATGTAAGATGACCCGCTGTTGAAGACACAAAAAGAAAATATTTAACTCAATTAAGTAACTGAAAGAACATTACACTGATCTGACTGATGCAAAGTTTGCCAGATTAGCTGCATAACAAAAATAAACGTTTAATGTTGAATACTTACGATAGCCACATCTTTTGCATCCAGCTCGAATGTTATCCTTGTTAACACCTGTTAGAAGAATAATTGTCTTGTGAACATTTAGAAGGCATCATAATATTGAGAAATACTTCCACCTTTAAGCAACCTACTGTGATGTTACGTATAAAGGTATATGTGTATATATATTTGCTATAAATAGCAGCTGTAAATCTTAAGCCTCTTTATTTAATATGTGATTTAATGTTATCATGTAACACAACTCAGTGTCATGTTTACGTTAGAAATTGCCTTTACTGCTTTAGAAACAAATGACATGCTTTTAAATCACTAGAAACTTGTTAAAGGGAAATTCTACCATTTTTTAAAAATTTCTGTATAACTAAATAGTCAAAATATTGTATACTGTAATCAAAAATATTTAGAATGGTTTGATGTGAGATGCTCCGTTCTAGAGAAACTTGCGGTGGTGATAGGAACCAGACATCTGAAGAGTTCAATGCCTCTAAAAGCTCCCTCACAAAAAGCTATTACATGAGATGTACTCATGTTTGAATACCCTGAGACATTACAATAAGATTTTGGCCAAAGACATATTTTCTTTATATCTGTTCATGGCAGAGGGTACATGCAGTGTGCTGTAAGGCAAAACATAACTGAAAGAAAACTTATTTTGGTGTTTTTTGTTTTGGGCTGCTGACATCATGACCCCTGGTTCCCATCACCACCACTGTAAAGAAATCGGTAATGTTGGTAAAGTTCTCTACAATGAGCTACTTCCCATTAAAACACCCTGAATGATTTTGCTTACATCTTAAAGACTGAATTATGCAGATGAGCGGAATTATTTATGGCTTGTATGATTTAAAAGAGTGTAATGTCCAGAATTATTAACATATGATGTATAAACCAAACGGAAGTGTTTTGTTTATTACTAAAAACATGACAGATGGGCAAAAGTAGCAGAGAATTTCTAGTGAAAAGTTGCAAAGGCTGAACGATATATTTGACTCAGATATTTAGTTTGCTGTTCTCCACTCGGTTGAGAAGAAACAGCAACCATTTGATTCAACAACAAAATCCCCTACACTCTTTAAAAATGGTTCTTCAAGGGTTCTATAGTGAATGGGAATGGTTCTATTTAGAACCATGACTTCTATATTGAACAACTTGCATGTTTAAACTGTTCCTCAGATTGATGAAGAATGTGTTGTGTCTGTATGAAACACTTTTTGAAAATGGTTCTATATAACACCAAAAAGGGTTCTTCTATTGTTGCAAGCTTGACATCATAACAATAGCAGAACTCTTTCTGTGCTATACAGAACCATTTTCAAAAACCAGACCCAACACATTCTCCATCATTCTGAAGAACCATTTAAGCATGCACATCGTACTCTATATGAAACTCATGGGTCTATACAGAACAATTCCCGTTACTAAAGAACCCTTGAAGAACAATATTTTTAACAGTGTACTAGTAGAGGGAATCCGACTGTTTTTAATCAAACATAATTTTTTTTGGTTGGCTTAGACATCACGTTTTAATAGTATTAGACACGTACACCACACTGAAGCTTACATATCTTTAACAGTCAGGGTTCCTGTAACAGCTTCGAGTAATGAAGACTTTTCTGAGAGAATTTAAAGGAAAGCTGCTTCAGAAAGCTTCCTTCTGCCATTATACTGTTAAATATTATTAGTAATAAATGTGTGCAACACCTGCAGGTTGTGAACAGCGCTGCTGCTGCTGCGGATGTTCTAGAACTTTTTTCGAATGATCTGGATGTTCTAGAACATTCGCAGACAGACAGAATTCTGACCTATAGTTCTGACAGATAGTTCTATAAATCATACATACCCGGGAGAGCCATTCCAGCCAATCAAAGAGCTTTCAGTGAGAAAACCTCCTCAAATCTCTACAAAACAACACAATTCACACCTCCTGTAACTGTTATGTCTTTTAAGTCCGTCTCTTAAAAGAGTCCGATGGGAAACATCCAGGTGGTGTCTGGTATTTCATTTAAGAAAGAAAAAGAACGAAAGCGCGCGAGAACTATGAGACACTGGAAATGTTTGTATGTTATCAGTATTTATTGTTCCATGTAGTGAATGTTCTAATTGTTTTTAACCCCTTTTTAACTTAAAATGTTCTGCACATCCGAGCCAGTGAGATGGCAGCAGTGATACGAACCGATAACAGAGCTGCAGCGAAGAAGCCGAAGGGCGGGGCCTAGGCACGCATACAGGGGAACCCCACTGATTTTTCAAAAATTTCGAATAATAAAATCATTAAGATGTAAACAAAGTCATTCAGAGAGGACTGATACGAACTGATGTCCGAAATGTTAGATTTAAAGGGGAATTCCACATTTTTTTCGATGATTACAATATAAAGAACAACACAGATTTTCTTTACAGTGGCAGTGGGAACCAGGGGTCCCAATATCTACATCACAAATACGACCACTTCTAAAAACCACCTAAAAGCACCAGTAAACCTTCACGTGTCTTCTGTGTTTTTATGGAGTGATGATGATGGTCAGTCTGAAAAAAATTGTCCTCTTTGGTGACTATTTTGCTTTACAGCACCTTTCATGTTTCGCACAACCAAGAACTAATTAAAATGCATTGATTAAAATACGTCTAGAGGAAACTTTGTCACACGACTACCATAAAACAAGTGTATTCATAACCACTTCATGTCACAGCTTTCTGTGAGGGAGCTTTTAGAGGTGGACGTCTGGTTCCTATCACGACCACTGTAAATAGTTCTGACTCGTTAAGGTTCTTTAAAACGGAGCATTTCACACCAAACCACTCTAAATGACTCTGCTGGTATGTTAACATTTAATCTTGCCGAAATTTTGAATAAGCGGTGGAGTTCCCCTTTAACGATGCCCGGTCCGAATCGTTCGAGCAAAATGAATCAGTCCCTCCGAAATGATTCGAAGTTTCAAAACCGGGTTTCGCACGGTGATCTGACGTCACGGAGGCTGACGCTGTCAGTTGTTCTGTTTTCTTGTTTCATCACTGTGTTTACACAAGAATGTTCTGGATAGATGTGCAAAGCTTTAATAGAAAAACACTTAATAGTATCATAAGGATTGAAATATTCGACTTTTTATTTTGTTTCAGATTTGATGAGTTTGAAGTAAGAAGATATGTCACCATTGCTTCTTGTTAGGGAAGTTCCATATTCATAAAATAACATGTTCTTTCTCCAAACCTAATTGTGTGCACTTTTTAGAAGATATTTATACAATGTCATCCTTACACAATCACTGCAATGAAAGAATATAATAAATATAATGTGAAATTGTGTAATGTTATCATTTTTGTTTCTATGAATCCCCGGCAATGAATGGAAGGATATTTTCAGTTCTTGAATGTTGTTTGTACCTCGTTACTTTTCGGTGGTAATAAAAAACGTGTATGTAGCCATCCGTGACCTGGAGTCCAAGAGAGCACAATTGGTCTCGCTCTCTCTGGGTGGTTAGGATGGCCCTCCCTCTCCCCTCATCACTCAGCGTGATGCTTGCCAGCGCAAGCGTCTGTTAGCTGACGTAACAGATCTGGTAGTTAGCGCTCTCCTCCAAGCGCGTTCAGCTGTCCATTGACGTTGCGTTAGCGACAGTTCAAATGATGCGGTGGTACTTTACAGGTCTCGGAGGAAGGCTGTGTTTGCCTGCGCCCTCCTAGTGCTGGTGGTATTGTGTGACTGGGGGAGTCTTAACTAGTGGGTGGAATTGGATATGATTAAACTGGTGAGAAAGGTGGAAAAGATCTGTAAAAAAGAAAATAGAAAGTGTATGTATTCTGTGTTAACTGACAAATTTTGATTATTTTCACTTATGGACATACTTATGTGCACAAAAATGAATCCTTCATAGGTTTGCTGTGTGGATTTATAGGGGTGTAAAAGGCAAAAGCTTGTCTGTTTGTTCAAATCAATCAACTTCCGCTGAGAATTCAGCCTAAAGAGTGAAACGTCACTATAGTTGAGGCTATAAAGAGTCATACTGCAAAAAAAATAAAAAAAAATCTAAAGATCAAAGATCAAAGATCTAACAAAAGCAATAAACCTCATGGAACTTGAGCTGACCCCCTAGCTCTGTTCCACTAGCTTATAAAGAGACAATTGCTGCTCCCAAAACCATATACTACCATGTTCTACTTAGTAGTAGTATCATTTGCATAATACAGTAGTGTACAGTTTTGGATGCAGTCAATTATTATACACCCCCACCAGAGGGCACATGTATCAACCTAATAGTTGAAGACATAAAAATACATATTCATGAGTCACACAGTAATGTGAAGACACGATGTTGTTTAATCTGTTTTTATGCTTGTGGTTGAACAGAACTATTTTCAACCTGAAAAATGGAGGCACTTCTATGCCCAATGTAAATCATTTTTAGCTGTAACTTGAGATTAAAAACTGAGATTAGTAACCGATCATCACATTGATTTATCAGTCTACTCAGGCTTTAGCAGAGCTCAGTAACACTGAGATTAATAACTGATCACATTGATTTATCTGTCTACTCAGGTTTTAGCAGAGCTCAGTAGCACTGAAATTGATAACTGATCACACTGATTTATCAGTCTACTCAGGAACGTTAGTGTTTATAAAGATGTCCTCTTTAGAGTTTAGAGTTTTTAGTTATTTATTTATTTTGTTTAGTGAGTGAACATTCTAAAAATATTTTTCTAAAAATGTAAATTTAAACTGCATTTTGAATATTGCCTTTATGTATCTCAGACTGAATACAGATACTTCATTTCTGAATTCTGAATATATATTTCCAAGACTTGTATTCCGTCACAGTCTAACCTGTGCATATTGGACCAGTGCATTATTTGGGACCCCTGAAGTGCACCATAAGGGGAAAATCGCCCTCTGTACTGTAGGTGGCAGCAATGCGCTACACAGCGCTCAAGCAGCAATAAACATGTGAAAGAAGAAGAGGTCTAAGCTGGCGGCGGTGGAGAGCTCTGTTACCGTGATAAACATTTTCTGCGAAATTCTTTCTGGTTGTTTTTGTCCTTTTGCGGTCGCTGTGTCTCAGTCTGACAGAAATATAAAGTAACATGAGCAACATATACATCCAGGAGCCACCAACAAATGGCAAGGTGCGTAGTAGCTAATGGGCTAGCTGAGTTAGCGAGCTAAATAAAGTAAATACAGCCTCTTTTCAGCTTTTAACTTTGCTTAAATTAGGCATTGGTCCATAATATGAACGAATGAATTTTAAACATTTTTTGTTCCATAGCACTGCATTTATTATAGTTTTTCTTACAGTGATATTAAAGCTATTTATTTTAAATTGATATATGTTCTTCTAAATGTTTTCTGTGTCCTTAATCTCCTCATAGGTTTTAATTAAGACCACTGCTGGTGATATTGATGTAGAACTGTGGTCCAAAGAAGCTCCCAAGGCCTGCAGGAACTTCATCCAGCTATGCATGGAAGGTAGACCTGCACAGTCTCCTTTACAAACAAGTTATAAATGTAGGATGGGGTTGGGGTAAATATAGATATAGGTTGGGGTACTTTGTTAATAATACTTTGTGAATGATACCAAACATGCACTACATGTCCAAAGATTTATAGACCTGCTCATTCTTCTGAAATCAAGGGCATTATTAGGGAGTTTGTTCCTCCTTTGTTGCAGTAACAGCCACTACACTTCTAGGAAGGCTGTACACTATCACTCTTAAAAAATGATCCTTTAGGGGTTCCTTTGTAAAGACAATGGTTCTAAATAGAACCTTGATCACTTTTGCAGGCTTAAATGGTTCTTTGCGTGGTGAAATATTCATATTGATGGAGAATGTGCTGTAGATGGTTCTATATCGCTCCATAAAGAGTTCTGCTAGTCAAGTTTGTAACAATATAAGAATGTTTTTTGGTGCTTTATAGAACCGTTGAAAGACCACCTTTATTCAGAGCGTAGATGTTGGAACATTGCTCTGAGGATTTGATTGCATTCAGCCACAGGAGCATTAGTCAAGTCAGGTACTGATGTTGGATGATTAGTTCTGGAGCTCCAACTTATTTAAAGGATATTCGATGGAGCTCCATCACTTTAGAAGATGTGTTTCCACTGCTCCACAGCCCAATGCTGGGAGGCATTATTCCCCTCTAGCTGACACTTGGCTTTGGGTATGGTGACCTTACTTGTTTCTGCTAACTATGACTGTTAGTAAACTTTTTAAACTAAAATACAGATGTTGTTTACTTTTGTGCTAGGTTACTACAATGGTACAATATTCCACCGTGTGGTGCCGGAATTCATTGTTCAGGGGGGTGATCCCACCGGCACTGGAGCTGGAGGAGAGTCCGTCTACGGCCGACCTTTCAAGGTAAGACATTTTACTCTAACCTGCCTGAATTGCTTGAGTAGCTGCATCATGATTTGGTTGCTTCTGTGAACCTAAATGAATGAATAGCTGGTGTTTTGATATTCTGTTGCCTTTCACATGATTTATGTTTCAGTGCTATGTTTTGTTCTCGTGGTGCAGGATGAGTTTCACTCCAGATTACGCTTCAACAGGAGAGGTTTGGTGGCCATGGCAAACGCAGGACCACACGATAATGGAAGCCAGTTTTTCTTCACGCTGGGGCGGGCCGATGAACTCAATAACAAGCACACCATTTTTGGAAAGGTGACTTTTCTTCTTGTCTTTGGATTTTAAAAGCATTAAAGCATTCCTTTTGCAATAATAAGTAAGGCAATCGGACAAATATAATTTCACAATACGCAATGCTGTTTTTCGCAATACACAATATACTACATCAAGATATTCTGTTTTTTTGAGGTTTATGAAGAAGTTAGAACAGATATTTAGCATTTGCAAAAACTAAACTATTTAAAAAAAGAACAGTAGGAAAAATGTTAAACTGTTAATAACTATCAATTAATAAAATAAGAAAATGGCACAATAGACTTGCATCCAATCATTTACTTTATGGTGCAATATAATTTTCTTTTTCAAAATTTAATTCATATATCATTTTAAAATTTAATGTATAACTTTTGCTCATACTGGTCACTGGTTGTTGTTTACAGACACTCTGTAATTGATCTAAATCAATCTTTTTATGTTATGTGCATTTGTTCAGTATAGAAATACTAAAAATACCCATGATATATTCAAAAATGTGCGTAATTTTTAAGCATAACGCTAACATGTGGCCATATTGCCCACCCCAATAAAGAGTTAAGTTGATTTGGTCATGTGGTTTTGGTAAATACCTCTGAAAAATGTGATGTGATTTATTTAATTATTTTTAATGTGTGGTTGTCAATAGGATTGGGAATATCTTTTATGTTTTATTTATCTCATTTAAATTTTTAAGAAGATAGGAATGCATTTGGTAGTTTGTAAGGGTACGATGAGCATAATATATGTAAAAAATATTAATAATTAATTTATAAAATACCTGTATTTTGGCCTATGTGTAATGGTGTTATTTTTAAAACCAAAAAAGCACAATATTGTACGGTATCAAATTTATCCTCCCACTGCATGTTCATAGGTCATAATTACTGCATAAATATGTTCTTTTTCATCTTATACCTGTTATACTCTTGGTTCCAGGTCACAGGTGACACCGTGTATAACATGTTAAGGTTAGCAGAGGTGGAGTGTGACAGTAATGAGCGGCCACTGAATCCACACAAAATCCGATCTACAGAGGTATGAGCAGGTTTTCTTAGGGATTATACAGTTAGATGCAAAAGTTTAAACACCCCTGGTCAAATTACATGTTTTATTGATTTCTAAGTAAAAACAAGTTAATACATTCTTTACAGAGAACAAACTTAATTATGGCATTTTTAGTAGACAGTTTCCATTTGTTTTTAAGCTTAACATATTGGGAAGAAAATAAAGCATAAAATATAAAATGTGCCACAACTTAAAAACATAAAAGCCACATTTTATGTTTGTTTTTTGTTATGTTAAATTCAGCAAATTAACATAATGTGTTAATAATGTGTACATATTACTGAAATGAGCAGAAGTATGTTCTCTGTAGAAGATGTGTTAACTTATTTTCAATAAGGAAAACATCAAAACATGTAATTTGACCAGGGACACCAAAACTTTTGCAGTATTATAGCGGAATTTAACTGTCCATTACTTTGAGATTTTGCAGGTGTCCAATTTCTCTCCCACAGGTCTTACATTCAGCCTTTGATGACATTGTGCCTCGAGAAATAAAAGTCAAAAAAGAGAAATCCAAAGAGGAGGGGAAAAAGTCTCAGTCCAAGGCAACAAAGTAAGAAAGACAGTCTTCCTTAGTGCATTTACTATGGACATTGATGATGGAAAACATGCTGATCTCAAGTTAAATGACCTGAAAACCTTTTAGGTTTCTAGTTATTAATCTTAATTATGAGATGAGAAAACGTGTTTCATTACTAAAAACACTTAATTTGTTGAACATGCTGACCTGACATTGTTTTAACCATGTGATACATTTTCTTTCTAATCAGAAATTTCAGCTTGCTGTCATTTGGTGAGGAGGCAGAAGAGGAGGAGGAGATGGTCAATCAAGTTAGCCAGGTAGACTTTAAAAATGTGACAAATACAGTTGGAAAAGGAATATTATATTTATATTTATATTTGTTTAAAAAACATATCAAAAGCTACGTCCTTTAGTGTGCCTGTTGTCATTAGGTGTAAATTGTATGGTCCATTGATTCACTTATTGCTAAATAAATGAATCTATGTTCTCCTCTGTTGCAGACCTTGAAAGGAAAAAGCAAAAGTAGTCATGACCTTTTAAAGGATGATCCCAAGTTAAGCTCAGTGCCAGTTGTTGACAGGTAATCAACCCTCAGCTGCTAAAATAAAATTTGGTCTCATAGAGGCAGATTGGTGGATTGATACCTTTAAAGCCATGTTTACTTTGTGAGGATGGAGTGTAGATACAAATCATCTGAGCACATACCTGCCAGTGAATATGAAAAAAAAAACCCATATTGCTCTTTTTTTTGCAGCTCTGCAAGCCAAGGTGCAGAAGGGGATGTTTCAGAGGTGTGTCCTTAATTACATTTGTCTTAAATGTATTTCAAATACCAGGCTATAAAACTTTCCCTGGGACCATGTGGAAATACTGTAATTTACACATGACTGACATCGTTATTAAATTAATTCTATGATATTTTAAAGTCTATGTTAAAGTTAGAGTACTTTCCTTTCTGAAAAGTTCTATTTTAGAGTGTGTATTTTGGATATGTGTTTTGCCACATCTGCCCTGTGCTGTTCAGGGAGAGGAACAAGATGATGATGATGATGATTTAGCGAAAGAGGAAATGAGAGAACGCATCTCAAAGAAACTGAAGAAAGAGAAGATGGAGGAAGAGATGTCTGATGTTAGCGAGATGAGAGAAAAGAAGAGCAGCCGCAGGTAAGAACGTATTCTTATGTGTTAGCTCTGCAGAATAAAGTTTCCCGTCTCAGTGCCCCCTTTTTTATGTACAAATGTCAGCTGATGAAGAAGCTCAGTCATCAAATTGCTTTCATATTACAAAAATGTGAGAAAAATTCTCTTTTGCTAGTTGACACTGGTGATATATAACAATTATAATTCTGATATGTTGTGTTTGAAAACATGTCAAGATCAAAGCCCTATATTTTGTTGGAGCAGTAATACCACCAGTGTACTGCAGGTGGCAGCATTGTAACGAACAGTCACCGAGGCACTAGGACTCCTTTCAATTGTCTTTAACCTTTTGGTGGATATCCTGTGTTTACCATAATATTAGTGTAACAGACCTAATAAGATACTGTCAGGCAAGAAATGGCTGTTTGTGTAGTTATAGAGTCTGTTTAAAGTGTTGCATTTTTGTGACTATTAGAAACAAACCCTTGCACTTGATCAGTTGTCACTCTGCTAATATTTTCTCTGTGGAGAGTTAAAGGTTATGTTAAAGTGCAGGAATCATACACTGCGATTAGGCTTGACGGGGTGGTAGTGTTTGGCTTGTGTTATGGGCTGTCTGGGGCTGCACAAATTTAAAATGGCATAGGGGTCCCTAAACCTCAACACTCATTGATCCTGATTACACCTGTCACTTCATGCATTTTGAGTGTCAGGATTATATCTGGATAAGGCCAGGTCACATAAAAATGCAAGCATAAATGCACCCAAGATACGTTTAAAACAGATGCAAATCCGATCGTTCAAACTACTACAGGTAGTTTGAGACCCACTTTTGAGCCACGTAATAGCTTTCGTCTCTTCAAGACACATTCGATAACTGAAACTCCTCCCCATGCAGTACGTCATTGGACATGTGATCTGTGTCCACGAGTAAGATGCATGGAGGACACACATGACTGGGAACCAGACGAAACGAAATGCTTAAAAGCAATATTGACAGACACCACTGTGCAAAACAAACTGTAGACGACTTACAGGAAACATGCAATATTCGAACAACTAACTAAACAGCTCTCGAAACATGGCTTCCAAAGAACATGACTGAAGTGTCAGTGGAAGATAAAGAACCTTAATGGGTTGAAGCATAATGATTGGATTTGCATATTCCGTCCCACACAGCAATCGGATTTCAGTCCAACTCACTGGAGACGCATTTGACTGGCAAGTGTAAATGCACATAGCTAAAATCTTATCAGGATGCAATCCGGATAATTGTCACACAAAGTGACCAGGTGCAAACAGGGTCTTCATAAAAGTCTGAAGATCTATGAATATGCACGACTATCTCTACCTGAGTTACAGACAGGCAGATAAACAAAAATAAGCTCCCACAGTAACATTAATAATCAGAAATGTTCTGTCTTTGTCACTTGAGTGTTACTTAGTTTCCCTTCAAGTTTGAATCTTTATCCTCTAAACTTGCCTCAGTGCAGCGTCAGTGAGTCGGAATGGCTGGTGGTTTAGCCTTCTCGCTAAGCTAACATTAGCCTCTGGTGCTACAAGTATATAAACAAAAAGTAGCTTAAGCTAACAGCTTCACACGCAAAAACATAGATTTTTTCCGTTAGATTTGAGTCTTTATTCTCCAAACTTGAATTAATCTACATGGTTATATGTAAAGCTTAGGCTGTTCTTGCTACTAGCTTCTAGTGGAGCAAAAGTGGCTTAGGCTAACTGCTTCACATATAAATACACAGTTTACATTGTATTTTCAATGGAAAATTGTGAATTCTGCACTATAGTAACACATTTGAAACAGATATCAGTGTATATTACCATAATAAGCTGTCTTAATACGTCTTTGAATGCAGGGGATTTTTAAGAATGAACTTGATTTGGAAGTCACATTTTCTTTCGTCACATGTTGTGGTATATACTTCAGGGAGGGTCTCTGGGGGAGCTGATGGTTATATGGACATTATCTGGACGATATCTAAAGATATTAGCACAATCATTTCTAGTTGTTTTCATAGAATTCTTTAAAATTCCTTATAAATGATAAAACACATTGAATAATATAATATCGGGTAACCCAACATCTTTTGAGAACAATTTCATCGGTCATTATAGTAAACATTGTTGCAAACACATGCATTCATGAGCTTCTGGCGTAGATTTGTGGCGACTTGCTGATAGCGCTCCCTGCTCGTGCTACTTAAAACTGCAAGTGATTTCCAAAGCCATGTGCACATGCTTTCCACATAACAAAAAGGCATTTTCTGTCGTTACGGTGGCATTTTTATAGTTCAACTTACCACTGGGACACTTAATCTGTACAGGAAGTCACACACAGCAAGCACAGTGGGGAGACCTTTAAAGACTTTTAATGGCCCATTAAAACTCAGCGTTTTAACAGAAAAAAGTGTGCAATATATACATTTTCTTCAATATTATTTATTACCCTTTTCTGAGAACAACAGCCGTAGAGGCAGATCAGAAGGACTTTCTCTCCAGGTTAGAGCTAAATTAGCTGCTCTTCGGTAACATCCAGTCATTTTAGTTCGTATTTTTACTGCAGTGAGTCATTTGGAAGCAAGCTGAAGTTCTGAAGCACATCAGCAACCATTTCTGATCCTATTCACATACATTATAGAACATAGCAGAGAGAACTACAAACTATTCTCTCTCTCTCTCTCTCTCTCTCTCTCTCTCTCTCTCTCACACACACACCTTTTTCCCACATTATTTACAAGCTGTTTAACGGTAAATTAGTCCTCTCTAATTCTCTCTCAATTCATTTCCCAAAACAGTGATTATTGTATTTTACACGTCACCATCGGGGAAAGTTGTCCATCATTGAAAATATTCAGTTACACTGCCCTATTGCCCAGGCCTACTGCCACTTCAAGTCAAGTCAAGAGGCTTTTATTGTCATTCTGTCTGAATAAGACAGTACAGACAAAGTTCAAACATGTAGACATGAGTGTGCAAACATTAAACTAGAAACAATACAATAAATACAATAAATAAAACAGACCTTAGACACAGTTAACAGACAGGACAGTGCAGTGCCGACACAACACTCATTTCTGAGCATGAGGTAGTGAGGATAAGGTGCAGAGATATTTAACATGCTATGATATGTAGGTATACACAGTCACTCACGTGAGCAGAGCAGGTAGAAATAAACAGTATACACTTGCTCTGTGTTTTAGAAGAGGCTTCAGGGGCATGGTATGCAAGGCTGCGCCATGCATGCCTCCCCCACTCTGTTAATAGGACCCTGCTACCGTTGTTGATGTTGCTTGTTAGTTTAAGATTAAGAGTTTAAGATGTTTACGTGTTTGCTGTGTTTTATTGTGTCATGCTGTGAGTTGTTTCGTGTGAGTTTTAGTGTTTAGTTTGTATGGCTAGAAGTGACCTTCCCTACTGTTCTGGCTGTTACTCAGGGCCTTTTCTGCTTTGTTCAATAAAAGAGCATTTCCTTGAACAGAAATAGTAGCTATTTCTGGCTTTTTTTCATTGTCAATGGTACAGTATTATTCTTCCCTGACCACCGGTGTGAGGTGATGTAGTAAGAACTCAGAATATGTTATAGAGGCAAGAAAAATAATTCATTTCGATAAATGATTATGGCAGAACAAGAATTTAGTCTTTCAAATGATGTGGTGTGAGGAATCATGCTTAACATGACCATGGACACTAACAACGTAAAAACATTTTGAGTTCGGGTTGACTTAAGTCTTGATAATAATGACGTTTCATATTTCATACATTTTTTCCCAGTCTCTCACAGCAATGATATTGTCGCAGCGCCTCCTCTGTTGCTCTGCATATAAAGAACCCGCTTTAGGACGCCTCAGCTCTTAGTTTAGTTGTTCAGTGGCTCCAGGTTCATTGCAGCCTGTGCCCCATATATTTTTACAAATAAAGAGCTTCATTTGGGCTCTTTTCAGTGTCTTTTACTTCATTCTTCACCATCATCTCTACAATATCATGCTATATAAGTGAAAACAGAGTGACTGGTGAGTGAGTTAAGGCACAAACATACTGAAGTAAAGCAAAAACATCTTTTTAAGGCAGCCTGCTTGTAGATCGGTATAAAAGAACGTTTTCTTCCGAAAGCCCCTATTTAACCCCCAGGGATGCAGTGTGAAAGAATACCAAACTCATTCCATTCTCAATGACAGGTTTAGCTAAATAAATCACTTCAAGCAGCTGAACTCTGTTAGGGCTTGTTTACACAGCAAGTTTTTATGCCTCTGGTCAGTGCACCCTCTATAGGGAATAGATGATGGTGTTTACCATAGATCAAAGATCACCCATTGCTGTGTCTCATTCAGAGGTGTTAATGAGCACTAATGACACTTAGTCACTTGAACTCCAGCCCAGCTGCTCCGAATGCGCATGCCAGAGCCTGTGCTAGGCTCACTTCACCGGGCCGAGCCGGGCTGGGCCAGGTCCTGCAAGGTGAAAGAGAAATGCTGGCATCTAACTTAAATCAGTCTGCCACAGAGAGGGGCAAACAGCACCCTCCTGCCAACCTGGCAGCCCCAGCACTGCTGCTGCAAGACTGCAGTGCGTAATTTTGTCTTTTTCGCAGAAAATAATTATGAATGGGCTTTTGTAATATCGTTTTAAATTCTAGTTGGGCATTGCAGTATGTTCTGACACACCGTCTGTTCTTGACTTTGTGAAATGTTCAAATATTTTTCCACAGGGAAGAAAAGAAGGGTTATTTATGTATTGATTTATTCATTCTAGTTGCATGCTGTTTTCAGGAACACTTGGGGCTTAATTAAGGTCCGAACGGTAGAACATTCCCTAAAACCTTGACAGCTCGCTTCTAATTATCTGTTCAGCAGGTCCATATTCGATATAACCTATAGTCCAGATTTCTTAGATGCACTGAAATTCAAATAAATAAAGTGGATTTCTTTGAATACTGTCTACATTCAGTAGAATGTTCAGTTCAGTTTGACATCAAGGTCACAGACTGCATCACCGGTCAGCCAGAGTTTGCT